CAATGGTGATTAAACTTATGAAAAATTATTATTGGTCTCATTATCATATGTGGCTCAAAGTAAATACCTAACTTTGAAAAGTTTTTTTTTTTGTCCAGCATTTCTATTCTTTAAAATTGCGGCTTGCTGATTTTTTAATTTTTTTTAACTTCTTTTAATTTCTTGTGAAATTTGAATCGGTCGCTGTCACTCAGTGAAGCTTTAATTAAGCTTTTCTGGCAAATGATAACGTTGTGACATTAGCACTTCCAAATGTCGATATTCTTCCCACTTCCAGTGTCGCTCTGAAATACTGTAGCGAGAAAAAATAGAAATAGAAAGTCTCCATTAATGGAAATATCTTATAAATATTTTCGTTGTTATTGTTTTTGAAAATAAACATGGTTTGACACGTTGAATTCATAGTAATATCAGTTAATATTTTGCATAAAAATAGCTTAACCATTTCATAATAAGGAACAGACATTTGGTCCCTTTAATAGCAACATAGCTATTTTATAATAAGAGATACTTGGTCACTTTATTAATTAGGTTCTTTTTTTCCCCTTGACAACAGTTACCAGGGCCTAAATAACAATAACAGAGATTTACTAAGCTACACATCTGTAACGTACATTAAATAACATTAAATAACAGACAACACCGTTTATAGTTGACTTATTAACAAGCCATATTTTTTTGTTTCCATCCGTAGTTAATCATATTACAATTTAAAATATCCTTTTCGCCAGAGATCAAGTTGAGCAAATGAATGAATAATTAGGTGTGAAACCATTACACTGCAGGGAGCATTACAAGAAATACCATAATAGGCAAATTCGCATTCTGGTATTTTACCACTGGGTAAACGTAGAAAGATTTAGTATGAGAAGGTGATGTTTTCTGTTTAACAAGTGCGGATAGAATAAATGTATCTGAAGTTTGGAGAAAGTGAAATTTAGGGGTAGTGTAAGGGGATACATTATTTCACAGAGAGATGTTAAATCATGTAAATGCCTTCCAGCAGATGGGGTAGAGGCTAATAGAGTGGAAATGTTTAAGAATGCCTATGAGAGGAACACTGCTCAACAGAAAAGAACACAAAATCATGAAAAATACTTGTGAACAGATTGTACTTGATGAGAGGACAGCAGATGATGAGGTATTAAATACAATACGATGACCAGGCTTTGAAGGGTAACAGAGGGCTGGGTTCTTTCTTAGAATTGCTTGGTTATTAGGTCCGGAATGTGCAAAAGGTACAGCGAGTCAGAGGCAAATAGCAGAGAAGAATGAAAAGCCACAGTGCCTAGGGCAGATTGCCAGTTTGGGCTTCCCTTCATTCTTCACCTAGAGAGGATAAGCAAATTCACGGTTGCAGGATCTATCTATCCGCTCTACGCCCTAGGCGGTTTTGTTTTTGTTTTTTCAAGGTTAATTCTGCTCTGATAAACAGCATTGCTTGTTATTTAGATCAGAATAGGGTGAGGTCAGTTCTGAAAAACAAACAATAAAGAACATTATGATGTAGGAGACAAGACAAGGCCTCTCAAGGCCAGGGTTAAGGGCTTGGCCAAAACTAGATCAGGTAAAGGGAAGTTCATGGCTACAGATATACATAGGAGAAATGAGAAACAAAACCTGGAATATGCGTTGATTAATGGTGATCCATGTTGGGTAAATATCAGGACAGAGCAAAGGCAGAGTGGGCAAAGTAGAAGGACTTTCTATCCGCTGTACATATCTTTTTTCGAATGTTTACAAAATACAGCTGCCCTCATTACACAGTCCACTAATTCTCCCTGGGTCATATTTCATACAATTCATCCGATAAACTTGCAAACACTTGCAGAAACATTAACAAAGAAAAATAATAATGAATATGAAAATAAAAAGCAAACAATTGGCCAATAAAATGTACAGTAAGTCAGAGTAATACTCTATCAACAGCTTAAAGACACTGTGTATAATCTGTTTATGTGTGCAGAAAACACACATTATAGACTTTCTATAAATCACCAGTCTGTTAAGAAATCGCTAAAAATTGACCTCTTTGGGAAAGCCTACCATCTTCCTGTGTAACTTCTCACATCATAGCAGTCCTCCCATCCCCCACACATAACCTGTGCTTTCAGTCCGCTCAACTCTTCCTCTTCAACATTGTCTCCATTCACTATTCTCACACAATTAACCTAAACACAGATATCATATCCATAATCGTATCTTCTTGCGTTCTTCCCTTCTTCAATTATGAGCTCGTTTGAGCGAGACCCTCTTTGCTATATCCCTAATATATTATTCTAAAACACAGCACAATGTAAATGCTGCTAATAACAGAGCAGTCTATGATGATCAAAACTGCAGATAAATTTTGTATTCCATAAACTAACACTGGTCAGGGGTTTACAGGATACAAAAAGAATCCTTGTACTAGAATGGTGGATTGTCTTCCTGGTCAGGAATTGTTTTTTAAATGTTTTCTTTCACTCTGTAAACCACATACAAAAGTCTGGTTTTCATTGCTTTTTGTTACCGATTTGTGATATTGGTGTTTCATGTTTCTGAAATTATTTATCCAAGTAAACAGAAGAAGCACAGTCTAAAAAAAATGACTTTAAGAAGGTAAAGTGAAGCAGGTTATGTGATCAGTAGCTGTAAAGGGTTTCCGCACGGTCCATTCAATAAATCAGACACCGTGAAGGAGGATCTATATTTTTAATTAAATTCTGCTGCCCCAGTATAAAAAATGTCTAACAGGCATACTATTCTTAGAAAGTGCTTATGGGGCAAGCAGTAATTCATTTATATTGCTAAGCAAATAAACACACAACTCCTCTGCAACTAAGTATAAGCACAGTTCTTCGACGGATGATCATAAACCTTTTATGACATTTGCATAATTTAGGGCTTGCAAGCCGAGATACTGTTAAACTCTGGTTCTTTATTAATTGGAGGCATTTGTACAATAGAACACATGCTGTTTAATTTAAAAATGTATATTCACTGAGTATTTTGTGTAGATATTTGAAGCCTAAAGCAGCACTGTCACTTCTTTTTCAATAAGTTTAAAACAATATTCCCAAGATGATAATTATTTTTATCTGATCAAGCTATAACAAGTTTAGCCATAATTACCACTTGAAGAACTGTCAGCGGCTTAGTGCGGAGGTGGCCATGTGGGAATTACATCACAATTTGCAATTTCACAGTTACTAGTCAAAACAATAAAAAAAAGTACCAATACAGAGAGTATGTGATGTCAGTAGCCAATCAAACCGTTTGATTTACAGTGCTGCACTCAGTTTTGCAATCTAACGATGCCGTGTTCCCATCATGCCCAAAGTAGGTAAATAGTTATTTACCTTTTATAAACAAATACTGGACAGTATAGGTATTGAGCATTTGTACGATTTCTGATGTGACTCTTGAATTAAGAGTTTAGTTTTCATCTGTTCTCTATTAAAAAACTTTAGTAAAACTTTTATAAAAATTAATTTATTGATAAGAGAAAAGAGTAGTATACGTACGCGTTACTGAAAAACATTTTAAAAGCAAAACAATATAAACATTAAAAAGTGTAAAATGACGCTACGTGTGTAAAAATCTACATCAATACCTTATAGTGAATTTTAAGGCCAATATATAAGTTGATCCACTTAGGTTTTAGTTATACCACACATTATTTTTAAGAAGTTTAGAGTTAACACTCCTGCTGGATTTGAGGCTGAACGAATGTCGAATGGGTTTATGACCTATATAAATTCAAACCAAGATTTACAGTATCAATGTAACCTGCAGCTATCCTTCTCTCCATAGTTTCTCCTTTCGCATAAACAAAGACCATATAGGCGACTAAAGATTGTCTTGAGTGATCATGGGTGGTGGAAAAAAACATTAGTCATACAGTCTTTGTCCGGTTGTCTTATGTAAAACATTGCTAACTGGCACCTCTTTCCAATGGGCTATTGTTTACTGCCTATCGAACTGCACTAGCTTTGATAATTTTTAGTGAGCAGGAGGGAAGGGAATGGAAGGAAATTGTAAGACAACTGAAGATTACCATCAGGGTCATTACTTACTGCAGTCATCAAGCATCCATGTCAGTTGAAATTCCATTACAATAGAGCAGTTAATTTAGAATTAAACCATTTCTTAGAACTGCGTGAACAAAATCTTATTCACTGGTTTTCATAAGTGTTTAATCAAATAAAATAAATGTCATTTATAATTAAAAATTTCCTTACAAGAGAACAAATCTGTAAAAATGCTTCTCTGATGTCGTAACGTACCCACATTGCCTAATTCGGATAAAATGTATGAAATTAATATAATCACATGCTCTGCCTATAAAAAAAATCTATTTGATCACTACCAGGATATCTAAAGAGGGAAGTTGAATGAAAGAATTGGCATATAGTTATTCACCTTCTATATACAAAATTGTTATTGTTCTGTTATGTTTGCGGCAAAGCAAGTCCAAGACGTTTTATAATAAATGATTTAATATTGAGAGTTCTAAACTGATCTAATGATGGGGGTAAAAGTAATGCTTGCAAATACATTGAATGGATCTTGATACTATTTTTCACAGAAAACCGTAGTTTTAGACATGCTTAATACAAGATAAAAACACACTTTGTTAGAGTTAGGGCATATACAAAAAGAAGATCCAGTGGAAAGGCTTTTCCATATAGGTAAGCAGTAGAGTGCAAGGCCGTTGCTATGAGTATTTGTATGCCACTTACATTAACTCCACTGAGCTAACCGAATAGGAAGTAACAGAGGCGATTGTCTGATTGACAGCCAGGAGGAGGTAACAAGGTTGAATTATAAAAGGGTCAATTTCTATTGAAATCTGCACATTTTTAAAATAAAAAAAGAAGACACTTTTACACAAAGGATTTCAGCAAGCTGATTTGCTTTAGGGGGGTCTGCAGTATTCCTTTAATAATGCATAAATTCTGGGATGGGGGGGGGGAGGAGGGAGAGAAAAAAATAATAAAAAGTCAGAGGATAAATCGATTTTTAATATTATTAAAAAAACAGAACCATGAAAAAATTAATTTCATCTGTGTTGAAGCATTGCTTGTGTCTGAAAAATCACATGGAAAAGTTTGATAATTTGACAATTTGATGTCAGCATTCACATACGGTTACACACACTCAGACAGGAAAAACAACGTGCATTTTAATTATATAATAATGCACAGTATAAACTAACAAGGATAAAGTAAAAAAACATCAGGTTTATTTCTTTTTACAGCATAGATGCAAACAGTACTTTTTTTTTTTTTTTTTTTTAATACAATCTACAGTAGTACAAATGGGTGCGTGACCTGTGATTACAGATCAGGTTTTCAGACAAGGGAAGCATTTTGAAGGTGTTCAGGACATGGTCTTTGTTCGAGAAACGACTTCATTTACAAAACTATTATTCTTGGACAAAATGTCAGCTTTTAACTGCATCAGTCTCGATCTAATTTCTTCTTCAGACATTTCCGTAAGGGGCAAAGCTTTCACTTTTGCTAAGAAATCTTGGATGATATTTTCACCTTCCTGCAAAAGAAAAAAACATTTTTTTATTTTGTTTGGCAGAAAGTAATCTGACACAATCACATTTACTTAAAAGCACATGTATCTCTGTGTAAGATGTATTAAAAAAAAACCAAAAAAAAAAAAAACCCCAAATGTTTAAACCCAATATTAAACTCACCTGTAATGCAGCCCTAGGATAGTGCACCTAATGAAACATTATCAAGATGGAGAACACATGCCCAATCATATGCTTCTCATAGAGAAGCATTGTGGGTATGCATCATATGTGTGCCTGACAGGATGACACAGTAAGCACTCTGGCAAGTAGACACCACTTTTCAAAGTAAAATGAAAGGATTACCAAAAAAGGGTAGGATGGACACCACTAATAGAACAGAATGTCAGAGGTAGTTAAAGCTGGAGTAACAGTATAGTTATAAGTATATTTTTTAACAAGTTACTCAATTTAATTATCTTTTAAGAAAAGGTGGGAAAGGTGTTTTTACTTTTTTTTCCCCAAGACGTGCTGATTTATTTTTACAATCTCAGCCAATCCAATGCTTCCACATAGGAAAGGATTAGGAGACTATTACGCATGCACGGCAAAATGCCACTGCGCCAGCCAAATTCACCTCAGAGATGCATTGAATCAATGCATTTCTATAGGAAACATTAACGTAGGTGCTGAAGCACTAACCCAGGAAGCGCCTCTAGAGGCCGTTTGAGTGACTGCCACTAGAGGTGTCACCAGGCAGCAATGTAAATACTGCCTTTTGTCTGAAAAGTCAGTGTTTGCATTGAAAAGCGTTCAGGGACAGGATTTAGACTTCAGAACAACTACATTAAGCTGCAGTGGTTCTGGTGACTTTTGGGTCCCTTTAAGAATTGCATTTTGGCATTAGAAAACCTGGCTTTTAACTATTTTAGCTGGCTTCTAGATTCCAAGGAAATTTGTCAAGCCCTGCAATAGATTACATAGCAAAAGCAGTGCATCACCCTTCTCAAACTTTTTCAATACAGCTTAGGTCACAGATTCTATCCAAGTAGATATAACACCCCTCATATTCATACTGTACCCTTCCAGCCAGTGACTATGAAAAGAATTTGTGACAGTGAAATGAACCTCAATAAGATATGCAGTTTGCGGCTTTGACATATTCAGCTTTTTGTACTTATGCCTTATTTACGAACCTCCTTTTCCGTGCACTGTCTCTTGCTGCTGGGTTCTTCACATTCGTCTGGATATTTGCTATACTGGAATTCTTCTAACTCCAGTGCTTTGACTCTGGCATTCTCAATGACATGTTTAGGAAAGTTAGCAAGTTCTGCCACATGAATTCCAAAGCTCTGGTCACAGACACCTGTAGGTGCAATAATAATATAAATTAAAGCATAGCTATACAGCATTTTCTAGGGGTATATTTAAACACTCACAGAGTTTGTTTTGCCACTTGTAAAAAGGCAGTTCTCTTTTGTACCATTAGATGTGTTGCCTTCTGGGTTTATTGCATAGACATTTAGCAATAATAGTTTTTTACACAGATTCTAATGAGCTCTTAAAAAAAAAAATCAGAGAAACAACAGTCTTGCAAAAAATCTAATACTACAAAAAATAAATAAAAAAAATTATAAGGAAAATCACAATGTTGTTGATTACATCACAGATACCTAATTGTAATTAGAGGTAAACACCAAGCACCATATATACAAACAGAAGATCCTGTACTATAGTTAAAGGGACACACCAAGCACCAAAAATCCCAACAGAAGATCCTGTACTATAGTTAAAGGGACACACCAACCATACATCCCAACAGAAGATCCTGTACTATAGTTAAAGGGACACACCAAGCACCATACGTCCCAACAGAAGATCCTGTAGTGTAGTTAAAGGGACAGGCCAAGTTCCATGCATCCCAACAGAAGATCCTGTAGTGTAGTTAAAGGGACAGGCCAAGCACCATCTATCTCAACAGAAGATCCTGTATTGTAGTTAAAGGGATATGCCAAGCAACATACGTCCCAACAGAAGTTCACTTACTGAAGGCAATGGGACTCTGCACGCACCACAAAAACCTAGGTCCCGTTATGGGATACCTTGTCACGATCTCCTTTCACACTGTTGCTCATAACAGTTATTTGCAAAACAAAAACAAACATTTTAACCTGCCAAGTCAAAGAAGAAATCTACTTTTCTTTCTTTGACCATACAAACAATTCTATGGCATGCACTTGCTGAGTGACAGTGAATGTACCCACTCGCAAAAGTTTGAACACAGCTGTCAAACTTATGGTGAGTAGAATGGCTGAATACGTGGACATATTACAGCTACTATATCTGTTGGCTGGAACTGATGCCCAGAGCTAGTGATATCCCGAACGGTTCGCCGCGGACCCATCAATGAGTAAACTTTGACCCTGTACCTCACAGTCAGCAGACACATTCCAGCCAATCAGCAGCAGACCCTCCCTCCCAGACCTTCCCACCTCCTGGACAGCATCCATTTTGAAGCTGCATTCTTCGTGAGCGGTCCAGGAGGTGGGAAGGTCTGGGAGGGAGGGTCTGCTGCTGATTAGCTGGAATGTGTCTGCTGACTGTGAGGTACAGGGTCAAAGTTTACTCAATGATGAGTCCGCGGCGAACCGTTCGGGACATCACTACCCAGGGCTGAATTACCATCCAATAAACTCTGCTATACAGGAACATTTGGGATAAGACCAGACCCCCACAGGCCACAATGTGAAGATCTTACATGAGTGACACCATGTATACTGCAGCAAGCTCTAATCTCAGCCGAGCACCTGGACATGCCGTAGTCTTGCAAAAGATCTAATACCACAAAAAAAAAAAAAAAAAATTTATGAAGGAAAATCATAATGTTGTTGTGACATGTCCAGGATTAGTGCACCTGCAGCCATTAATTCAATACCTCTTCTGATACTGGCACACAAGGAGATATGGTAGTGAAGACAAACCATGTATTTATGAGCGTGCCCTCCCCACCTCCCCAAAAAGCATTACCTGATTACATAATGCACTTCATTGCTCTTTATCACATCTATATAAATTTATACGTCTTAGGTCACTGTATACAGTGCTTGTTACAGGAGCCCAGATTATCAACTTCAGACATACAGTAAATGTATCTCCCCTTACATCTAATGAAACTAATAAAGTAAATCAGAAAGCCATAAGACACTCTGTAAGAACAGTGTTAGCCAGAGATTCTCTGTTAGGTCACGGCCATTTACTGGCTAGACAATCACAAAGTAGTGGCCATAAAAACAGACTAAATTTCATTACTACATGTACCACAGGGTGTGCAGTAACCTTGTGACATTTCCTTATTTTATAGGAATGAATCATCAATATAACTGCTCGAGGAAGAGCAGGGACAATTCTTGTTCCATTGGCAATACTGTAAAACAAATTGTTCCAGAAACACCAACATGATCATATTTTTCAATTAGTTCACTCAATGCCAACTTCAATTACAGCGTCAGTTTGCTTTGCCTGTAGCAAACTCCGACGTGAGGCACAGTTACCTGTCTACCTTGTGAAAGGATTCCCCTTGGCCAATTTAAATATAGTCAAGGAGTACACCTGGTCTGTTAGGCACAGTGATGAATGCTCTATTTAATAAGTACAGTTAATCACAGTAATCTGAGCAGATGCAAGCGATAGCAAGGCTGCTTTCCTACAAAATCATATAATCATTCGTGCTAATTGTCCAGATTTCATAGAATTCTCAGGATGCTGTGCTTATGAACATAACCTTTAGTTTCACATGTTTCAGTATGGTACTTTTATCCACACATATACATCGGGAATGTATTTAAGTATTAAAACTAGTAAGTGGTGTATGTGATATGGGTCCTGGTTGGATATGTTTGACATTGTCAAATGGGGGACTAGCAACTTACTTAGAGGGGTCTCATGTGCTCTTAGCCAAAAAGAAAAACAGACAGTTCTTCTGCTCCCCAAAGTATGGTAACTCCCTAGCTAACGTGGTTAGTGCAGGCTAGGGAGTATAGGAAAGGAGTGACTAATGTCACCTGTTCAAACGCCGACATGCTTGAAATTAAGTCACCATGTCGGAGTAACAGAGGTGGCTTGCTCTAGGAAAATGTCTCCAAGTAGGGCAAATCAAAGAAGACAGCAAGTGGAGTAAGGGTGGACCTCTGCTGAGAACATGGTGGCACTGTATCGGAGGGTCATGTCACTTGCAAACAGAAGACTTTTGTGGCCTATTTCACTTAGAATTTCGGACAATTCATAATGAAGAACCTTCTTAATATATGGCACTCATAGCTTAGACCAGAAACTAAAACCCAAAGCAAAGAGTTTATCAGAATTTGACTTGTTTCATAAATGCGTAACAGTATATACTGGAACCTACTGCAGTATAAACTAAACAAACTCACAGATTATCAAGGGCATAACAGAAACATAGAATAAAAACTCCTAACACCCTAATGTATCAAAACCATGGCAGTTTAAATTGTCTTCTGCAAAGCATAATAACGATCAAGGCTTTTACAAGATGCAATTATTCCAACCATTACAAATGAGTTGGAAGATTCTGCACAATCATAAAAAAGGTAAAAATTCACATACAATTTTATTATTCTTCTAAACAATTTGTTATCAGGATTAGAAAGCTTCAATAAACTACTGCATTACAGAGAGAACTCTGTGACTACCAAGTATTAAAAGGGAACTGTAACTTCTCTGGAAATTGCAATATTGAAAATCTAAAATGATAAAAATAAAATTTGTTTTGTTTTTTATGAAAAACCCTGTGCTTTTTAAAAATGTATGCTAAAGATTTAATGATTGGCATCACCGTACATTTCAGTCCTGGCACAGCCAGGGCATACATTGTACTGAAGGAGGAAAGGTATCTATCAAACTGTCATGTTCTGAAAAGTGGTGCAAACGTCTAAACGTGGAGCAGTCACCATAGAAACCAAGCTAATCAGCAGGCACATTCCAATGGTGACTGCTCCATTTTACAACTTGGCATCACTCTTCAGAAAATAACACTAAGTAACCCCCTCCACCCCTTCTCCAACTCCCTCCAGTTTGTTTCTCCTCCTCCATTTACTATGTTCAATGACATTAGAGGGCAATGTTGATAATGACTGACACAGAACCAATATAGAGGGACCATTCCAAGATCGGTCTAGAAAACAGTGGAGTTTATTTTTACAGTTAATTAACAGACGTGTTAAATACAGAGGACAAGCAGACATAGCATTAACCACCCTGGGAAGCAATAATTTCCATTGAAAATAAAGTAACTGTAAATCCACGGACAAAGCAGCAGCAGATTTTTTTTTTCTTTGTTTAAATGTCAGTGATAATTAGTAAATAATTGTAGCATTCAAACAGTTGACTTACTACAACAGAAGAGAGACAGCACTGTCAAAATATAGTGTTTAACACAACTGCAAAATTGTTATGTCATCTTCCAAGGTGAAAATTATCCCAGCAAGTGTTTTAAAAATGCAGCGTGACAGTATGGGTCCTTTGGCTGTTTTTAGTTTGAAGAGAAAATGGGCAAGAGAAAGGTCACGGACAAAGGTGAGAGAGACTCATGATATTTTGTTGCAGAGGAAAGAAGCTACAACACAGCATTAAAGGCGCTTTGCTAGTAAAACAGCATTAACCTATTATTGCCAATTCAGTTTGAATTGCCATCTATTCAAATTTTAGTGAATAACTTGAAAGAAATCCCTCTCTGTCAATCTGTGTAGGCGTAAACAGGTTTTTGCAAATGCCCTATCTTTCTTATCAACCAGTATGGTCAGCCTGCACTATGTATTTATATACAAAAAATACATATACAATATTCCCTTCTTAAGAAAAAAAAAAAAAAAAATGTTCTTTTTGCCCAATGAAAAGGATGGAAAGTTTGAAGTGCTGTGATGCAAAACATGGGGATACTTTATAAAGCATCAACTTTAATCAAGATGTTACAGTGTAGTGGAAGCATGCGTTGCATTTAGAATGTAATGCCACATTTGGATTCTTGGGGATATATGGACAGCTGAGACAAGGCATTGTGGGAGCAGGTCAAGGACACAAATTCAAACCTTTGTTAAAGGAACACTATAGCATTAGGAATACAAACATGTATTCCGAACGCCATATTTTTTTTTTTTTAAACTACCTATTTAGATGTTTGTCTGACTCCTCCCGGAAAGGGTTTCAAATGTGAGAATAACTTACCTTTTGGTTCTAGCCGTGGCGGTTCTCATTGATGCAGTTTCTCCTCTTTGACTGATCACCAGTGTAGATGATATCGGCCAATTCAAGGTTTCCCCTTAGGAGGAGGCTAGTGCGCATGTGCGACAAAAGGCTTTGATGCACCAATTAAATGGCCTCTATGAGACCACCTTGTTCAATAGCAGAGTTTAACTCCGCTATTGGGGTGTAAGCATCTCTAGTTCCTGTCAGGGAGACAGCCACTAGAAGCATGATAACACTGCAATGTAAACATTGGCATTACTGCAGAACAGCAATGTTTTTAGTTGTAGGGTTAAAACTACTGGGAAACAGCACCTTGACCAATTCGTTGAGATGAAGTGGTCTGGGTGCCTATAGAGTCTCTAAGTATTATGTAGGTTTTATCTGCATATTTGGTCAGTAGTTGCAAGTTGAAAGTTTAAATAAAACAAAATTGGGTGTAAATCAAAATACTTAATTTTGCCTAATTATACAAAGACGTGCTTGTGTTATCTTCAATACTAGCTACAAATCTACACGTTTTTCAAACTACTTTCCCCTGTGGACAGGAAAGCAGTATGTAGCTCTTAAAGGATCACTATAGTGTCAGGAAAACAAAGCGGTTTTCCTGACACTATAGTGCCCTGAGGGTGCCCCCACCCTCAGGGTCCCCCTCCTGTGGCGTTGAAGTGGTTAAAACCCCTTCAGCCACTTACCTTAATGCAGCACGCTGGTGACCTCTCCTCCCCATCCAACCTGACTGGAGCCGAATGCGCATGCGTGGCAAGTGCCGCGGGCGCATTCAAAGTGTCCATAGGAAAGCCTTTCTCAATGCTTTGAAATGGTTATGTTTACATGTGAAGGGTTAAAATCTGAGGGACCTGGCACCCAGAACACCTTGTTGTGCTGAAGTGGTCTGGGTGACTATAGTGTCCCTTTAAAGCATAACAGACACCCGTTTAAAGTAACTACAACTATAAATTGGTGTTATGTGCCTTTTTGCCCACCACATTACTGTGCTCTAAATTCGTAAAGAATTACAAAGTACAAGTTTATTTCAATTGAGGTCTTGCCTGATAGCACAGGTCTTACTAGATTTTTTAAATTGCACAAAAATACGTTGTAGAAAGAATATAATGAACCTGTTCGACAATGCCCTTTATGGATGGTGATAATCTCCTTTTATCCTTTTTTATTTCATGTACATGCCTGCTTACCTGGTTTAATGCGATACAGCATAGTTAGGGTCTCATCTGTTGTAAGTGCTGTGACGTGCAAGTTGTTTACTGTTGGAACTTGATCAGCGAGTGCTGTTAATTCATGGAAATGTGTGGCAAACATACAGAATGCACCAATTTTTGTGGAGATATATTCAGATATCGCCCATGCCAGTCCAAAACCATCATAAGTGGAAGTCCCTCTTCCCAGTTCATCAATTATAATCAGTGAGTTTTCAGAAGCTGATCTGCAATACAGAACATTAAATCTTTAATAAAAAAAAAAAACCTTTTGATATAAATTAAATACAATTAATTCACCTTATCCTTACAATACACAGAACTGAAAAACTGGAGAGTGGGCCAGGAGTCTTGTGATGTCAGTGCATGATCACCATTTACCAAAATTAAAGCACGAAGAACATAGGAAACAAAACATTCTCACATGGATAACAGGGTTGGGGTGCTGCCACACATCTAATCATCTAACAGTTAATCACAGGAATAAACAGCCTAATCAGGGCACCAGGGATTGTAAATAGCTCTAATTTAACCGCATGTTATAGATCATCGTATTCCTTAAAGAATCGGGTAAAACTGACATTTTTAAAACTCATGTTAAGGCTGAATTTTACTACATGACAGGAGGCTTCATATTTTGCATAACTTTCTTTACTTATGCCTTCAGCAGCACAAGTCAATCAAAACTTTAACCAGTCAAAAACAAGTAACATATCCATATAAAGACTTGACAGGCATAGCTCCTCCAGCTTGGCACTGGTCAGAGTGATTTTCTCTAATGATTATGTGAATATTTTTATATATATTTGGAATCTGTTCCATTTAATTTTCTCTTTATTCCCCTTCTCCATCCCCTGTCTTTATCTCCCCTTTTAACATACATTCTGTACAGTTTATGGTGTTCTCAGAGCTTCTCCCTCCTGGTCTGAGCCCCTGGCTCTCTGACCTTGGATTCTATCCCTCTCGCCGTCGCCGCAATTGTGCCGTTTTCCATAACTGGGTGTTGAGCTCTGGGGCAAGCTTGGGGAGTTACGCGGGTGGGGGGAGTATGGGGTAGCCGCATACAACAGCCGGCGGGCAGCACCAACGGATTTGCGCGTGAACGGCTGCCATCTTGAATCTCAAGAGACCCACAAGATTCACGTCAGCCATCTTGCTTCGTTCAGGGGAGCCTGGTCCGTTAAGGGCCTATTGCAATCGACTAGGGACCTTCTATGGGACTCACGGACACCAGGAACTAGACGTAGCTATATCTCCGCTTGGAACACTTGAGTTGCTGGTGTTTGGAGAGGAACTGTGACCTATTTATGGCACCTATCACTATAGTGTTTAACTTTTTATCACACCTTTTCGAGTCGGGTCGTTCATACCGCACCATCAATGTGGTACGCTCGGCAATCTCGGTGGCTCACGTCCCACTGCTGGGCATTCTGGTTGGGCAGTACCCTTATATATGTCACTTATTTCGAGGTAGCAAACTATCCAGACCTTAAGCCCCAAAATAGAATCGGTTATGGAACGTAGATAGTTATTAGTTTCCTTTGAGACTGGCCAAATAACTCTGACCTTTCCCTTCGACAACTCTCGGCCAAACGCACACTACTTTTGTCTCGACGTGGACAGTTTTTGCGGTACGGAGGACCAAGACGGACTCTACATCTGTGTCATATCCATTTTTTTCTGACGGATCCCAGTTCCTGCGAGGTGAACACTTTATTGAGTTACGTGGAGGTTACTACACCTCTACGCTCTTCCTAATCGGGTCAACTTCTTGTTTCTTATACCAAGCCATTGAAACCGGTGACTACCACCGCACTAGCTAGGTGGGTACATTGGCTTTTGTCCCTAGCTGGCGTGGTGACCTTTTACGACACTCACTCTGTGCGAGGCGCAGCTGCGTCTCGGGAATTCAGGACAGTGGCCTCCCTGGCCAATGTTCTCCGTGCCGCGGATTGGACACGGGAAGATCATTTCCGGGGTGTTTTTTTTTTTTTTTTATTTACGTCAAACTTCACACGCTTCCTTTGCTCTTCTACCACAGTGTTAAAAATACAAAACATGAAGCCTCCTGTCATGTAGTAAAATTGTAGATTATCCTAACATAGTGTACCTATAATATTCATTTTAATAATGACAGGAGGCAAGTATTTTCCCTCCCTGGGTTTACCACCCTTTTACAACTATTGTACTAGAACTGGAATGCATTCTTTTCATTTACTCAAATTAATGTGGTTCATACTGGTTGTTTTTGTCTAGATACATGGATGGTTTTGGTTTGTTATTCAAGATTAGTGTACACTTCATAGCTATAATATGTACAGTATTGGTACAACTTCTATATTAGTATGTTTAATGATAAATATTCCTATATAGAATTAATAAAACTTAATGATGGTATGTGGACAACAGTTTATTGCCACCACCTTTCACTTGTTTCTGTTCTTTTTAGTATGACCTTCATCTGCGGTCTCAAGAGTGGACAAGTTGGATTACTTCACTCTTCAGCTCTATCTGCGACTACCAAAGTTCTTCAAGATTTGCGCTATGGTGTCTGATGTTATGTTAGACTGTTAATTCACATCAAAGAAAGAGCTATGCCTATCAGGGCTTCATATGGATAAGTTACTTGTTTTTGATTGGTTAAAGTGTTATGATTGTGCTGCTGGAGGCATAAGAAATGTTATGCAACATACTCACCTCCTGTCATCATTAAAATTAAGATAAGTACACTACGTTAGCATAATCTACAATTTTTTAACCAATCTCCAAAGTATGTTTATCAAGCCATATTGCATACATATATGGAGATATGGAGAGTTAAGCAAGCTTTCTTGTTTTGACTTGACTCCAGTATATGGGATTTAAAGTGAAACAACTAAAAGGACAACTCTAGTGTTGAGCTGGGCAAATGGTATGTCGTATAGCTGCAGCTTTCATGTTGCTTTGCCATTCTAAATGCTGGCAATACATCATGGCATTGAAGTTATACAACATTAGGGGAACTACAGTTTGCCCAGCCCTGCTCTAGTGTGTTAGAGAACAAAGCTGCACTGTACAGATATACATGAAGTGTGCTATACCTTCAATAATGGGTTACACTGAACAACAAAATAAAATTACATTTGATTTGTATTCTTTACAGAGTTCTGAGCTGTACCAGGAAAGTAAATGCTATATAAACACAGTCTTCCCCAGTTTCAGAATAGAGGACTCAATCTCCATGCGATCAGCAAATTCACCCTTTACATGTGCAATGATCCACATGTAGAATAAACATGGTTTGGTTCAGTGAGCAACACAGCAAGTGCACTGACAGCATTTCTAAATAAAACAGCTCAAAATGCAAATGTACATGTTTAGAAGCATTTGCTTGACGGTCCCTTTAAGACAGTTCAAAAGAAACGGTCACTGGTTTAGCATATAAACAAGAGGAATCTGTTCTCCGTACACAGGAACCCAATAAAAACGCTTGAGAAGGGAGGAAGAAAAGGAAAAAAGAACTGCCAGAAATTCTAAGGTTCTCCAAGGCATCAACATGTCAAACTGGAACTGCGCTATAAAGAACTTTTGTTATTTAAACTCAACATTTAACACTTGGCATTTACATTTCTGTTTAGGTGTGAGACATGCAAGTGACATCCCTACCTTTTCTCTTTTATGGCATTTTATTTTCTTATATGCACACTAATTAACTGGTATCTTGACAGATCAATGATAGACAAGGTCCAGGATTTCATACAGTATCCCTTTGAGAAAAAAAAATACTGTTGCTCTGCCTAACCTGCCAGGCTAAGGAGTACAGTAACTTTCTTAATATACATGCACTATAATCCAAGTAATCTATAGAATATAATTTAAATATGCTATTACCTTTTTATCAACAAATGAAAGTGTAATCATTTATAAAAAGTGGAATAATAGCTTGTGGATCTAAGAAAAAAATAAAACTGATCAAGGAGGTTTTCCCCCCCAGCCATCATTTCCCTTTAATTTTGGCAAAATTAATAATTGCATTAAGCAAGATTTGCTTATGGATCAATTGCAGAAAGAGAGATGAAACTCTGAACTAAATAGACTTAAAGGATCACTCCAAGCACAATGCATACTGCAGCCTGTTTTAGTAGAGTCAGAGGGCTCTGTTGCAAGAAATTATTTTAGGCCCCCCCATGTAGCGCAAGGGTGGCCAAAAAGCAGATACCCATCTGTCGTACAACTCCTGTGATGCTATGCCAGCTGGAGATCTATTATTGCCCATCTTTAGGGTTGTATTTGTGAACAGTTTTTGTATGGAGTATGTGTGAGTGCATGTAGGGGTATATTTGTACGTACCAATGGCAATGGAATGCAGTGGTGTACTTCTATGTAATGTTTGTGTTTGAATGTAGGCATGTTTGTGTATGTCGTGTTGGCTTTTAAAATGCAGGTGTCCTTTCTTGTGTAGTGTTGGTATTTGAGTGGAGGGGTGTGTATGTATATAATTTTGCCATTTGACTGCAGGGACTGTGTTTATATGTAATACTTGCATTTGATTGTACGGGTGTGTTTGCATGTAATGTGTGCGCTTCATTGCTGGGATAAATGTACATTTGAACATACACAGATATGGATACATACACACTGAAACACTCAGATACACACTGCCGTGCACACACAATCACACATGCCCATCGGGGGAAGTGGTGCGGACCACGAGTTCCTGCAGATTCTTGACAATCTGAAATTCTGCAATTCACACACTTAAAGACAGCCTTGCAGCAGCGGCCCTACGTGCACAGAGGTGTTGGAACCAAAGCTACACCTTTCCTGTGAATGCTGGCCACCTTAGAGGGTGCTTCAACATTGTGGTAGCGGAGGCCTACTTAGGTAGTGAGTGGGGTGGACTGCTGATTCGCTATGTAGTACGGGCCACGTTCCCCCCACTCCTTTGGTCCGGTGGGGGTTATACTGGTCTTCATTCTGGCACTGCAACTCAAAGCTGTTGTTCTACTGAGATGAACGGAAAACTAAAATGGCAGACACCTTGTGTCAAACGGATAGCAGTAAAGAACGGGCTGAGCTTACCTGCAAACTAGACCAGATCTTTTTGGAATTCTGGGACAAACTGGACCGATATCCGCGACTGAGGGTCAGGCAGGAGAGAAGTGAACATACACCCCAGGACTCACCGCCCAGGTTCCAGAGGGAAGCGTAGACTCTGGCTAAAGAATGGGCCTGTGATAAGTGGCAGCATTTGGTGCAGTCTGAAACGGCAGCTGCGGTAGGCCGCATGCCTGAAGACAGTGGCCCATGCCGTCCTGCTCGGGCAGTGTCTCAGAAGAATGGCCCACAACAGGAGAGATCACCACCATCACTTAGCTGGCATTACCACATTGCCTGGAAACACAACCTGCTGACACTGAGGTCATGGTGCACACAGGCAGCCAGACCAAATCAGGACTGCCCTGCACCTCTGTATGGGGTTGGTTGAATCAAGACTCTTGCTGCTGCTGTTTTCAATGCCTTCACCATGTTTATTTTCAGTATGTTTATAATCTTTCTGTTCTTGTTTTACTCTAGCCTAATGTTTATTGCTGCTGAGGGGCATTTCTTACCGCTTGCATATACGCTGGGGCCCCCAAGGGCAAAAATTTATAGCCACAGCTAGGCCATCCAGCTTTTCATTACAGTATTCATGTATCATTTCATTTGCTCAGCTTTCAGTTTAAACGATCTTACAAGCTTCAATCATTCTCAGTATCCTCTTGTATTCATCTCTTGCACAGGAGACATTTTCATAGTCATTTAATATTAAAAAAATGTAGGCAACATTAAGCAGAACGTTTGTTTTTTAAATGAAATGCGAACTGTGTGGCCTTAAGTGCATGGGCCCCTGACATATACTAAAGGTAGGGATGAGGCTTTAATTTTTTAACATATACTGTATTTTAAAAAAATATAAATAAAAATAAAAAGGGGGGGGAAATCTATTTTCTTCCAAAACCCAAAGAAAGGATATTGTTTTGAGGTGATAGTTGTCCTTTATGTTTTTTCAACCAATGTCACCATGTGTAAGTTACCATTTCTGTCATTCACGTGGTATATGCTGTTGAGAGTCCATAACACTGATTGGAGTGGGCAGATTTCCTTTTGGGATGGGTAAATATTTTACAAACATTCACTGCACCAACAAATCCCAGTTAATATTTCCACTGGCATACAAGTGGTTTGCTGAACATTTTGAAAGAAATGTTTGCAGAAGGCACATTACCAGGAAACGTTTTAATCAATATGCACATGATGTTAAAAAGGATGATGAGCTATGAAAACGAGAGAAAAAAAAAGCATAAACTGGAGTAAAGTCAGGGCACTGCTGATAAATGTGGGCAATCACCGATATGCTATGGATCCAAAGACCTACAGTAAATATGTGGTTCATTCTCCAAAAAATCATATACATCTATACATATGACGAACAGTGAGAAAGACCTCTAGAAGTTGATTATATTGAGAAGTAAATCTTCTAGTTTTAAGACATTAAATATATCCAGTCCTATATACAAGGAGAAACTTGGTAAATGGAAGCATACGATGAGTCTAATCTTAATGTATACAAAAAGTAACTCCCTAGTGATGAAGAGGGGAACTTTGAGAGTATGCCGCACAACTGTTTGGGACTGAAGGAGGACTAAAGATATATATCCAACTTGGAAACCTTCAGGTATTTTAAGTAGAGAATAAAAAGAGGCTGATGTGCCTATAAAGGAATACTTTAACAAAATACACACCAAAATCAGAGCTTTCCATACACAAAAACCTTTATTCATAATGCTGGAGTGTTTAAAAGTAAATTTAGATTATTGGGATACTAGCAGTGCCTATAAAAATGAGGTTACTCTGATCCAGTGGAGAGAGTCACCTTATCACAGCTCTGATCCAACTCTGCGAGTTCTCATGATCACCTGGTCAATCCAAAGCTTCTCATAGAGAAGTTTGGGGACACATGGCACGTGCATTGCAATCAATGATTTTCCATGAGAATTCCTTAAATCTACTTTGTGTTTTAGAGGCTTGTGGTCTTCATTAGATTAATATTTGCTATAGAGGAGGAATACAGACTCTGTAGCATAGCATAGATGCACAATCACACATTTTATAAAAAGGTTGTGATGTGGTTAAGGAGGCACATGGAGGATTCACAGAGGAATATAACTTCATCTACCTTTAAGACCAACATTTCCTATCAGAAAAATAACTTCTTAATTAGTAAACATTTTTAGTAAATCTGTATAATAAAGAATTAGAAGGCATATAACAGCAGCAAGCCCAAGACCTCTCTGGGAATATGTTATGTCCAGTTCCAGGTATGCAGTTTAACCTATTTACTATAGAGAGTTTAAGGTGTTGCTGAATTACAACTAATGGAACAGAAGCCATATGCATTAAGCAGCTTCATGGATCATCCTGATTCCTCAATTAAAGCAGTTCTGCATCCAATTTCTCTAAATTAAGCAGTTTTACTCTTTACTCTGTATCTCATTGCTCTCAATTAACCACCTTTCCAAGAGTTAGCAGTTTTACTCCATATTATACTGCTATGTATTAAGCAGTTCTGCTGTGCTTACAATCCTTTTGAATTAATCAGTTCTGCTCCACAACCAATCTCTTCAAATGAAGTCCTTATATTGTCACATTAACCTGAATTTAGTAGTTTTGCTCTGCAATACATCTATATGAATTAAATGGATCCTAAAGTGGCAGGAAAACAAACCAGTTTTCTGGCACTATAGGCTCTTGGAGTGCCCCCCTCCCTCGGCACTGAAGGGGTTAAAACCCCTTAGCCACTTACCTTAATCCAGCGCAGGACTCCCTCGGTGCAGGTGACGTCTCCTTCCCCGCCGACGTCAGCTCCAAAGTGGAGCCGAATACGCATGTGTGGCCAGAGGCACGCGCACACACATTCAAACCCGCCCATAAGAAAGCATTATTCAATGCTTTCCTATCAGGATCTTTTTTGACGCTGGAGGTCGTGAGGACGTCCAGTGTCAAATAAGTGCGATTTACTCAGTGTAAATTGCGGAAGCGTCTCTAGTGGCTGTCAGGGAGACAGCCACTAGAGGCTGGATTAACCCTGCAGTGTAAACATAGCAGTTTCTCTGAAATTGCTATGTTTTCAGCTGCAGGATTAAAACTAGTGGGACCTAGCACCCAGACCACTTAATTGAGCTGAAGTGGTCTGGGTGCCTATAGTGGTCCTTTAACCCCTTAAGGACACATGACATGTCATGATTCCCTTTTATTCCAGAAGTTTGGTCCTTAAGGGGTTAAACTCATTTTCCTGGCACTATAGGGTCTTTAGGTCCTGTCCCCCACCTTCAGGGTTCCAGGAGGCTGAAGGGGTTAATCACTTACCTTTCTCCAGCACCGGGCTCCCTCGGCGCTGTGGAACTTTCCTCCCTCTTGACGTCAGAGCTGAATGCGCATGCGCGGCAAGAGCTGTGTGCGCATTCAATCCATCCAAAGGAAAGCATTTCTCAATGTCTTCTCTGAAACTGCTATGTTTACAGCTGCAGGGTTAAAACTAGAGGGATCTGGCACCCAGACCACTTCAATGAGCTGAAGTGGTCTGGGTGCCTATAGTGGTCCTTTAAGCAGTTCTGTTGTGCGTCCAATCTCTCTGAATTAAGTAGTTATTCACTCCACAACATCTCACTGAATTAAGCAACCCTGCTCTCTGTTGCTATCTCTCTGAATTAAAAGGACACTCTAGGCACCCAGACTACTTTATCTCATTGAAGTAGTCTGAATGCAGTGCACCTGTCCCGTTAATCCTGCAGTGTAAAACATTGCAGTATCAGAGAAACTGCAATGCCTATTTTGCAGGGTTAAGAATAACTCTATTGACTGTCTCTCAGACAGCCTCTACAGGCACTTCCTGCATTTACATGGAGTTTAAGTTCATGAACCGGCGCAGGACATCCTTAACTTTGCACAAGGATATCCAGGGTCTTCAAAACCATCCCATCTATTTAAATGCAGCAATTCCTGCTGCCCATCCCATCTATTTAAATGCAACAATTCCTGCTCCCCATCTTAAATGCAGCAATTCCTGCTCATCCCATCTATTTAAATGCAGCAATTCCTGCTCCCCATTCCAATCTCTCTGAATTCAGCAGTCCATGCTCTCTATCCAATCTCTCTGAATTCAGCAGTTCCTGCTCCCCATCCCATCTCTTTAAATGCAGCAATCCCTGCTCCCCATCCCATCTCTTTAAATGCAGCAATCCCTGCTCCCCATCCCATCTATTTAAATGCATCAATTCCTGCTCCCCATCCCATCTATTTAAATGCATCAATTCCTGCTCCCCATCCCATCTATTTAAATGCAGCAATTCCTGCTGCCCATCCCATCTATTTAAATGCAACAATTCCTGCTCCCCATCTTAAATGCAGCAATTCCTGCTCATCCCATCTATTTAAATGCAGCAATTCCTGCTCCCCATTCCAATCTCTCTGAATTCAGCAGTCCATGCTCTCTATCCCAGCTCTCAGAATTCAGCAGTTCCTGCTCTCTATCCAATCTCTCTGAATTCAGAAATCCATACTCGCCATTCCATATCTCAGAATTCAGCAATCCCTGCTCTCTATCCCATCTCTCTGAATTCAACAATCCTCGCTCTCTATCCCAGCTCTCCAAATGAAGCAGTCCCTGCATTCAATTCAATCTCTCTGAATGAGCTGTTCTCTCTACCACAATACTCTGAATTAAGCAATACTGCTCACCACCACATTTTGTTTTCAAGGAATCCATTGTAGAGAGTGTGGTCTCTCTTGGAATGAAAATAATCGGAGTAGTTATACCAAAATGTATTACATTAAAAATGAAAGCTGTATGGATCTGGCTTCCTATAACAGTGTTTTTAAATGCCAAATCCAGCAATGACTCTCTCTAAAGTTAACCTGGAAATATTCTGAGGTGACAAAAAGCCACAATGTTAAGTTTTACATGAACCATTTATATGTTTAACACAGTTTTTACTATATAGCACGATAACTAGAGGAAATAATGACAAAATACCTGAGAATGGAAGCAGTTTCTAACATCTCAGCCATAAAAGTTGACACTCCCTTCAGTTGACTATCTCCAGCCCCAACGCGAGCGAGAATGCAGTCCACTATGCTAACCTCGGCAGAGTCACATGGTACAAAGCAGCCGATCTGTGCCATAAGCACAATCACACCGGTCTGCCGGATGTAGGTGGATTTACCTCCCATATTTGGACCTGGAAATAGATCATAGAGAAAGCACATATTCCATTCATTTAATAATTGACTTAATACGATGTTAGATAACTGAATAAATATTCTATGCGGTGTGTGAGCAGTGGGGAAAGTAGCAAACATAACTGGCAATTTTGCTTTTCCTTGTCTAATCTGTAAGAAAATCAGTCTTATGTGTCTAGAATGGAAGAATCTGTGCTTTCAGAGGTCAATTATTAAGTATAAGCAATGATCTACTGCACGCAGTACTGGTTTTGATGTGTTCTAAATGTCTACAAAGAAGGACGATGTGATAGTTGAATGATCATTGACTATAACTCTAGACATTCTATGTCATATTAGTTTATTTGCATATGAAATAATTTATAGCATTGCAGCAAAGAGGAAGATCTTTACCATAACAAATGCATCAAAAACAGAAATATTCAAATCAAATGTATACATGCAGGTCCTGCTAGGGATTGCTAAATACATACATATATCAACTGTGCTTTTGGTTTAGTTCTCAAAAAACAAAACAAAGACTAAATGTCTTGACTACATTATATTGTGTATCAAATTAAAATTTAAATGTTTGAAAGTCAGGTTGTTACAAATTTGTGAGTCTTTAGAACAATACTTTTAGAAATTGAAGATAGTAGGTTAATGAATTAAAACAGATGCTTAAGAGGTACCTGTGATAATATGAAACATCTGCTTCTCCTTTTCGAATGTAATATCATTGGGGATGAACGCAACTTCATCTTGCACTTCGATGCATGGGTGTCTGGAAGACTTGAGTACGATTCTTCCCTGTCCTTTCTCCAAGATGATGGGGCGAACATATGGTACTGGTGCGCCATTAGAAATGTATGCAAAGCTGACAACCGCATCAAGTTGAGCAATGACATCATTCAATGTCTGAATTGGATCAACATATCCTGTAAAAATGTCAAGAAACGGTTCATTGGCAGAGCAGGGCAATGTACATAAATGCACACAGTACTACAGTGATTCAAAAATATATTTTCAAAAACACTCAAGCTTATTTGCATCCAAAATATTATCCTCATTCTTACCCCCCTGTTGGATCAACATTTTCTAACCAACAAACAACTTAAAAACAGCCCAAGATTGCTGAATATGTACATTAGTTTGGATTGGAACATCTTTTGTGTAAACGGGTCGTTAATGTTAGATTTTAAGTTGTCTGTTCCTTTTGTATCGGCATGTCTGCCTTCGCTCAACTGAACAGAGTTATAGTATATGTTGGTCTTTATAAATATTAAACTGCGGCTTGTAATCTACCACTGTACAGGTATGTGCTGAAGGCAGACTGTGGGAAAGGACTATAGTAATTCCAGGGGGTACGCTAGTGAGTGGACCATTTCCCCAAGAGAAAGAGGCACACAGCATTGAAAACTAAAGCTTTGCTGAACCCAAAGCAGTTTTAAAATGGATAAATTCTAGATCTCTAGCATGGCCAGGTTCAGCAAAGAAAAATAGCGATGAAAACAAAAAAGACCAGCATACAGGCAGAGTCTAAAGGAACAGGCAACCAGCTAGAGTTAAAACAGCAAAAAGCACAGACATGGATAACTCAATATTCAATGCAGAGGGCTGTTAGCCAAAACTGGTAAATAAAAGTCAAAATCCAGAGCAAGGAGGTGGTCAGTCCCTGGACAAAGGGCAGCAGCACCTCTCCTCCCACACTCTCTGGGATACTTTGGAGGCGGATGTTCCGATGTCTATGGCGGGCCTCCAGTGTGGCTACTGCGCGACTCAGTTGGTGGACTTGCTGGGTGAGCCCCTTGATTTTGCTCTCTGCTTCCTGGAGCTGGCCATCTCACTCACTTCCACTGCCGTAATTTTTTGGTTAATCACTACAATTTCAGCCTGAGCCTCTCGAAGATCAGCCTTATAGACCTCTCTCAGGTCGACCAAGAGCCTTGAGGTCTCCTTTAGTAGACGGAGTGGAGTCTTCATCTGAGGACTGGTACTCTCCACTGGCCCGAGGAGAGGTGAGTACTTCCTCCTCGTCGTGGGAATCCTGCAAGGCTTCCTGGTTGCTCTGGGCCTCAGGCGCCATCTTGGACAGTGCTGGTGGCATGGGCCTCTCTAAGGAGAGTCTGATGTCTGGTAGGCTTAATGAAGTGGTCTGGGTGCCAGGTCCCTCTAGGATTAACCCTTTTTTTTTAATAAACATAGCAGTTTCAGAGACACTGCTATGTTTATAATAGGGTTAATCCAGCCTCTAAAGCCCCTAGTGGCTGTCTCACTGACAGCCGCTAGAGGCGTTTGCGTGCTTCTCACTGTGATTTTCACAGTGAGAAGACGCCATAATCCATAGCATGCACATTCAGCCGAAGAGGAGGAGGAGAGCTCCCCGCCCGGCGCTGGAAAAAAGGTAAGCTTTAACCCTTTCCTCGCCATCCAGCCCGGGAGTGGGACCCTGAGGGTGTGGGCACCCTCAGGGCACTATAGTGGTCCTTTAATTACCTCACAAGCTACACTGTGTTTGGACTAATCTCTGACCAAATACCCCAGCAATCCTTTCGTGCCAACTTCCCATTATGAATTCATTTTAGATGGCAACCTCATGAGTTAACTTGATAGTCAAAGCTTTTCTATGAGTTCCCACATTATGTGGCTGAGCTCAATGCAGCAGCAGTGCCTCTAGTGGCTATCAGCAGTACAACCACTAAAGGTGTATTTAAACCCTCAACTAAAAAATTTCAAATCCAGAAAAAAAATTAAAAATACATTTTACATTGCTGGGTTAAAAGCTTTGGGTGACTAGAGTGGTCGTTTAAGTACAATATTACAATATTACATACACCTACGTTGCCACAAAGGTCTATACCTTAAAAGAAAAAATATATTACTTTTTTTGGGTCTAGTGACATGCTTTTAAAAGACCAGTTACAAGCAAGCACATGTAGCTTGATGGATTAGCAGAAAACAACCATTGAATTTTTATTATTCTATAGAATAGTATCAACTCCTACATTCCTACGGAATAAGAGCCACGGGACAGAACCAACGTCTTACTACACAGCTGGAAATATATCATTAGTAAGACAGATCCCTGCAACTCAATCACTCAGCACATTTCCAACTGAGAGAGCAAACAATTTCCTGGCAATTTCGATCAGGGAATATGAACTAGACCATAACAAACCTCATGGCAATTTAGTCTCATTTAATGCATGCTGGGCCACTCCTTTATTACTGAAACGGAAAGAATGACTGACACCACATTATTTAGCTTAATACCAATTTAATTAGGCAGCTCTTTACATATCACACAAACCTGAGAGAGAAAGGGTGTGTGGCAAAGGCTGGAATAGCCGTGCTGATTGTTAATTCAGTAACTGATATGTCAGAATAATAAGAGTATTTTGGTGTGCACGGATACTTTTTATTGGAGAATCGTTCGAGAACTCACTTTTTGTTCAGAAGCAATACTGACCGATATGAGGGGATTTAAAGCTGGTAAATCAAGAAACCGTGAAGTGATAAAATGGTGTAACTACAGAGAAACAGTGAGGTAAATAGCAAAAGATGGGTCCAAAAGTGAGAGCTGAAAGAAATTGGGAATGAATTAATGTGTGTGTGCTGCTTTCATACAGGGGTGTGGAAATGTAAAAATAATCTACTTGTCCAAGGGACTAAAGTGGTTGCCCAATCTATGTGTCTGTCACAATACACTTGTTTGAGTACAAAATGTTAAATTAGAAAGTTTGGGGTTGCTGCTTCGACCTGGGCATTGGCAGGGTTATTCCCTAAACTCTGGAAATTTTCCAGGATTAAACTGAAAGAAGAAACAGACCAAAATAGCAGTTCTGGAAGAATACGCCAACTCGGCTAGTCACAACAGGCTTTTTTTTTTTTTCAGCGTGTGTTTTGGCTGGGTGTAATATATATGGTGTTTGCTGGCTCTATGTAGTTTATGTGTGCTGCCTGTGTGTAGTGAGTGCAGGCTGTATTCTGTGTATGTGTGGTGTTTACTGGCTGTATGTTGTGTTTGTGTGCTGCATCTCTTACTCTCACCCAAGTCAAATCTTTTCTAAACTTTACCAGGCTCCAATACATGGAGCACATGCCTCAGATCACAACCCTGGTAATTGCTTCTCATGCTTCCAGCACTGTCAGAGTATGCTGGGAGTCTGTAGTGTGCGTGGGAACTGCTGATTAATCGTCTAAAGAGGTCTGCAAGTGCAGAATGTATAGCACTTACACGACTTGCCACTAACACGGTCCTCCTAATAGTACTCCCAAATGAACAGCATGCCCGGCACCCGGAACTGCATGTCTCAGACGTCAGGCAATTCAAATTTCACATCCCTGTTTCAAATATGTATTGAATAGCGTTTAGATAAGGATTAATAGACAGACAGCTCTAAGACTGTCCCAAGACGCTCAGGAATGGATGTGACCGGCTTAGCAGCACAGGAGCAAAAATTCTACAACAACAAGTGTGCACTGCTTTTAACTACCGAGTTACAATCACCTAACGTTTTATTCAATGAAATCTTATTATGCACACGCCTTGTCAAGTAACAAAGGGAAATATATACAATAGATGCCAAAATATTATGGTGACAAAACTTCCCACAGTACAAATGGATAAATTACTGTTGTGCACCACATGCATATTTCAAATTTGGACTTTGGAAAGGCCACCATAAGCACTGAAACACCAGATATCATGTGTCCACAACTATCCCAGAGTTCCGAGGTTGATGGGCAAATGCGCACAGACAGGCATCATGTTTCAGACTTCATGCTGCATTTCTGCAGGTACCGTTTTATTTATTTAACAATTCGTGTATATGCCCTTATCCAGAGTGCTTTACATAGAGCAAAAAACGACAAGTGAAAAAACTGTTTTGATCTATTCATTGAGTTGCGATATAGGCCTCTTATATTTTTGGACAAACTTTTAAAATAATTCAAAAGTATGAAAAATATTTTAATGTTGTAATATTTTTAGATAAATTTTAACATGTTTAAAAAAACAAAAAACATTTGGGGCAGAGCCTAACCGCGAAACAGGAGAGACGCCATTTCTGGTAGCTCCCGACCAGGCATTGAAATCCAGCACAATCCCTCTGCTTACCAGACCCATCCGGCTCCAATACCTGCGGGAACGGACTGGGGACCATCTGCAGCATCCATTGATGCCTTTCCTATACTCCCCAAAGCAGGGGAAGCCGAAACGCAGGTCTGGGGCCTACTACTAACAGGCGCCCGCATACCTCGAGGGGCTCCTCTGCAACTGGAGCATATACAGTGCTGCTGACACGCCTGACTGCGCTGCTCCAGGCTCTGGGTCTTACAGGCGCCACACCCGCCACCTCTACTACACCTCTCACCCAAGCCTGGCACCCAGAAGCAGCAGTACCATTTGTGCCAAGATCCACACCAGCCACCTGACTGATAAGGGAGAAGACACCGCTCCACGTTTGGAAGTAATCTGCAACAGTTCATCTATGTTCTGTATCTGTACTTTTCGCTTTAGTTCTCTCTGTTGCCAAAATACTAACATGTTACCCTTTTGGTACTCATACCTTACATGGCCAGGCCCTACTGGGAGCAGTTCTGTCTCGAGTGTACATACACATTAAGCACATCTACCAGAGGTGGACAACCCGCCCCCCACCACCCCCCTGGTTAGGGGCGCTTACCTCTTTGGGGAACCAAATAGTCCTCCTGACACCACCTACTCCACCACTTTGGCTACCCAAACGACTGCCTCACACCCAACACTCATGAGCTACGAAGCTACAAACCAACACTCTACAACCACCCTCACGTCACTCACTCGTTATTAACAAGCACCCAGAATGTTAAAACCCCGCATCCACTCACTCTAGCTAGCCCATACATACTGCCTCCAATCGACCTGGTAGAGGATCACCATCACATAATCTAAATACGCTAGTATGCACCGACTCCCCAACCAGGGCTACAACCCTACTACATATATTTAAAAAAGTGTGTAATGTCCTCAATGATGTACCAGTTTCTGGCAAACCTCGTTCACTGTATGATACATTTTACATTGTAATATCACAATTGTGCCCGTCCTTGTTGTTGTGACAAGGCAGGCTTCTGAATAATTTGCTGCGCACCAAAAATAAAGAATTATAAAAAATAAAAAATAAAACTTAATTTAAAAAGTTTATCTACAAATATTAAATAGTTTGTAAAGCTTATCCTACAATATAAAAATCGAGGTCAAAGTTTGGGTATAATACTTGGAGGAAATATCATGTTAGACTAAATAATAATTACAGTAAATTATTGAACATACAAGAACAGCAAGGTTACATTAAACAAATTATAAAACAATAAAAGTTTTACTGAACTATGGTATATATTTTCCTCAACAAAAAACATATTGAGTTATGGCTAGGGGAAATAAGGAACAGGATGAAAGATGCACAGGTAGAAGAGGGATATTGGTATGGGAACAGATCAGGTGAATTGAGGGGGGCCAACCAGAGGAATGAGTTATTGTGTCATTGAAAATTTTTTGGTGTCTCGTCAGAAATTTGAGGAAGGATGAGAGAGAAGTGGTTGACTGGATGTGAGGTAGGAGCTTGTCCCAGTAATAGAAGGCTAGTATATTACAAAGAATAGAAGGTGGTAGAAGAGTGGGTGTAAGAGATGCGAGAGGGAAGAACAGTACAGGCTTGTTTTTTTTGTTTTTGTTTTTTAAATCCATAGCTTAGTGAGTTGTGATCCACAAGGACTAGTGACCAGAGATCTGTAATGGACTGTAGAGTCTCAACCTTGTGGTCTCATCTGTATGGTCTCTAATGTTGTTGAATTTTTAAAGTTACACACTCACTCTCATAAACTTGGCCAAATAACACACTGTAGGATGAAGAAATGACGGTAGGTTCGTATTTTAGCTTACTGTGGCATGTCATTGATAAACTAAACCAGTGTTTCCCAACCCAGTCCTCAAGGCACACCTATCAGTCCAGGATTTAGGGATTACCCAGTTGTGTCTAAGGTGTTTTTACAAAGAAGAAAAAAAACACCTTAGACACAACTGGGTAATCCCTAAATCCTGGACTGGTAGGTGTGCCTTGAGGACTGGGTTGGGAAACACTGAACTAAACAGTCCATGTCTATAGGGAGATTTCAATAGCTACCCTGACATTTAATCAATGATTCCAGTAGTGAATTTAGTGGATTTTGAGGGCTTACCTTTATTACATAGAGATGATTTAAGGGATTACTGTACAGATCAAATTATTTACTTACTTGCAGTAAATGAGGATTTTACTTTTATTAAATGGATTCCAAATAAAAACAAGTTCCATACACAGTAAGTGTTTCTCTGACAACAGAATCCCTATGGTCCAATAACCTGTCAGAAACATACTAGCTGCTATGTCTTTAGGGAGATATGTTTAATTTATATTTTGCACACAATAGTAATTGGGGGTGGGGGGAAGGGAGGTTCTCAAGGAAATATACATCTATGCCCTGCACTACACACTGTATAGCAAACGGCCAATGATTTTTATTTATTTTTTTAATCGGCCAATATATTTAAGCAGAGTAAATCCATGATGAACCTTTACATAAACAAAACAGATACCTAGACAGATTAGAGGGAAACACAGCTGCAGCGATTTTATAAATTTATCATGTGGTATGGAGCAGCACGAACAATTTTAACCAGTAAACCCCAAATATTAAATAAAATCCAAACTGCAAAATTACGGTAAAATAGTCAAGAATACAGCAGAGAGAGAATTTATTAAAAAAAAATAAAAAAAAATTTGCTGTTTTTGTGAAAAGGAACATTTCACGTGGTCTTTACTACAGTGTTATATACAGCTGCACAAATGTTCACAGGCAAATGGTTGTAGCACAATAACCATATTTATGTAACAAGTAAAACAAACTCTTAAAACATGCTCTAATAGGGATAAGTGCAGACACATTATAGCAATTTTATTACTGTCAAAACTACTTTAAATGGACACTATAGTCACCTGAACAACTTTAGCTTAATGAAGCAGTTTTGGTGTATAGAACATGCCCCTGCAGCCTCACTGCTCAATCCTCTGCCATTTAGGAGTTAAATCCCTTTGTTTATGAACCCTAGTCACACCTCCCTGCATGTGACTTGCACAGCCTTCCATAAACACTTCCTGTAAAGAGAGCCCTATTTAGGCTTTCTTTATTGCAAGTTCTGTTTAATTAAGATTTTCTTATCCCCTGCTATGTTAATAGCTTGCTAGACCCTGCAAGAGCCTCCTGTATGTGATTAAAGTTCAATTTAGAGAGTCAGATACAATTATTTAAGGTAAATTATATCTGTTTGAAAGTGAAACCAGTTTTTTTTCATATGCAGGCTCTGTCAATCATAGCCAGGGGAGGTGTGGCTAGGGCTGCATAAACAGAAACAGTGATTTAACTCCTAAATGACAGTGAAATTGCAGGGGAATGATCTATACACTAAAACTGCTTTATTTAGCTAAAGTAATTTAGGTGACTATAGTGTTCCTTTAAGTTCTTCAAATATGCGCACAATGCCCACTAAATGTGGGTAAGTGTGACCTGGAAATGTATGAATAGTAAGTGCTAACAAGTACAAAGTAACTAAAGTATATACAGTACTAAATCAAGGGGAGGAAATCACATATTAAAATCCCAAGAAGTGTATACACTTAAACTATTTAGTGTTTAATCTAGGGTTAAGCCCCCTTTAGTAAACCCCTGGAGTGTCCCGATGCCCGATTTATTATTTTCTTATGGTACTTGAAGTTTAATTTTTCTGCAGAATTTGTTTCAGATGGATAGTGAGGCAAAGTATTAGAATCAGGAAGGTGTTAAAGTAAAAGCAACAGCTAATGTTAAATTTCTACAAATCTTTAAATTGCTCTCATAGGTATTAGGTAACTATATATTGTTTTCTAAATTACATATTTGACAAAGTATTTATAAAAGTTAAAATGTCATTATTTGATTTAACCAATTGTGAGGCAAGCTTTTGTTTTGAGCTATATGATAAAACTTGCAAAAGTTGCAGGGGGGCAGAGGGTACCATAGTGCTAGATATACAACTAGCACTATAGTTTCCCTTTAACAATGAATTGGAACCCCACACTTACCAGAAGAGATGTTAATGATTTCTTTAACAATTGCATTCTGGGCTTCTTCATATTCCTCCTTATGTTTTATGTATTCTTCATTAAAGGAGCTTAATTTACTGCAAGGGAAAAAAAACAGTTTTATTGTTGGTGCAGTCATTCCATCCTTTATACACATTCACAAGCAAACGGATTATGGAGTGAAACAAGCTCTGTTGCTAGGGCTTTATATTTTAAAGAGCGAGAGGTGCAACGATATCTGGAAAACAAAATGGAAAAATACAAACCCCAGTGCAGCATTACTAATGAAACTTAAATATAAGGATATAAGTGCACACTCACACTTAATAGAGCTTTGCAGAGTTCCATATTAATGGCTAGAGTGGATGCAGGGAAACATGCAATATCTTGGGAGGGAACGTCAAAAACTTTTGAAACACTGTCCGACCCAAGGGGCAAGTACAGTATCTGGCTAAAAGATTTTGTAACATAGGATGAGGTAGAGATTAAATGTTTACTCTTTTTTTTTCCTTTATACTTCATTAAAAAATCTATTTCCTTTTAATACTTAAAGGATTACTATTTTAAAAAACATTTTGAGGTGGCAGCTGTCCTTTAAGTGATTATTTGTAATACTGCACTATGATTTCCATTTTGTCTTTCAGATATTGATCCAGCTACAAGCAAAACTACCTTAATAGTGCTTTATGGTTCAATTTCTGTTCTTTATGCTTTGTGGTATTTGTGTTACTACGGCAAAGGGAATCTGTCAGAATTGTTTTCTGCCTTGTAGTATCTATTAGAATCCAGATAAACACCAGAGCTAATTCATTTTGTATATCTATTCTAGACAATTTCTGGTTCATCACAGGAGATGGAATGTGGTGGGTGAAATTGTACGTCTTCTGAAACATGTTAAGGGGTTACCACAGAATGACACCAATTAAGCACTCACTTCCCATTTTCTATATCGTAGTTATGGGATGGCTATGTAGAGGCTCTAGTGCAGTTGAGTAAGGGTCCATTTATTATCATGGACCCCATTTGCATTATTGCTCAACGTTCTTCAAGAGAAAAGAGAAGATTACTACACAATAGAAGATGTGCACCAGCTGCTCCGGGAAATTAACCAACAGTTTTTAGGGTGATTTAAAAAAAAAAAAAAAAAAGCAGTACTTTTTGTAAGTGTGTAAAGTAGTGCTTAAAGAGACATCCAAACACCAAAACTAGTCAATGTTAACGTAGTGGTCTTGGTGCGAATATGTTGTCACTTTTCTCTGAATGTGAAAAAAACAACTGCAATTTTGAAAGAAATGGCAATGTTTACATTTAGCTAAAGACCTGCCTCAAGTGGTGGTCAGATAGCTAATAGTCACTTTTCCTTCACCTCCTTTGATTTTCAAAGGTATCGATGTCACCAAAGTGGCTTAAGGACATTGCTGCCTGCTGACTGCATGTCCTAAATCAGGGCTGCTCAGAAGGTAGATCCCCAGATGCTGTAGAACTAAAACTCCCATAATACTTTGCAGGTCTTTAGAATTCCTTAGCAACATGAAAGCTGTAGTTTTAAAACGTTTGGGGATCTACCTTCTGGGTAACCCTGTCCTAAATGAACAGCAAGCTGAGCATTCAGTGCTTGTCTAAGAGACAAAATAGTTTGACTTGCAAGTCATCAAGCTTGATTACTTCAAAGTAGGATGATAGGGCTGTAATAAAATTAAATTTAAAATTGTATTAGTATTCTAAAATTCTAAAATAAATTAAAATCCTCTGAATCCTGAACAAAATGGTTTAAGAACACAAAATCTAAGCTATATTAATACTGCAGTATATCTGTGGATTTCTAATTATTTTCACCATTAAAACTGTCCCTTGGGCACCACTTGCAACATGGCAGGACTCTGAATCCTGTGTTTAACATTCAATACAATTTCTATACAGTATATTAGCTATGCAGTAATCTGCTGAGTTTCTGAATTAAATGCTGGTCAGAGTACTATATGTAGGGGATGTAAAATCACTAAATGCAGATCATGCTTTAAACTGGGGGTGATCAGTGGATCTCCAAGCTAAAAATTTCCTACATTTTTTATGAACCATTTGGTTTGGGCTGGTAAAAGGCTTATGGGAGTTGGGGGAGACTTAATGATTTGTTAGCACACAGTCTTTCTATACAACCAAATCCTTCAAGGAATTTATACCCATCACCAGTATATTTTAAAGTCTTAAACACAAGAGACATCTTTCTAAATCAATATATATATAAAATACAGTTTCAAATGGCAAGGGTTATATTGAAATCAGAACATGTAGCCACAAAAATATGTTTTGGTTAATGAACTAATCACTTTTTAACAAAAGGCTTCTGAAAAAACTTTTATTGAGGGCATTTAATGCATATCAACTTACATTTCCCATGATTTGCAACTTATCTCATGGAAGTTTTAAAAACAAAATGATTCTCTACCTAACTCAATGTGGCTGGATTTTCCTGAATATAAACAACTTGCAAGAATCAGAAGAATGATGGGAAAACTGCCATTAATATAAAGCACACGTTAACATTCATTACTTGGTTCTGCTGGCAAATGTAAGTTGATTTTACATATACTTTTGTTTGATTTATCACAAAGCCATATGGAGGATATGTTTAAATTGGAAAGACTGATGTCATAAATATCTAAAATAGAAACATGACAGTTTCTCCTAAATTTAACAAATGTATTTTTACTATAGAAATTAATTTGACACATTAAAACAAAGTGTTCGAATTCTATTGCAAGCTTCTAAACGAAGACAGCAGGGTGAAAATTACATATACAGATTGCTACTGTAATTTAGGAATTAAGGAAAAAGCAACCATTCACACATACCAGCTACTGTAAGGATAATGATTTGTCAAGTTTCAGAGGACGACCTTTTAATCTTTGAATCTGTGAATGATAAACAAGTCGCCAGGGAGCCAACCAGGTTCGAGCAAAACGTGTCAAATAAATGCATTTCCTGGTAGATGGAGCAGGGTAAAGTCCCTCTCCACTGGATGAGGCAGAAGAACCCATAAGGCAACAATTAATTCAGTATGCTCCGCCGCCCCTCCTCTATAATCCTGAGTTCTACATGTATACAAGCAGAGGAGGAGTTTCAGCAAGAAGAAACAACAATGTGAGCCTGGAATTTCAAACACAGCCAAGACACCAACATGCAGTGAAGTGGGGAGGGCGCGTAGATTCTCGCCATAAGGGAGGAAATGAATTTACAAGGTAAGACACCAATTTTGCTATACTTGCTAGAATGGTGAGAACTTGCAAGTTACAGGCCACCCCAAAATGCAAGGTAGGTAGTGAGTGACAAAAACTGAACCAACAGAACACAGTCCTCCCAAAAGAAGCATCAATGTAGCAAAATCATGAATACAATGTGAGGAAATGTTTGCAAGATTGCCTAATTGGCTTTACATAATTGGACCGTAGAAGCTTAAATTGCAAATGATCAGATAGCTACTGAACAAATGGAATGTGCAGTGAGCCTGTCTGGAAGAGCCTGATTAGCCATAAGCCTTTTTAATGATTATTATATTTATATAGAGCCAACAAATTCTGTAGCACTTTACAATGGGTGGACTAACAAACATGTAATTGTAACCAGACATGCTTGACACACAGGAACAGAGGGTCTGGGGGCCCTGCTCAATGAGCTTACATGCTAGAGGGAGTCGGGTAGTGACACAAAAGGTAAGGGAAGTATTAGGGAAGTAGATTGGTAGAATAGTATTCAATGAAGACTTTGTGTGGGGTTTTTTAAGAGCCATTAACAGTTTAATTGATATGCTTTTGTGAAAAAGTGTTAATGTTTTTTGAAGGAGTGGAGACTGGGTGGGCGTCTAACGGAAAAGGGAAGGGAGTTCCACAGGATCGATGCATCCCTTAAAAAGTCTTGGATATGAGGTGGGACGCAGGTCTTCAGCCGAGCGTAGGGGCCTAGACGGGACATGCTTGTGTATTAGGGAGGATAGATAGGTGGGAGTAGTATTATGTAGATATTTAAAGGTAAGAACCCGAATTTTATATTGAGCCCTATATCTTACAGGAAGCCAATGCAGGTACTGACAGGGGTGAGGCGTGGGAAGTGCAGGCAGACAGGAAGATGAGCCTTGCCGGCGCATTCATTATAGACTGCAACGGTGCAAGTTGGGAGCACATAAGGCCACCAAGAAGTAGATTGCAGTAGTCAAGGCAAGAGAGGACAGTGGTATGGACTAGCACCTTAGCCACATCTGGCGTTAAGTAGGGGTGGATGCGCGCAATGCTTTTGAGATGGAAGCGGCAAGATTTGGTGATAGACTGGACATGAGGGGTGGAGAGGTCGGAGTCAAAGAGAACACCTAGGCAGTGAGCCTGCGAGGTGGAGCTGATGGTAGCACCATTAAAGTGGAAGGAGACAGAAACGGGAGTAGCAACACTTGAGGGAAGAAAGACCAGAAGTTCTGTTTTGGACAAGTTAAGCTTAAGGAAGTGGGCAGCCATCCAGTAAGAAATATTAGAGAGGCAGTCAAAGACACTAGTCAAGAGGGGGACAGATAGATTTGCGTGTAATCTGCATAGAAGTGATATTGGGAGCCAAATGAGCTGATGAGTTTACCAAGGGAGGCAGTATAGATTGAGAACAGTAGAGGACGAAGGACTGAACCTTGGGGGACACCAACAGAGAGGTTGTGAGGAAGAGACAGAGCCAGAGAAAAACACTGAAAGAACGCTGGGTGATGTAGAAGGAGCACCAGGAGAGAGCGGTATCTCGTAGACCGAGCTTACGGAGGATGAGAAGAAGCTGTAGATCAACAGTATCAAAAACAGCAGAAAAGGTCAAAGAGAATTAGGATAGAGTAGTGACCACGAGATTTTGCAGCGAGTAGATCTTTTGATACAATGATGGGCTTAAGCCAACTGGCAAATGTGATGACCACAGCTTTCTGACAAAACTGCTGAATTCTAGGGAGAAGGGAAAGATTTTATTTTTTTAAGATTATGTTTTACTCCTGTTTTAATAATTATGTATTTTAAAACATGCGAAAAATGAAAATAAATGCAATTGCAACTCTTTTTCCTGCAACTGGGCCCCTACTCAGATATGCAGTGCACAAAAATAAGAATTTGTCATAATTAGTTGTTTGTTTTTAATATACTTTCTAAACACTTAATAGGGATGGTGCATGCGTTTCTTTTTGACTCTTACTTATTTGTACCTTGCCTCAATTTGCACCTCTTTTTTTTCTTTGTCAGGGTCCATTTGGAAAGCATATCTGGGTACACAATACGGCAGTGTTAGGAATTTTGAAATCACGAAAAAAGTACCGAAGAATGGGTAAGGTAGATATTGTATAGCGAGATAGTATGGAATTATGTCCGTGTCCTGGGGGAGTAGATGTTGTCATCACAGGATTAGTTTCAGAATTTCAAGTAGTTTGTAGGAAAAATCTACTATTCCTATAAAGATTTATACAAGTTGTACTTGTCTTGAGAAACAAAAAAGGCTTGGTATCACTATCTCCTGCAAGACCAACATGTCAGAGCACATATGACACCAGGCCCTTATCTTGTATTTCATAATTTGCCATTGGTGTTTTCTGACCTAAAATTGTTACAATGTGAACAGTAACTTGTCTTTATTCTTACATTTAAATTCAACCCTTGCAATAAGTCTTGTATGACAAAACCAAATAGACAGAAACAGCTAGCAGAAGCTGAGAGTAGAATTCAATTTTCCTTAGGGAAGAATGACATTTGTTTAATTTTAATAATTTAGCTTTTGCTGTCATCACTCCTCTCCGAACACTGTACAGTTAACACGACACCCCCTCGTTTTTCTTCTGTGGACATATTGTACAAACAACCCCTGAGATAACAGTGAAAGGCTTAGTGGCATATAAAGCACCTGGCAGTTTAACAAAACAAACGTCCTCAGAACAGGTGGCGCGGCACCTCAAGTGAATAGTAACAGTATACACCATTCAGACACGCTTCTAATGAAATTACTTCCTGAAAGATACATTGATCAACCATAAACACGTTGTGTGTTTAGCTGTCCTTTTTCATTTGTACGCAGACGTATTCTATAAAACGTAACAGCACCCAGTCTACTTTATCACTCATCTCCAAACTAGCAGTGCAGACAACAGGCCAACAAAATTATGCTTAATTTGAGTGTTTATACACAATTATAAAATACAGACCACGCACAATAATGGGATAAAAAAAAAAAAAATAGCAACCAAAGTTATGAAAGCTATGAAATAAAACACATGTCCAACTTAAATTCTATACGTCTGTAGACACACAATAATCTAAAAGGAAGTCCTTTCCTTTTGAGAAAACATACTGCTGTGCATCCTTCTGTTTTTGCATTTGTTCTTCTCGAAGGGGAGTGTATACAAGTCTCTAATAGATGGTGAAAAAAAATATATAACATTTATAGTTTTGTGATAAAATGCCATTTTACCATGTACAGGGAATTTCTGAACTTCACTGATGAACTTGCAGATTTCCCTGACATTCACTTTCTACTAACTCCACTGTAAAACCCCAGCAAACGACGGGATGGTATATTAGGGTGGCTGCAGACAGAGGCTTTAAGACGTATTACAACCCCCAGTGTCACAATTTACCAGGCAGCAATGAGAACCAGTCACAGTAAATCGGCATGTTTATTCTACTGGGTGCTGGCAGCAATGATATTTTAATTTCTGCTTCCTTTAGAGATCCAACAGGTGAAACATAGATCAGTGTAGTATGGGTTTTTTCCCTATAGATATGTAAGTGACTCAATCAATATCTTTAAATTTGTGCCACCAAAACATCTTTTATAAACATGAAAAGCTAGCCTTTTTACTGACTGCAACAGCCCCTTGCCTCTGTTACATCATATCAGTGACCAAAATCTATGGCACAAGTTATCATGTCCACTAATATAACCCTATTTATGGAAGAAGCAAATAAACACAACGGATACAATCACATAGAATAAGAGTTTCAATTTCTCAACCGGAAACATACTGCAAGGTATGGTTAGCTTCTTTACAATACAATATAAAAACTCAAATAATTAGCACTCTCTAATTTTGAACCTGGAATTCAATGGGAATACAAGAGTACTGTCTAAACTGGTTTGACAAGTTGGACATTGTTCAAAAAAATAATAATAATAATCTGTTTACTATAGTTACAACCACATCTCTCTTACTGCCAATACGATTGTAGATATAAGAATTCATTTTGTTATGCTAGTTAATTGCCTCATTTCATGATCAGAGTCACCGTGCATTAATATATTAACCACTTAAGAACCACTAACATCTTAGGAATGTAATTATATATTTTCTAATGAAGATTTCTAAGAAGCCGAATAGCATTTTCGATGTGCCAATTCCTAAATATGCCACCAGAATGTAAAATTGTCTCTGTGGAGCGTTTATCAACAAAAAATGAAAGATAACTTATTTACCCTGTTGGGGTCAAAAATGTTCAAGGTCACGACTCATTTAAGGCTCTGGATATTTACCCACTTCTATCTATGTATGTAGAAAATATATAGAAATGTATACCTGTTAGTAAATCTCACTCCATTTTTCTGGATATCAATTGTAGTAAACTTCTTGTTGTTACGTAGGGATTTTTCCTCCTTGCATGTAACTCGGAAGTAGTGCCCAAGCTGAGCGTTGGATTCCAGTTTTATGCTTTTACCAGCATCTAGGCCTATTCAATCAAAAGGTTAAAAATAAATAAACCAACGAGTATGGTATCTGTGCCAGACAGAAATGTCATAAAAAAACCCACCGGAGTTAACAGTCCTCCCTTAAAGCGTAAAACTAATGAGTCTTCTACTAGACACTGCTATCTGAATAATTGGCTCTCTTGTCATATTAAATTTACTTTAAGAGCCGTGACGTCTGGTGGATGTATGAGGAGCCAAATAAACTTATCATTTGACAGCATTAGTGCTGAATATGGCAAGTCTCATAGGAAGAGTCAGGAGACAGACTGAGATGTGTTTAGAAAATGGGCACATTGGGAAATGATGGCCACAGAAGCGGTTGAGCTTAACTGTTGAGGCTAATAAACTTCCATTGCAAGACAACATACAGTTAGGGATTATTAATGGATAGTTTAGCCTCTTTAATGGATACATTTGCAATACAGGGGTATCTCGAAAACCTTCCACATTGATTAACTGTACAAATAGGTATGGGTTTGGTAGCAGAAAAATGAGGTTGGTACCAAATTAAAAAGAGGTGTACATCAATGTGCCTCTGGTCACTTTGTATTTTTCCTTTGTGTTTAAATGTGTTTTAAAAATTCAGATACTTGCACACATGCACATGAACTACAGTTTTACAGACACTAGGAACTAGTGTTAAAGGAACACTATAGAGTAAGGAACACAAAAGCGTATGCCTGACCCTATAGTGTTAAAAAACACAATTTAGGTGGCTTGCCATAGGGAAAACATTGGATAGGCTAAGCTCGCCATGGAGGCGGAGCCAAACTGCGGCCTGGCCAATCAGCATCTATTCACAGAGATGAATTGAATCAATGCATTTCTATGAGGAAAGTTCAGCATCTCCATGCAGAGGGTGGAGATACTGAATGTTGGTGAATGTGCAGCACTGCCCCGTGAAGCACCTCCCTTGGCCATCTGAGGAGTGACCAGTGGATGTGTCCCTATGTTTTAAATGTAAAAAATGTTTTTTTTCTCTGAAAAAAAACATTATTTACAGTGTTTGCATGAAAATGCCTGCAGGGACTGTTTATACTCACCAGAACAAATACATTAAGCTGTGGTTGTTCTGGTAACTATAGTGTCCCTTTAATCTAAACTTGAACTGAAACACTGAAATATTAGTAAATTTATAGAACCGAAAAGTAAACCTTTTAAAAAGCCTAATTTACACATATTCACCTTCTTTAAGGAAGACTTGGCTTGCTAGAGCCATTTTTGTGTGTGAATTTTAATCTCTGCAAAGAAGTGAAGTAGATCAATTGCCTTTAGTCAGCAAAACAATACTGCTAGTGGTGTTTTAAGAAATACCAAGAAAAGTGTAAACGATACACTGAAGCCATATATATTCAGGAATAGTTCTGCTGCAGAAATCTAGAAGGGGAAAGGTATACAGGCATACTGTAGCAACGGGGATAAAAATAAAAATAAAAGCTACAGAGACGGGAGGACAGAAATATAATTGGGTATAGACAGGAAAAATTGGAAGAAGATTAAATATGAATGGGTGCATGGGAGCTACCTGTATTGATCTTTACAGACAAACACTAGGGTGCAGGTGATTGCGTGGGCAAAGTTGGTAATACAGTAATCTACAAATCTATCCAGCATTTTCACAAAAATATACCCACCAAGCTCTCTTGCTGCGCTATTTAGAGCTGACTGCATATTCTTTTCAAGTTCATCCATCTTTTCTCTCAGCTCTGTCAGGTTAGGATCAAAAGACGCCTTCACAAGAAATTCATGATTTTCCACCTGAAAGTATACATCGAGGGGAAAAAAAACATGGCTCAGCATTTATGCCACAGCTCCTGCTAAAAAGAAGCTAATTGTCAGCTGGGAGGTCGAGACATACAGAGGAAGGACATATTTTCACTTTGAGCATTCCATTGAGGTGAAAGAATATTTCATGCACATTACGAAGTGTTACTAAAAGTTCTGCAATATAGGATAAAGTAATAATTCCATTTAAAATACTTTTTTGCTAAATTATTTGTATTACAACTGTCTTATATAGTAAGATACAAAACTAAAATTACAATATACAGATAGAACATGGAATTCATGACATATACAAAAACTTGTACATTAAGCTATAACTTAATAGTTCGGTCACATATCACATCTTAAAATTAATAGTTGTAATCTGAAAGAATAACTTGCAACAATATAGGTACAGATATTAAGTGGGTGCTTATGCAATGACCAATCACCAATCATAGAAAATCACAAATATATATACAAGGTGGAGTATCTCACATGCACATTCAGAAGTACGTCTTTACAGTAGGTATTATCCTGAGCTGTAGAGGGACTTTTAAAATAGAACTTGGAAACCTAACAAGATCTTCTATGCCTCTCAAACTTATTACAGATTGAAGAACATAAAAAGAATGGTAATATCTGGAATATTTTAGGACAAAAAGTCAGATAATTGGGAAGTAGTGATGTCCCGAACGGTTCGCCACGGACTCCAGTCAGCAGACACATTCCAGCCAATCCGCAGCAGACCCTCCCTCCCAGACCCTCCCACCTCCTGGACAGCTCACTAAGAATGCAGCTTCAAAATGGATGCTGTCCAGGAGAAGGGAGGGTCTGCTGCTGATTGGCTGGAATGTGTCTGCTGACTGGAGTCCGCAGCGAACCGTTCGGGACATCACTATTGGGAAGTTAAAAAAAAAAAAAAAAAAAATTCTCTTTAATTTGAATGGAAGAAGAAATTAACATGATCTTATGCTGTTCCTGGACTCATTTGTAGTAATTCTTGGTTTAATCAGATATACCTCAACACTGAGAAACACAGTAAAAATCCAACAAAACAGCTCTGGTTACAGTATAAAAGGGGCATTGCAGGCATCGCCAAGATGATGCATTGAATATATGCAAAAATAACTTAACAGCAATGAGCTCTCACCAAACTAGGAAGCCACTCAGTTCACTTAACCAATGCAGTATTTTTGAAGTAAATTTTTTTTTTTAAATGATGCAAGTTGGAAGAGAGGGCATGATAAATGGCGCTAAACAAATTTTACTTGAATCCACACTACATATGAATGGGTAGTTTTTAATTTTAGTGTAATTTTTTTGCAATAAAGGTTATGCAGCAAGCAATGTATATATGAAATGCATTCATTCAAAAGTGCAATACAAAAACATTACATTTATAAAAAAAAAAAAAAAAATAAGTTAATCGATCACAAATGATATGATATAATACATTAAAACATATATACAGGTGATACTATGTAATCACTTCCCTAACATTTTGGCAAAAAGTTACCTTGTACATATGAATTTTTAACCTTAAAGGGACAGATCCCTTATCCATTGCATTCTTTATCTATATGGAGAAAGGAGCTGTATACACTAGAGTAAAGGACCATTCTGGACAACAGAACGACTTTGGATGGTGCTTCAAGGTCCATGGTCCAATCTTTTTGGGATTTAACAGCTTTGAAGCAGCTTGACCCCAAAGTGCTTTTGGAAGAAACTTCCTTTATTCTGGCACCAGCATCAATGCTTAATCCTTTCAGTGATTTGGATACCTGTGATAGGAATAGAGTATCCAGCTCTCATTGGCTTGCCATTTAGAAAAATGCTTTAGAAAGTTGCTATGGTGCCTGAAATGCCCCTTAAATGAGTGTGCACTTTTTTAAATGTATTAATCTGATAATACAAGACAAACCCTCCCCCAGCATAACTAATTGTAACCTAACCTACACAGAGCATCTAACTTCAGTAGATGCCTTGAATATGCCATCAATTTTATAGCGATTTGATATTGTTGGCGCAATATATCCCTTACCTATTTCAATGTCCATTCCATGTCTCTTTACCAAGAAGTCTAAAAATAACTTTATAGCTCTGTGCACAAAAATCTAATTAAAAAGAAAATCTTCCGCTCGAGTTACTGCGTATATTGTATGAACTCACAATAATATTCTTAATGTTTTACAAAGACATTTGTTCTTAGATTTTAAATGAAACATGAAAAATAAATCTGAAACCACAAGCTTAAAAGGACATTCAAGAATGCGAACAAAGGGGATATTTCTGCTTTCCCGACAAACAGGATGACTCACACCAGCCTTACCAATGACCCTCAATTTTGCCCTTTAGAAGGCACAGTTTAGTCAACTGACACACTACAGGGTACAGCAAGAAAGCAGGATGAACTTTAAATTTTAAAGTGCCAATCCATATGAACAACTCCATACTTCCAAATACAGAGATGTATGGCATGCAATATGGGTAGCATAAAAGAGGTTTTTTAGTCTGCTTAATCGCATGCAATCATTGCGAATAGCAGCACTGGCCAACCCCATGCAGGTTTGCACGTGCACAAAACTTCTGAAGCACTTTTGCATGTCATACACTTCATGTTGCAACAGAACCCAAAAGTTATACACAAGGAAAGTTGTCCAGGCGCTCAATTCGACGTCAGGTGGCGTGGTATAGGAAGCGAGAAGTCCTAGTATGTCCAAACCTCGCTAAGCAGAAAATATTGGTGCATGCCATGCAGGGCACGGTCATCCAGAATTGTAATCCTTAGGCTAGAGGAATCGGTATTCCAGGAGTGTTGCAACTATGCCAGTGAGTTATCAGTTGTAACCCAAAGTGAAAAAAATGTGGTGACAGTCCAAATATCAAATAATAGTCACGAAAGACCATAGGAAAGCTACTCTTTGTGGCCTATTACAGTGGGTGGTTTTAGGATGTTGGAACTCTTGGGGAGGTTGGAGTGGGACGGCGTTCCCGTTGTTCGGTTCGCCTCTTTTTTTGCAGCAGATTGCCAGTGTTGTCACTGAGGGAGGTGATGGGCGGTGGAAGGCAGAACTGGCAAATACCAATCAGGAATGTGCACGTCTTGAAGCTTCAGAGCTCACGCAGAGGGTTGTACATCTTGTGGGCTGGAAATGATGTACACGTCTCCCCTCGAGACAATCAGCGCGAAGGGGAAGCCCCAGCGGTAGCGTTTATTGCATATATAGCTGGTCAGTGATCGGTTTTAGCACTCTCCTGGCTTGAAGAGTCATCCAAGACAGGTCTGGATAAATTTGCACCGGACTGCCATGGAATAGGAGTGTATGGGTAGATTGGCGGATATGTCTCATCACCTCTTTGTTGTGGGAGAAGTAGTGAAGGTGGCAGATTACATCTCTTGGCGCGTCTGCAGATGAGTTTTTGGGCCGTAGACAGTGGTGTGCCCGGTCCAAAAGCACAGACGTGTCTGCTGGCTTGTCCAGTAGTAAGTTAAATAGTTCCCTGAGAATAACCCCTTAATTTGCAGGTTATTTCTCCTTCCCCTATTGTCAAGATTATCTAGGGATCTCTGGTAGAAGGATAGGGACATATGTGCTTCTATGGCCAACTGTAACTGTTGCACCTGGGTGAATAACACATCCCGGTCATCCTCCAAGGAACTGACCGCTAGCCAACATGGCGGATATCCGACCCCAGTCCATCCATCTTCTTTCTGAAAGAGGATTCCAGCTTGGATAACATTCTCCATTTCTCCTTTGGAGGGTAAATTTTTTAAGAGCTCTCTGATGTCAGGCTCTTGCTGCGATAGTAAGCTCTCTGAGTCTGCTGGGCTAAAGGGTGGGGAGTCCCCGCTGTGTTCCAGCGCCATTTTGGAATCACCGGCATCATAATGAAGGTCCGAGGAATCTCGGAAATATTTGGTGAGATCCCTTTTGCGTTGGGGGTCTTCCCTGGCACATGGTGGCCAGCCTGACCTTTTTGGGGGTTACCCATATCGCTGTTTCAGCCCTGTTTATAGCGAGTTTCTGCCGTTGAGATCAGGGAGCTCAGCAGGACACGTCCATGAGGCTCCATCGTTGGCCATGCTCCTCCCCCGGCACTCAATTCTTAATATGTAACAGCAATTTAATGTGGCATAATACCAGCTATCCCAATGCCTAAATAATTCCACCGCTTCTCTGTGGTGGTGGACCTGTTAAAGAGTGTTGAAAACTATGGGGGGAGTGTGGATAAGAAAATGTGCAGCAAATATCTCTAGGAAATCGCTTGGTGCAAGTATTTGCAAGAGAAGAGAAACAAGAAAAAAAGAAAAGAATAAAATATTTAATTTCCGTCTATTAGTTCAGCTTCTTTCTTCTTGTAATGGGCACTGTGTAGCATATAATATGTAGAATGTACCATGTTTCAGATTCATTTTAGTGAAACTATTAGCAGTTGGTTAGTGAATTCATGTCCAGCACAGAATCTCTGCGACATAGCAATTAACCTAGTGCCTGGAGGAATGACAGACGCTGTGTTTACACTACTGGATACCTGAGCTGGTGGTGAAGAAATCTGCAAGACAGTTTTAGGATTTAGAGAAAACGGTCGATTTTACTGCAGTGGTTATTTTATACACAGGATTTTAAACTGGATTCACTGTACACGATTGAGAGCTTTAAGACATCCAAGTAAGAAATAATAGCCATTTTGCCTCGTAATATTTAAAACATATACTTTTGGCATTTACTTAGCACAAACATATTCTGCAACGCTTTACAATTTTGATGTGGGGATAGAAAACCACCAAGAAACAAATCATTACAAGCGTTAACAAGAAACAAGACGTTGTTGAGGACATTGCTTGAACAAGCTTACAATCTAGAGGCAAGTTTAAAAAAAAACACAAGATAGAGATAAGATCAACAGGTGAGTGTAAGTGAGAGCAGCAAAGAGTAGCTGGATGACATTCATCCAGGGAATCTATAGGCTTGCCTGATTTTTAAGGGACTTCTTAAAAAAAACTGTTCGCCAGAGGAACGTCTGATATCGAGGTGCAGTGGCAAGAATTATCCATACAGGAAACAGGAGAAGGTCACTGGCAGAATAGAGTAACCAAGAAGGGGAACGCCTATGAATCAATGAAAAAAATGTTATAGAGGTGTAGAGTTATTTGCATGTGTGTGTGTTGGCATCTTGAACTGAATCCTTGAGGATATAGGAAGCCAATAAGTCAATTAACAAAAGGGGACCTGACAGCAGTGACCAAAAAAATTGGCTTGGCAGCAGCATTAATTAATGAGCTGTAGAGAGGCAATAGGGGCCAAATTAGGAGCGAATTTCATGTATAAAGCTGGAAAATTATAAGAAAATAAAAACAAGCTCCTTAGTATTACCTCAGGTAAGAAAGGGGTACATGAGGACAATGTTTTTTTTTAAAGGTTCTTACAATATAAAAGAAAATGATTACAATTACACCATATGTAAATGTAGAGTTCATGGATACCGATTTATGCATGTTTACAGAAGTTGTAAAAGTTATTTGGGGGGAAAAAAATGATAGTATCATTCTCTAGGTTTATCCACAAAAATAACAATTCAAATTGATTTCCAAATTTAAGGCCAAGGTTGCCAAACTGGAAGCATAGCCGACTTAGAGAATGCATTTATCTGTTAGGCTATTTTGACTTTAAATTCAAAATTTACTTTGATCGCTCACTTTAGTGTGTGTCTGACTTGCCAAGCCGCTTACAAATAATATAGGCAGAAGAAATGTTATAATAAATCACATCCAGCTATAGATTTTTTTGAAAGAGTAAGCTAGTTAGCAAAGCAAAAAGGGGTGTATAAAACAATCAAAAAGTATTTGTCTTGTAGCACTACGTTTCACGGGAATACATAAAGATTTTATTCCCCCTCCCTTTTCAAGAAGGAACCTCATCAACGCCATGCGGAAAGCTTTAGGATAAACAGAAGTGTTAATAAAATTCTAATCTATTTGTAGAGATAAATGCCACAACTCAACTTAGGTCATAGAAGTTGTTCATGATCCTTTATGTTAAAATATTATCAATATATGTCCATGGTAAGTAAAAGTGATGCAAGTAATATGGGCTACGAGACAACCTACTCTAGAACATGCAGCGTACAAGGATATATGAACTCCAAAAATTAGAACAATCATTGTGTAGCCATGATGCTTGACCTACAAGAGGTTTACTGTACTGTAAGAAAAGACAGGGGACGGCGATCTACTCCAAGAATCGGTAAAGCAAATAAATAAATGCAGAAAAGGGGATGCAGCTAAGATGCCAGTAATTCATTATTTTTTAAATTTAGTTTAATTTTAAGTCAAGCTTGATACTCAGAAATGCATTAACATTCCTCTGTTGCTTAGAGTGTTTCCTCAAACGGTTTCCCCCATCAGAAGTTTAGTAACAAAGCTAATAATTTCAGGGAAAGGAAATTTGTATTGTAGGATGTCCGGGCAGGGAGCTTTTTTTTTTAGCCCTACAGTAGGCAAGCGGCAGGGCTGAAAGGGTGAGGTTTGCACATCTGGCGAATGCAAACCACAGTCCAGTGCTCTCTAGTGAGGGAGGGTGCAGCCGCCAGGATTCCCAACATGCACTCAAGACTCACTCAAGTGTCAAGACAGAACTATTACGGAGGTCTGCACCCACCAGAGGTGCAAACCTCACACTCCTACATAAAACAACCAAGGATACCATGACCGTAGAGATCCAGACGAAAAAAGGGTGAGATGGGAGTGGGGAATTAGCTGCTAGAATAGAAACTAAGGTACGGTAAGTAAACATACTAGATTATGCTAAATTTAGCATTTAGTTTAAGTCATGAAGTGAATAATGAAGTAAATTCTCAGCTACTCAGTAAATCCATCGTATCAACTCCTTTGTTAAGGGTTTCAGCTGTCCCTATCACCTATAACTGAACAGGACATACTGCCTGACTAGTGTACGGCTTTGAAGATTGCATCTAAAAAGCATCTTAATATTTCTCATAATTCATCCCATAAATTGGAGGTCTCTGTTACATTACAATACATGTTGTATACAGACAGGGCACACAGACACACTATGGGGAGGAGGGACACTAAACAATTTTTCAAAAATTAAATGGCAAAACTGTGACAAAAATTAGCATGGTGTGGCTATAGCAGAGGTGGAGAATTTTTCCAGACCAGCTAACTTTGCCTCAGTTCTTCGATTCAGATTTGGGGGTGGGTGGGTTCCACACCCCTCAATTTACAATGAATTATGCTAGTTGCCATTTGAGTTCATGTATCACTTATGTCCAATTCTTTAAAAAATACACATCACAGATTAAGGTCCAGCATAACCACCAGGGACTGTTTGTGGCAAGGGGCGTTTCCGGAGGACATTTATAGATTTCAGTTTTAATTGAAAGTATTCATGAATAACAAGGCTGTTTACATTGTAGGATTATATAAATACTAAAATAATATTTCAGGAATTTTGCAATGGTAAATAATTTCTATTAATAACCATATGCAACACTTTTATGGACCTTGTAAACCAGATATGTTAGACATAGGAATGTAAGGGCTGAAATTCATACCAACACGGCCTGTGAAGTTTCAGAAGCATTTTAATTTGTATTAAAATCTGCTATATTTGACAGTTTTGTGTTTTGTTTTAAATTTTTTTTTTTTACATTTATAACAATTGGGATTAATATATTTTTATATTTGCACCCTATTTTACATAAATTGTCCATATATTTAGATTATGTCTGGAAGTGAATGAGGATTCTGTTGCACACTAATTAATTGTAGAAAGCTGAAATTTTGGTTTCTACAAATATATACTCCCTAGCCTGTTAATTTTCAAGAGCAACTATATAAAAACACTTTTTAAACTTAAAGACATAATGGAAGGGCTATTTGAAACCCTGAATTTGTCAAGTGCACAAGGATTCCACAAAAAATAAAAAAAAGGATAAACCTAATGCTAGGCTCAAAACACTTAAGATATGCTATATCCAGTTAACATTTTGATGTTCTACTTTTCACACAAGTCCTCCACAGATAGAGAACAGACCTTGCTGTAAATACTGAAACTATTCATTAGTATGCAAAAAGGAAATATATCTACATATATTATAGGCCAAAAGGATTGTGCCTGACAAATTAGCCGAGCAAATCTCAGTGGTAGAAAGCACATTGGACGGTATCTTTGAGAACATATGACCATACATTTAATCCTTTAGGATGCAGGGTCAGCAATGCACGGATCTATCGGCCAGTTACCTCGAATTATTAATTGTAATAGGACAGGGGGCGTGGTCTGCGGTCGAAAAGAGCTTGATGTGTGCGAGTGAAGCTCAGCGAGAACCACGAAGCCAACAGCGAATGTTTGTGTTGATTTCACGGATTTTGCGGTTTCCTGACCTGGGAGACATTGTATGGAGAAGAGGGCCCCGAAGAAACAGCCCAAGGGGCAATCAGAGCAGTGTGGTATGGTCTTGGATTTATTTGCGACCTCAAGGGCCATGCGGGCTGGATCCCAAGATAGCGGCCGGGCGAGTCAGAGGGCGACGGGATCACCTTCCAGCACTGAGGAGTAGTGCTGACACATCGCAGATCTTGGTTAAACTCTCGGAAGTTCGCACTTACCTCGCCACTGAGATCGCCAGGGGCACCAACGAGGTTAAATCTGAGATCCAGTCCTTGTGCATGAGGACAGAGTTGTTGGAACAGCTGGTGGAGTCCACGGCTGTGCCCCATGATGCAGCTGCTGCACAGATTAACAACCTCACTGCCAGGCTGGCGTCGGCTGAAACTGCCCTTTAAGATTTGGCGAACCGGTCATGGCGGAATAATTTTCGGCTGCGTGGCCTCCCGGAAAAGGAGGGAGAGTGTTCCTTGATCGAAGTGGTTAACGACATAATCAAGCCGCTCCTGTCGGAGGTGCTGGAACACATGTGGCTTTGCGCCAAAAGGGCAGACAACAAGATGCAATTATTAAATTCCAATTCTTCCAGATGAAGGAATCTCTCATTCGGCGGGGCAGAGAGGGCCCAATAGCGTACAAGGGTTCAAGGACCTGACCCCTATCACTCTACAGAGGCGCAGAAAATGGAGACCGTTTACCGAGCTCCTGTGGAAGAATTCCATTAGGTGTGCCCGGGGTCATCCCTTTCGGGATGGCGGATTATATGCTCACCAATTTTTTGCTTATAGGGGGAAAGAAACAAACACGTTGAACAAGAGGGGCAACATGTTATGCTACTGTACATGGAACTCCGCAAAGGGGGAAAATAATGCAAATAAGAAAGAAAAGTAAAAAAACTAACAAAATCTACATAAAATTACAAAAAAATAACATAAAAAGGGGGAGGGGAGGGAAGAGAGGGAGGCTTATTGAGGCCTTGTAGGGGTGAGACTTCTTCCTAGCTACTGGTTGTGGGCCATAAGTCTAATGCCTCACATACATTTATTCTTATGAGCCCGGAGGCTTGATGCCAGCCCAGTCTTGAAGTGGGGGGGGGGAGGGGATCTATTACTTGGTCGGACCACTCCGATATTTCTTTAACGATGGATAAGTTGAGTGCAGCAAACCCTTGGTCCTGGAAATTTAACAGCTCCTTAATCAGGCACCCGGAGATAGTCACTATCTTGCGTCAGGAATTGACCAAATACTTCAATGACAACACAGGGCAGAATGAACAAACATAAATCGGATCCTTCCCCAGACCACTTGACGGCAGTACGCGACTTGAGGCTGTCCATTCGGGAAGCTCTCCTGGATGATACAGCACGCGCCATTGTGTGGTCCAGGAGGACGTTTTACAGACAGCGCAAAATCAAGGATCCCTCAAGGGCCTACCGTACAACTCCTGGCGATATCGCCATGGTATACACGGATTATTATGCAAAATTGTATAACCACACTAGCCCTGATCCCGTCAATGCTCAGGAAGAAACTAAAAGTCTGGCTTTCCTGTGTCGGCTAGACCTCCCAACGCTGGCAGACCTGGGAAAACTGATTTTGATTGAAGAAATTGATTTAGCCATCTTTTCTCTGAAAGGTCATAGAGCTCCGGGCTCTGACGGCTTTGATGGTAGCTATTACAAAACATTCCGCAAAGAATTATCACCCCACTTAGAGTCCTGGTTTAAAGACCTTATGGAAAGGGGAACTTTGGACAGGGATATCTCTCTAGTGGATATTGTCTTATTGCCGAAACCCGGCAGGTATGACTCGGAACCGGCTAACTTTCGACCAATTTCATTGAAAAACCACAGTCCCAAAATTCAAGCAAAGATTCTCACAAACAGACCGAATCCTCTGCTACCGCGTTTGATTCACGCTGACCAGGTGGGATTTGCCCCTGGCACGCAATTGTTCTAAAATACCCGGCATAATTTGGATATCATATCACCACTAAAGCACCGTCGCTGATCCGGTAACTCGATACAGAGAACGCGTTTGACAGGGTAAAGTGGTCTTATCTCTTTAAACTGTTGACGCATATCGGCATCCCTGCTCCGTACTTAACAGCAATTTGCGCTATGTACACCAACGTTTGGGCACAGATTCAGATTTCAGGAGCACAGGTCCCACCGTTTACAGTGAGCAATGGCACCAGACAGGGGTTCCGTTTGTCACTCCTTTTTGAATTATTAGAGCCGCTTCTGCAAGCAATCAGAACCCAAGAATCCAAAGGGTAATGGCAGGCGGACAGAAATTTGTGGTATCGGGCTTTGCAGACTATGTGCTCTTAACCCTGACACCCCCTAGAGAATCCATGGCGGCTCTGACAGAAGAGTTGGAAAAATATAGTAAATTGGAAGGCTACAAAGTAAACTTGAACAAGTCAAGTGCACTTCCCACAGGCCTTTCGGCAGCAGGCACGGCACACATTGGTAAGACATACCACATTTCTATAGCTCACAATCCTCTCACGTATTTGGGGGTTTGGCTGACGGCAGATCCTACCCAATTATACCAACAAAATTACATTCCTATGTTTAAAGCCCTCATCGAAGCTATGGAAAAGTGGGTCGATAAACCGATCTCGTGGATAAGCAGGATTCCCTCCGTAAAATTGAATAGCCTCCATAGAATACTGGTTTTATTCCAGGCTCTGCCAGTCCAAATTACCAAATCCAACCTGGCCGCTCTACAATAGGCCATAGGCAAAATAAAAAACACAATGTTCTTTCCCAGGCTAAGGCGCAAGGGGGATTGGGTTTTCATTACCTAGCAGCCCAACTAACCCAGATAGCATTGTAGCACTCTCCCCTGGGGGAGACAATGGTTGGATCTAGAGTCCTTAACGGGTTCAGACCTACCACAGTTTTTCATGTGGGAACCTAAAGACTATCAACCTCCCCTTCGAACGAAATGCCCTGTAATCCTGAACTCCCTGAAACTGTGGCACACTAATGCTTTAAAATATGGTTTAGCTTCACCTTTCCTGTAAACGCCGTTCCTGAGGAATGGGGCGTTCCCCCGGGGTATGAGAGTACATAATTTCAAACGTATAGAATATGCTGGTTTGCAGTGACTTTGCCATCTATATGAGGAAGGCTCTATTGTACCCTTTTAGGAACTGAAAACTAGGGCCACCCTAAAACCTTCTGATTTCTTCAGGTATATGCAACTCAGCTGTTAACCTGAGAATAATCCCTAACTTTTTCTTTTTTTTTTAACTGTGTATTCGGGAACAATTCCAAGGGGCTGGATTACGGCTTTATATGCCCACCATAGCACTAACACCTTAGAATGGGGAAACCCAACATACATTTATCAATGGTAAGCTGATCTAGGTGAAGCGAAGGGGTCGAATGGCAGGAAATCTGAGAAGCAAATGCAACATCCTCCATATGTATTACGTTACAGGAAGTCATATAAGACCATGTTTTGATGGTTACCACCCCTGTCAAATTGTGTAGAATGAATAAGATGCCCACGGATTTGTGATGGAGAAGGTGCGGACAGAAGTGGACATATATCCACATGTGGTGGGAATATCCAGATGTACAACGGTTTTGGATAAAGATTAAAAAGATTTAATAAGGGATCTTCTACGGAGGGATATCAAGTTAGACACTTGGATATTTTTGTTGGCTAGACTTTTGGATGATTGTATCAAAAACGTTTACACAAACTAAATCTGGCAGCTAGAATGGCTTTGGCACAGGTCTGGCTTCAGAGGGAGACCCCTTCAATAGAAGCAGTCGTCCAAAAGATCAAAGATACTTGTCTCATGGATAAGCTAACGGCCCAGGTACGAGGCATCATGAAGACATTTGAGGAGGTTTGGGGCCCTTGGATGGCAAGCGATATGGGTGGCTAGGGGTTGAGTGGGGTGGGTTTAATTCCCCACCTAAATCGCTCTTCTGCTGTGCCCGCCTCATAGGGTCGCTGGTTTTGTCCTCTACCCCTAAGGGGGTCCCCCTCTGGGGGATATTTCCCTACCTTTATCTCTTTGTGGAGAGTTTGCCGATAGGTGCTTTTGGGGCTCTCATGTCCGAGACGCCCCGCCCCCCCGCCTCCTTTCTTAGGCTATCTGCAGCGCCCCCTCCCCCTGCCCTTTCCCACCTGTCTTCTGGCTCATTTCTTACTCTGTCTGTGGTGCCGGACAGTTCTTTAGTGGGGCCTACAACAATAGTGGGTTTATACTCTCCATGTTATAAACTAACGGGAGGAAAATATTGAGGATGATATGGAGGGGACACCATGTGCCTTGCTATTGCTTCCCTGCTCACTGGTGTTTTTAAGCTAGGCACCTAGACTTATTCTTTCTTTCTCAATGTTACTATTGTTGTATTTAACGTTATTATTAAAAAATACCCTAATGGGATGTCTTAAGATAGATATATATAGATATATATAGATATAGATATAGATATAGATATAGATATAGATATAGATATATATATATATATATATATATATATATATATATATATATATATATATATATATATATATATATATATATATATATATATATATATATATATGCGCCTTAAGACATCCCATTAGGGTATTTTTTAATAACGTAAAATACAACAATATGAATATGAAATGTGTCATGACAGATGTTTATATACCTTATGTAAAACACCAATATCCTATTTGGTCATTGTGTACTGGGTTCTCGGATTGTATATCTTATTAAAAAAAAAAGATTTAAAAAAAAAGAATATTCAATTCTTTAGGGTGCACGGTCATCAATGCAATAATCCAATAGGTCAATTACCTTTGTAATGCTTCTACTATCCCCCTCTTTTATAGTCATTACTGATTTTACAAGTCACCTTTCCTCATTAATGGTATATTCTGCACTAAAAACTGTTGCCAACGGACTTTTCTGCTTTCTTCTCACAATCATTGGACTACTGAGCACTGCCCAGACATTCTTGCATGGGCAGAAGCAGCTTGAATTAGCCACATGTTACAAAAGCATTTTGTGACACTACAGGCAAGTGAAGTTTCTGATGAGTGGACACCGACACCTATTCACAGTATAGGCAATACTTGCACCACACTCTCTTTAAAGCAAGAGAGAAATATACAATCGCCACATGACCATTTTCAAGAACCATATTTGTATCGGATTGCCCAAAATATTAGAATAAGTTGTGTAAATGGATTTCTTTAATTTAGTGAAATGGCCAAAAGGTTCGTAATCCGTGCATAACAGAGACTTATCCGGTCCCTGCGGAGTCAAAATAAAAGTGTAATAACCCCATGTTTGTAAGAGGATTATACAAAATTTACAGAAATTGCATGATTAGTATGTCACATGCTGAGAAAAGTGTTGCTTAAAATTGCAAACTTTTATATTCAGAGAAACATTACACACAAAATATGTTTATTAGCCAAAGGGTACTTTATTAGCTGTAAATAATCATTTTAATTTAATTGAAAATGAAATTCCAGTAAATTTAAAACCCCACACAGACTGCATTCTCGAACCAAATAAAATAAGGTTTCCCGCTGCTTTTTGTAAAGAAAATTACTTCCTTATAACTGTGTGCTAAAGAAAAGCAGCCACATATATGCACATTTGAAAGGGCCACAATAACAGTGTGCATGATGGGAGATAAGTATGGTATACAGGACATAAAGAAAAAGAACTCCATTTGCCAGGGTTTTTTTGTTTTTAATATTATATTTAGATCTTAAAATTAAACTGAAATACATTGCACTGTATTTAGCATTGACCTAGACTGAACATTTTTCACAGCTTCCTGTCAGCCATTGTTATAAACAGACTTTTTTGTCATTAAGTACGTAAACAAAGCTTTGGGTTTTACCTTGTCTGTGCTAGGATTGAATTGAGCTGTGGTGTTATTTGTAACCCTTATACATCTATTGCTATATGTTTAATATGCTTTTAAAAGAAATGTATCACATGGGGAAAAAAGGTTTAACACAAGTTATACATGTTTTTCAAACTTTGAATTAGTGGTTTAAATTCCAGATTAGTGACAGCTCCTCCACAAGGGTCAGGGAACCATCATTATCTAGCTTATTTACAAAACGGACGGTGACTGCTAAAAACTCCAGTGTGCTATAAACATTGCTGTTCAGGCGCTATCGATCCACAAGTCAAAAACACATAATGTTGAGCGCTCTCTTTTCTAAACCTAGTTTCTTGATTACACTATGGGAAACTTCTGAAGTTGCAATGTGCCACCTTTTTTTGCATTTCACCCTCTCCTTACTTTAATTCTGTGTTTAAGACAGAATATGTGCATCACTCTTACATCTTTGTTAGGACAGATTTTAGAAGGCTCATGGTTGCCTACTAAACCCTCTGAGCACTACAGAGGAAGCCCCCTCATTGCAATCCATTGCACTGTGTGGGGCACTCAATGGGTTAAGCTGGTACTGTCTTTGTAATGATACCTACTAGTGGTATTTGCAAGCTGTGTGATATTACCACCTGATGCTCCTGAATATTAATTTCATGTTCTCCACCTCCATAAATGATTGTAATGTCAGGCCATGTTCTGTCAAGTTGTTGCAGCCCAGATTTCTCTAACTCTCAATGTAGATACAGTGAATGGAAATAACAGATGCCTTAAAACTCTGAAAGAGAAAAAAATCTCAGGCACTCACTCTGATTGTATCCAGGCAGGTTTAGTTGCAACGTTTCAACCTGTCAAGGTCTTTATCAAGCATACACCACAGTGAAAAATGTATTGCATTTATATACACACACATTACAAACCATCAAATCAATATAACAATAAAAATTCATCAAAACATGTGTTAAAGGTAATGCAATCAATGTAATAAATTGCTATACCAAACCCTTACATAGTAGGGAATGAATAAGTAGATGGCTAAAGAACATAGTAAAAAGAAATATAAGTCCAGATTTTGTAAAAAAACACATCAACCATTATACATGCACAGGTCTTTTAAATAAATGAACCATTTAACTCAAAATTATGCAATTAGTAATATATGAAATACCTGGAATAAAGATCAGATCTTAAGGGTATCGAAAAAAACGGGCCGCCTATTCCACGTAAATGTACGTGATCACGTCACATAATACATCTCAACTAAGGGGGCCGCACTGGGTATCTGAAAGAGTGCGCATGCGCGAAAAAGACCCAATTTTTAAAAGACCTGTGCATGTATAATGGTTGATGTGGTTTTTTACAAAACCTGGACTTATTATATTTCTTTTTACTATGTTCTTTAGCCATCTACTTATTCATTCCCTACCATGTTTTTAATAAGGGTTTGGTATAGCAATTTATTATATTGATTGCATTACTTTTAACATGTTTTGTAATGTGTGTGTATATAAATGCAATACACTTTTCACTGTGGTGTATGCTTGATAAAGACCTTGACAGGTCGAAACGTTGCAAATAAACCTGCCTGGATACAATCACAGTGAGTGCCTCAGATTTTTTCTTTTTATGTATATTTCATGTGTTTTTTTACTGACCCATGCTCAGTAGCTCCCTGGATTGTTATATTGTGGCTGAGTGCGACCCTATCTTTTTTTCATTAAAACTCTGAAAGAACATCTTAGATTTTGTTTGCATACTATCTTACACCCTAGTCCAGATTTCCCCCATCGGACCTACGGGTTTCTGTTTTCAAACTGTTGAGCTCCAAAATGCACATAACATGGGCTGATGGGGAGAGATAAGTACAGGAGTCTTGGCTAGTTGTTGGGGTCATAACACACTGCTGGGCAAAGCGTTCCATGCACCTCACTTTTGGACCGAACGTTCGGGAAGAGCCTTTCAGTGATGCACAAACAACGTGTTTCAAATTGGGCTACTACCATTGTATTAAAGGACCACTCTAGGCACCCAGACCACTTCAGCTTAATGAAGTGGTCTGGGTGCCAGGTCCAGCTAGGGTTAACCCATTTTTTAATAAACATAGCAGTTTCAGAGAAACTGCTATGTTTATAATGGGTTAAGCCTTCCCCCTAATCCTCTAGTAGCTGTCTCATTGACAGCCACTAGAGGCGCTTGCGTGCTTCTCACTGTGATTTTCACAGTGAGAGCACGCCAGCGTCCATAGGAAAGCATTATGAATGCTTTCCTATGTGACCGGCTGAATGCGCGCGCAGCTCTTGCCGCGCGTGCGCATTCAGCCGACGGGGAGAATCGGAGGAGGAGAGAAGGAGGAGAGCTCTCCACCCAGCACTGGAAAAAGGTAAGTTTAAACCCCTTTCCCCCTTCCAGAGCCGGGCTTTCCTATGGACGCTGGCGTGCTCTCACTGTGAAAATCACAGTGAGAAGCACGCAAGCGCCTCTAGTGGCTGTCAATGAGACCCCTGAGGGTATGTTTTCCTGGCACTATAGTGGTCCTTTAACCCCTTAAGACGGCAGGGCGTTCTATGCCATCCTTATTTAGATGGCTCTAAACGCCGCAAGGCGGCATAGAACGCCCTGCGATCTTTTGTACTTACCCGGTCGCTGGCGATCCCACGCCGGCGATCGTGGTATGGGGACTTACCTGGAGCCCAGGGAGTCCCCCTCCATCCTCTTCGGCCCCCCATGGCCATGTGATCGCGAGGACCCCGCGATCACATGGACGGCATAGCCGTCCAAGGAAATGCCAACAGGGGTAATGCCAGGTACTCCCCCTGCTGCCCGGAAATAAAATTAAACAGTGTAAAATTAAATATATACTTAGAATTTTACCTCTCCTGCTGCAATCGATATTACTGATGGTATTTGTATGTAGTTTTCAATATATAAAAGCCAAAAAAAAGCATTTGCTGGTTGCCTGAGATTGTCTAAATTAACAAATTCTAAGAGGGTAAATATATTTATAATACTGAATAGGTTTCACTATCACTTGTAATCCATCGTAAAGCGAAGCAATAGGAGACCAGAATTACCAAGAAGAGAGAAAAGGGTAATAAATAAGGATTGTTTTCTGTCAGCAGGTAAAATTAAAATGAACTTCAGCAGAGTAATAAAACAGCAGTGTTTTTAGTGGTGCATAACCCTTCCATTTATTTTGTAAATGCCAATTTGTTTTCAACATAATTCCAAGTTTTGTTCCAGACTCACGCACAGTTTGGTGAAGGTAGAATGCAATGTTTGTACTGAATAAAACACAACAATGCACACTGCAAACATAGTGCTGAAAAGGAATAAAAATAGAATTGTATTCTGATCTGTGAGACTAAATGGTGTGAAAAAAGTAATGAAGTGTAACGCAGTCTGTTTTTGTTAAAAGCAAAGCTGTGTAACTACAAACTGGAGTTGAGAAACATTTATAATCTACATCTATACGAGATGTTGAAAGCATTAAGAGAAAAATATGTATTCTGCCACCTTGTATTAAAAAAATTACAATGTAAATCTTTCAAATTAGAAAGTCACACTTTTTATTTTACATTTGCAAACTTTGAATTTAGATTTTACTTGCTCAGCAAAATTAATCAAAGATGGTATGTGGATAAGATAAAAAAATGCGTATTTTATAGCATGTCAGTGCAATTTTTTTTTTTAGTGGGAAGGGAGGTGCAGGATAGAGAATGTTTTACTATTTAGAATACCAAATGGGTTGACTACTAAGAAACAGATTAACATTCACTTCATACATGTGAATTGAAATTAAAATGTGAAATACATTTTAAACAAACATGTATTTCTATTCTAACACTATCATTTTCTCCTCTGCATGCAGTTTTAAGTCTCCTCCCAATCTAAATATAATATGGAAAACAAATACTTTAATAGCAAATCAAAAACAAAAGGCCCAACAAGTCTTACCATAGGAGGTATTTTTTTCACTTTATTAGTACAGAATACCTCCACGGAGGTTTTAACCCCCAAATTAGCACCTCTCCAACTGCATGTTACCTCCTTATGTGTAACAACAACGCTTTCCAGCATGCTAAATATGGAACCACAGCATACGACAGTGTATTAACGTGCTTTTTATAAACCCCACAGAATGTTTTAAGGTGTTATAACCAAGGTGGTCATCAGGGCATGAATGATCATACTTTGTCCAGGGGCTCAACTGAACAATAGGAACAAACCGCAATTAGCAACCATGCTGTCCCAGGTCCTGAACAGACCAGCTCAGTTTACTGTCCCCCTCATATGACTGCACCAAAGAAGTTATGTAATTTCCCTCCACCCCTCCCTTAAATATGCAGAATATCTTGTGTGAGTCTTTTTGTGAGTGTGCATGCAAATGCATGTTCTATAGAGTGGTATAAGTAAAAACCTACATCTTTAAAGGGACACTATAGTCACCAGAACAACTACAGCTTATTGAATTTGTTTTGGTGAGTAGAATCATTACCTTCAGGCTTTTTGCTGTGAACACTATTTTCAGAGAAAATGCAGTGTTTACATTACAAGCACAACAAAATTAAATACTTATCAGTATTTGTTTGGGAGCATTATATACTATACTCACTGTTTTATTGTATACTGGTCTCTGAGGAAGTTCCCTGGTGGACGAAACGCGTAAGACCAATCCTTTTTATAACCAATAAACCTCCTTTTTACTTATCTACCTGTCGGAGTCCTGCATGGTTCCTTATACCGGGTGATATTTGATCCTAAGAGAGAGACACTAGCCCCCCAAAACATCGGGGGAGGCACCAATAGAGCACATATACTTTCAACATCCTGTGATTGCAATCTATAGCAGGAAATATTACATTTCTAAAACTGTATTATGCTATGTTTTATTTGATTTGATTTTAGATTCATCAGCTGAATCCCACACATATTGTATTTCTTGGTGTGTTTACATTACAGCCTAGTGGTAACTTCACTGGCCACTCCTTAGATGACTGTTAGAGATCCTTCCTGGGTCATGGCTGCTTAAAATGCATCCAAACATTCAGTATCTCCTCCCTCTGCATGCAGACACTGAACTTTCCTCATAGAGATGCATTGATTCAATTCATCTCTATGAGGAGATGCTGATTGGCCAGGGCTGTGTTTGAATTGTGCTGGCTCTGCCCCTGTTCTGCCTCTGTCAGTCTCAGCCAATCCTATGGAGAAGCACTGTGATTGGATCAGGCTACCACTTCTGATGATGTCAGCAAACAGCTTGTTTTTCTGAGGCAAACAGCATGCAGAATTACAGCTTCAGGCTTGAACAACGTAAGATTTTGCCATCTTTATGGAGGCATGAGGGGCCCAGGGGGTCTAGATGGTGGTTTTAACACTATAGGGTCAGGAATACATATTTGTGTTCCTGACCCTATAGTGATCCTTTAAGTGGAGCGCAAATAATTATGACCAAAAATTAGGTAAGCTTACCACACGTAACCTGGTGCCAATCATGGCTTGGAGTACATAAAAGATAAAAAAATACAATATAGTGCAAATGGTACGTAGGATAAGATAAAATAAGTGGTGGTGAAGTAAAACACATTTAAAAGGAGCCTATATGTAAATACTGGCTCTGTAATCGAGCTTGCAGCATCACACCTTTTGCATGCAAATGCAGGTGTATAGCTGTAAAATTGTGTCTAGGAGAGTAACTGTGTGTGCGCATATCTGTAAATGTGTATGCGTAGCTGTAAAAATGTGTTTTGACAGTGTACCTGGGAATCAAAAATTCAAGGGCCCATGTGTTAGTGTGAGAACTAGATTGGCACGGGAAATAATGAAAGTTAGTCCAGCAAAAAAAAAAAAAGCACCAATTTAATGACTAGAGTGCTATATAAAGTCTCAAAAGCTAAATAAGAGGAAATAATATGACCTGATTGTGATTATTAAAATGTAATATTTAGTTCTTAAGAAGTTAAACAATGTGAATAATAGCAGATAAAAAGGACATTTAATACATACCTGGTCCATGTCCAAAGTAGTTTCAATCATTTCTTGAAATTTTGCAAAGTCAGTAGATAGATCGGAAAGAGGAGTAACAAAGATCGCCAACAGAAGCATTTGGTGGGACCCTAAAATAAACAAAAATCACATCAACATGCAATAGAGGCCCCTTAATCTTTTTGTTATCACATTAAAGACATTTCAACATTGGAGTTATCAGTCTTCTAATATTAATGTAATGTGTATATAAATTAGTAATCGTGCAATGGCAGACTGTAAAGGAATTATGGGAAACTATAAGATAGGATGTTTAGCAGACAATTCGTCTTTAGTGCAGAGAAGGTCCAGAGTGACGGTCTAGGTCTGACCCAGAGCTCACCTCTGGCTTCAGTAAATTCCTAGAAACCAGCAGTGTCCCCATAGCAGTGATAGAAACATCTACAAACATAATTACTATTATCAGAATTTCCATGTATAGTTCAACAGTAAATTGTGTACGGATGTTGATTAAAGATGGAAAATTACCTTATTTATATGTAAAATGTATGGAATTGTCTTTGTAGCACATACAGAACCAAATAAAAACACTATTATGAATCTTAAAGGACCACTCTAGGCACCCAGACCACTTCAGCTTAATGAAGTGGTCTGGGTGCCTGGTCCAGCTAGGGTTAACCCATTTTTTTTTATAGACATAGCAGTTTCTCTGAAACTGCTATGTTTATGAATGGGTTAGGCCTTCCCCCATTCCCTCTAACGGCTGTCTCACTGACAGCCGCTAGAGGCGCTTGCGTGCTTCTCACTGTGATTTTCACAGTGAGAGCACGCCAGCGTCCATAGGAAAGCATTGATAATGCTTTCCTATGCGACCGGCTGAATGCGCGCAGCTCTTGCCGCGCGTGTGCATTCAGCCGACGGGGAGGAGAGAAGGAGGATCGGAGGAGGAGAGCTCCCCGCCCAGCGCTGGAAAAAGGTACGTTTTTACCCCTTTCCCCCTTCCAGAGCCGGGCGGGAGGGGGACCCTGAGGGTGGGCGCACCCTCAGGGCACTATAGTGCCAGGAAAACGAGTATGTTTTCCTGGCACTATAGTGGTCCTTTAAATGTAATAAACAAGGCCAAGAGACAAGACAAAGCAGTAAATGTTACCTTAAACAGAAAAGTAAAACGATTTATCTGTAAACTAGAAGAAAGTAACATTAAAATGAAAGTCCAGATAAGTTATTTAACCCCTTAAGAACAAAACTTCTGGAATAAAAGAGAATCATGACATGTCACACGTCATGTGTCCTTAAGGGGTTAAAACACTTGCAGCATGCACAAGCCGTACAAAACCAGATGTGGCTATTTTTTAAAAATGTTCTGCAACTAGAATTACAAGAATGCAGGGACAGGGATAAAATTAAAAAGCAAAAGGTAATTTATGGAATATATACCCATCCCTTTAAAGGACAATGGTCATCAAAGTCACACTTCTGAAGTTTATTTCATAAAAACAATTTTTTTTTTTTTTTTTTTTAATTATGTATAATTGATCTTTTTATAGAATATTTAACTTTTTATCTGACTAAGCAGCCAAATCGGGTAAGAGTCTGCGGTTATCTGACCGACTGTTGCTCAACCTAACTTTCCCGCTTCTAGGATCACCTGCAGAAGAAGACAAGTTAAGTCAAGCAGCAGTTGGTTAGATAACAGTAGACCTGACATGACTTCTCAGCCAGATTTAAAAGTGAAAATATGCATCACTTAATAAAAAAAAATTTTGTTTCATTATGTAATCTTTAAAAAAAAAAAAAAAAAGATTTAGTACAAATAAATTAGAACTAAAAACGCTATTTTAATATAAAACCATGAAACTGGAAAACAATTGGAAGAGTTAACATCAAGGCTGAATAAAACAGGACAAGTGGAAAATTATTTTCACAAAATGAAATTGGAGGACATGGAAAAGCCAAGGGCAGGACAGTATACATTGATATTATACTAGGACTGCTGCCTATATTAGAAAAGGCATTGAGCATTGTCACTAGGCCACTCTAGTCCATGATGAATGCCCTGTGCCTTCGTTTCCAAAAGATATCGCTCTTCCTAATGGAATATGTGTTATAAACCCTTTAAAGATGTTAAACACCATTTTCAAATAATCACAAATGAGAACTAAGACAAACAAAATGCAACGTCTAGACTACAGCAAGAGCTTTAATCAATATACTTACATATAAAGATTGGTATACATCAAAAAAATATAACAAAAATAAATAAAAATTTTAAAAAAAATCATTTTTTAAAGTATTATATCTTTCAAAATATTGATTGAGAAGTTTATTTTAGCCTACTGCAGTGAAATTTAACTCCTAGTTGTGCATTTCTTTGATTTGACACCTTTCTTGTTGCACTTTGCAACATAGGGTGAGCACCATGATAGAGGCCCCTGTTCTGATGGAACATGTTTAAAGAGCACGATTCACAATTGTAACTGAAGTTTTACCTTCATATCTCTCTATTGCTTGAACGACACTAGACAGTTGGTTAACAGCCTGGTACAGTCGGTAGCAGTCCTGCAGGTTCGCAGTCTGTCTCTGGAATTTCTTTCCTAGACGATTAAAATCTGGGAATCGGCGCAATAGGTCCTCCTGAAGAGACTGACGCAATTCAGCATCTGCCACAAATGCTTCCACCAGGTTTAATCTAGGGGTAAGGTTTGAAAGAGTCATCTTCCCTGCTCACAGCTTGGGCAGTGTAAACCCTTACTCATGACAAGCACACACTCAGAATATGTAACCGTTTTATTTATTGCTCAGTATCAAAAACAGACATTCCGGGATCTAGAGTCACGTTCTTTAACAAAATCACACAGTTGTTGGTTATGTATGGTGGTTATTTCGAGTAAATCAATAGCCTTGGACTCCATACTCGAGCGGTTGTGAACTACTTTTACCATAATGCTTAGAAAGCTATTTCGCATGCCAATGGTCATCCAATCAATGTTCTACTTATTAAGGTGGTCGAAAGGTAAGCCCAAAAAAAAAAATTAAAAAATTTAAAAAAAAGATTAAACTGTGAATTTGAAACCTGTGGTTTATGTAAACTCCAGAGAGTAGGAAATTTGACAGAAATCGGATATACCATACATAAAGAAAATTATACATGTAACCGTATAATATAAGATTTCACTCTGCTTCTCCTGTCAAGTGTACAGCATTGAGTGTTTCCATGGCTCTAACAGTACACAATAAAAAGGTGATTTCTAAGCACAAGAAAACACTATAAAAAACACAAACTGTAAACAGCCCTGATCATGTCATTTATTTTCACATAGAAGCAGGCGTTCTATTAAACACTAAACACCATTACACACACTGCATTGCAGCGATAGGGAAAGTAGGATTGCTGCAGTCAAATTAAAGAATGGATTTCTAGTAAACAGAATAACCATGAAGTCAACACAATTCCAAAGTAGGTAAAGAGGAAAGATTACATATGGAAATATTATAAAGGAAGGAGTCTCCCCTTGGGGTAGGGCAGAGGGATAACCAATATGGTAATCATGTTTACAAGAGTGAACATATTTGTAAAAATTGCAAACTCATTTTGGAGAGAGACAAAACCTGATTTTTTTTGGCAGAACCACAGAGGAGGGTAGCAGTTTTCTAAAGTCTGAAAAAATGTAAAATTATGCTAATTATGCAAATAATTTTATTTTGCATTCGTGGGTCTGAACAAGGATGAATTTTATTTGGATCAAAATAACACTGTTGCTCATTTTAATTACACGTTCAGATAAAATTTTAAAGCTTCTGTTATAATGTCGAGATAGAGGGAGAGGCTGGGGAGGTGGTAGTAGTTTGATAGAATCGATTTTATAGTAGTTTGATAGAATCACGACTCCCCACCTTAATAGATGTATGTGAACAACGGACTCAATAGACAGCAAGTTAATGTCACTTTGCAAGGGCAGTTCAGGGGACACTATAGGCACCCAGACCACTTCATCTCATTAAAGTGATCTAGGTGCAATGTCCCAGTCTCACTTAGCACTGCATTTTAAATCACTGCAGTTTTTGAGAATCTACAATAATCACACAGCAGTACTAAGATTGCAATCAAACAGCCACTAGAGGCACTTCCTGCTTGATAATCGACTGACACTGGACATCCTCGCACTCAGCATTAGGACATCTAGCATCAGTAAAATCCCTATAGGAAAGCATTGCAGCAATGCTCAGCGCATTAGCGACCCCCCTTCCCTTCTTAAACTGATTCAAAGTGTGTTTAAAATAAATATATATATATATATAAATATATATATAAATATATATATATATATATATATATATATATATAAATATAAATATATATATATATATATATATATATATATATATATATACACACATACACACACACACACACACACACACACATATACACACATATAATGCTTGCAGGGACCCCAAAGCCAATCCTGGCTTTCTATTTCTGATTTAACATAGTACATACAATACTTTACACACTTATGCACCAAAGAGCTAACATCTTCTCACTAAAAGAAAATGTTTCACATGACAGACTTACAGTCGCCACGTTGTTCATGTGAGTGCTTTGAATTATAATTTTTTTTTTTTATATATATATACACACACATACACATATATACATACATATACACCAGTGGGTCAGGAAGAGAAGCCATATACTCTCCCAGAGAAAATCTATGGGGCAATTTACTTCTCAGAAATCTCTGCTTTTTCCCAGGAATCAATGCTTGTGTGTGCATGTTGTCTCATAAAAAAAAGCCAAGGGTCTAAATGTGTGATATTGACCTGATCTTATATGGGGTTAACAGAAGTACAGAGACAAGGTGTGTATTTAGCTTCAGCAATTTTAGTAAATACCTAGGGCATTATGAACTGAAAAGGACAGCAAACCAAAAGCATCTTGCAATCACTGCAAAATTATAGACACAGACACAAAAAAAAACAAATATTTTTGTCTATCCTCAGAACAGAATGATCTACAAATTACAATGTTAATGTCAAATAGAAAACTAAAGCAAGATGGAACTAGAGCGACACCATGTGGCAACAAGAAAAATAATGTTTTAGATTCAAATAAAATGTTTCTGCCTTTTTTTATGCATTTTAAAGTAGACACTTCACAGCTAACAAAATCTAAACCCTGCATTCCAAGTATCACTGCAACCATAAAACACGGCTGAGAGTTTGTGAGAGAAATACTGGAACTTAACTTTGCAAACTTTAAAGGATAAAGGAGTGGACATTCCAATACTGAACCAAATCAGAAATATTACCTCATCTTATCCTAATTAAATTAACTAATTTCACTCTCATGCCACTTTGCTTATTGCACAAGATAGGAACATGGCAGTACATAGATATAAGGAGAACATGTATCAGAAAAGCATTTTTGGAAATATATATGTCACTGCTCTGTAACTGAATTGTTTATAACTTTTTTTTTTACCATATTCTCCGTTAATTGTTTACCAACAGCAAGGAGAGAGGGAGAAAGAAAAAAAAAAAAAAAGGGGGAAAGTTGATTGTTCAGCCAAACAGAACTATTTCCCATGACAGACACAAACAACAGAAGGCATAGATCCTTGGGCAATGATGGGATCATGTTACATCCAAGTAAATTCAGGATCATATTTCTACTTGTCACACAACAAGAATTGATTAACCCCTAAAGGACCAAACTTCTGGAATAAAAGGGAATCATGACATGTCACATGTCATGTGTCCTTAAGGGGTTAAAGGAGATTGTTAGGGTAGGTCCCTTCACCTGTGTATTATTCAAGCAGAGCATATTGATCTATAACAGCAAGTGCTAGATAGACCTATCTGTACATGCAGAGTTCTGGAGAAAGCTCAAAACACGTTAATTCTAATCTACCAGTTGACTCAGAAGCAGTACAGTACATACACAGCAGTGTACAGTGTCTGCCTTTCACTTCAAATACAAATACTTAAAGGGATACTATAGGCACCAGGAATACAAAGCTTTATTTCTGGCTCTATAGCTCCCTCTGCCTCCCCTCCCCCACGACGAGCAATCGCTAATGTGCATGCGTGGCAAATGCCGTGCACGCATTAGGCCATCCTGCAGGAAAGCACTGAATCACTTTTTTCTATGGGGAAAAGATTGGACGCTGAATGTCCTCATGCAGAGCGTGAGGACATCCAGCGTCAGATACCGGACTAAAGGTCTGTATGGATGCACTAAGTGCAATAGGGATGCTGCACCCAGGCCACTTCAATGAGCTGAAGTGGTCAGGGTGCCTCTACAGTGTCCCCTTTAAACGCTTTTGTTTCTACCCATGCACCCCCAGCCACACCTACCCTGGTTGCAACAGACACAGTCTGCATTAAAAAAACACAAATGCTTTAATGTTCAATCAGCTGTTAACTTACTTTTACGTTTTTATCGCCTGCTCTGTAAATTGAACTTTAATCACACACACGAGGCTCCTGCAAGATCTAGCATGCTATTAGTAGTGAAGGATATAAGAAAGTCTAAATTAAACAGACTGTGCAATAAAGGAAGTCTACATATTAGATCTCACTTTTCAGGAAGCGTTTAGGAAAGCGTTTTAAGTCATATGCAGGGGGATGTGACGAGGGATGCATAGATAAAGTGATTTAACTACTAAAGGGCAGAAAATTGACCAGTGAGACTGCATGGGCATGATTAAAGCACCAAAACTGTGTTATCTGAGTAAAGTTTTTTGTGTACTATAGTGTCCCATTTAAACTTTAAAATAAATGTTCAAAGAAGAGTCACTTTTAATAGTATTTTTAAATTAAAGGTAAAAATAAATTCACTTTATGGGATAGAAGAAATGCAACTCATTTCACTTCCAAGTCAGAGGTTAACAATACTATTTTAATTTTACGGCAAGACAGGAGGCTTCATATTTGCTTATCTTTCTTTACTGAACCTCCCAGCAGCAAAGAAATGGTTAACAGTAATGTAAAACAAATTCAACCAGAGTGTATAACAGTAGTATATGGTGTCATGAAGCTCCTCCCAAATCCTCTTTCTTTGCTGCTTGCCTCCCAGGTGAGTCTATTCCAATTATACAGCTATATCATTCTGCCTATAATACAATATTTGAATATTTTCTTTGGTACAAATTTTAGTTTTAGCATCATACATTCATGTTCACATATTGAACAAATTTTTTCTCTGGTAACCAACACTAACCATCACTCAAGTCCCTATAATTTCTCTTCACATTTCTTTCATCAAACCAATGCTTACAATTATGTTATGATGAATAATTTTTTTATATTTTATTTATCATTCATGTCTCTAATTTGCCAGAGGCTTGCCTCCGCGACCTTTTCCACTGGTCTTGTGCCTACACCTATGTTACATTTGTGGTCGCGGGGTTTTCCCGCGATTCTACGGTGACTGAAGCATTAAGCCTCTGCTTCATTCAGTGACGCAAACTCCATTTCCCAGGAGTCCGCGGCTCACTATTTCGCCTACCCGCCCTCCCGCGTCTGTCACTCATACAGACGCGCGTCTTCCCGCCCTTTGCAGCGGCGGCCATCTTAGATCGCGGTATTACTTCGTTTCTAACGTTGGATCCGGTAAGTACTTTGTTTTTACGTTGCATAGCACCCTTAAAGTGCTACTCCTCTATTTCAATTATTTATTTTGCTTATTTCTTTTTTTCCTTTAACAGGCTGTCAGTTGAAAAAAATCCTGTTGTAATTTTTGCTAATAAAGAAGGCCTTGTGGGAGACCCCCACCTTTATTATCCCTCAATTTACTTAATGAGTGCTTATTGTGGGTGACCCCCACCTTTTATTCACTCTTCAGTTATAATAGGTGCCCATACACCACCTTTACAGTGGGCTAACCCCACTTCTACACATAAGGAAACACAAAGTGGAAACACAAAGTGATCCCATATATTTCAAGACATAACCATCTGTCTAAGTAAATTGAGTGACGAATCCCACTCACTGTTATAGTGGTACAATCCACTTGTCTATTTTAGTGGTTACCCCACTAAATTTTGTATGCCGCCCTTTATTATCTACAAAATAATTCGGGTGACCCCCATTTATAAAACTTAATTTGATACTATTGGGTGAACCCCACTTATTACCTATTCTTTAGCAATTGACTACCAGTCAAACCACTTAGAACATATCATGTCTGATAACACGGAGCCCGCAATCTCCCAAGAACTTAGAGATTGGCTGGTCTCAACCATTGCCGAATCCATTCCCAAGGCGTTAGCTGCCTTTCATGAGAAGACTTCTGCCAAAGTCAATACTACCGCACGCTTGCATTCTGACTCCGAGGATTCTCAACCCTCGGATCAGGAAACCACACGTAAGCACCCTCGGAAAGAGGATAGTAGGTCTGCGGGCAAGGCTCCTGCCAAGTCACAAAAATTGACTGCCACTCAACCCGCCCACGCCATCTCCGACCCCTTAGAGGGCTCTACTTCCCACACGGGCGATAGGGTTGAAGATTATTGCCTTGATTATTCTGATGAGGACCCTTTGGCGAATGTGCTAGGGGATTCCCCATCAGAGTTTGTCAAGGAGACTTTCATCTCACATAAAGAATCAGATGCAAAAGTTAATATGCAGAAGGGACCCGATTCAGACATTCTTCTGGATGCTTCGGGTGTCCCTTTTTTCAACCCCAGGGTCATTAAGCATCCACTGTCGGCCGAATGGGCCCCACCGGACCACATTTCTAACTTTTGCAGAATGTGGTTACGTAAACCACTTGAAAGACATCAGGGCGAAACTCAGAGCCGAGTGCCCTCGACCAACCATTCCAAACAAGGTGGTCCTCACACCAGAGTTTGACCCTCTATTTGTAACATTCCTCACTAAGACGGGGAAAGATCCCCGCAAAGGCATTGAGCAGGGTCTTAAGACGGCCCAAGATAAACTCCTGGACATTGCTGGTCCAATCATTCAAATTTTTATACTGGCAGACGAAGCCATAACTAATGGCGAATTTGACCCCAACACAGTCAGAGAGTGGGCCCAGAGAGCCCTGTGTTTCCTAGGCAACGCAAACGTGGCTATGTCCACTGAGAGACGCAGGGCGGCATTGTACAAATTAGATGCTAAATTAGCTGATCTGAGCTCCCGAGAACTGGGACCTGAGGCCAATGGTCTGTTTGGCGATTCATTTATGAGGGATCTCTCCAAACATGTAGCGGTATTCACTACCCTAAATAAGGCCCAATCCTCCTTGCGCAGGGTTTTTCGTTCCCAGTCAGGTCGTTTTTCTGGGAGAGCTGGACGTTTTCGAGGCCGAACGAACAGCAGAATTGCCTTCACAGGCTACAGGCCTCGCCCTTCAGAAAATTGTCACTCGGGACAACCCCGACCCTACCACAGGCAGTTATTCTCCAATAGAGGATCTATCCGGGGACGTGGATCTGCCTCCTTACGCGGACGCACTGCTTCAGGTAATAAACCTTCCTTTTTCAAAGGTACCTATTGCAGGCCGTTTAACCCATTTTTTCCAACAGTGGGAACTGCTTTCACAAGACATATGGATCCTACACACAGTCCAGGGGTTCACAATAGATTTTCTTTCCACTCCCTTCCAAGACACACCACCTACGCCAATGCAGATGTCTGCATCAGACAACCTGACACTGCAAACAGAGTTGCACAAATTACTAAAAAAAAAGGGGCAATAGAGAAATCCCCGTTCCCACATACCTTTCTCAGCAACATTTTCCTGGTCCACAAAAAAAACAGGAGATTTACATCTAATTAGCAATTTGAAAGACCTGGATCACTTTGTCAGGTATCGTCATTTCAAGATGGAGGGCATCCATCTACTCAGGGACCTCCTTTGCGTGGGAGATTGGTTCTCCAGATTCGATCTCAAAGACGCATATCTCACAGTCCCGGTTGCCCGCAACCATCGGGCCTTCCTCCAGTTTCTCTGGCAGGAAGAAATCTGGCAGTTCACATGCCTGCCGTTCGGTCTTCGTTCCGCACCATGGTGCTTCACAAAACTGATGAAACCAGTGATGGCATTGCTCCGATCACAGGGGATTCGGTCCATTATATATTTGGACGACATCCTGATAATGGCTCAAGACTCAAATCTTTTACGCAAACACAGACATGACAACGGCCTTACTACAAAACCTTGGGTTTGTGATCAATTTCCAGAAATCAGCACTGAACCCGTCTCAGAAGGTTCAGTTTCTTGGATTTCTGATAGACTCCGTACAGGCGATTTTACAACTACCCTCCGTAAAGGTCAAATCTATAAAAAAAAAAAAAAAAGACATTCGCAAATTGCTATCAGCCCACCAGATTCGTCTACGCGATCTGGTCCATACTATAGGCCTACTGTCCTCCTCTATTCAAGCCATTTACCCGGGACCTCTGCATTACCGAGCCATGCAACGGCTCAAGACATACTACCTACACCGTTCCACTTCCTACGACCAACCCATCTACCTCACAGACGAGGTTCGGATAGAACTTCATTGGTGGCTTCACAACATGGAAGCCTGGAAAGGCAAAGCCATTTTCGGATCGCAACCAGACTTCATTCTGGAATCCGATGCCAGTCTCCTGGGATGGGGCGCCACGTGCGCCAACAGGTCCACTGGGGGACTATGGTCCCCCTCCGAACGAGCACTGCACATCAATTGCCTAGAATTGATTGCGGGATCTTTTGCGATTCGCAGTTTCGCAAAAGATTGTTTCAATTGTTCACTAGTACTACGCATGGACAACGTCTCTGCAGTGCGTTATGTGAATCGGTTAGGAGGTTCCCGATCCAAACTACTGTCCGACCTTACCAAGGAACTTTACCAATTCTGCCTAGAGCGGAATTTAGCCATCAGAGCGGAATATCTCCCAGGCACAGACAACCTAGTCGCAGACTGGTTCTCTCGCCATTGGAGGGATGTAAGCGACTGGCAATTGGACCCCCGCTTGTTTTATCAAATTCTTTGTCTTCGCGGGCCCCTCACATTGGACCTGTTTGCATCTCGGCTGAATCGCCAGACGGAGGCTTTTATCAGCTGGCTTCCAGATCCCCTGTCCTGGGCAGTCGATGCCTTTCTACACCCTTGGCCAGAGAAGGGAGCTTATGCTTTCCCGCCTTTCTCCATGATCCAACGCACCCTTTACCGGGTCAAAGCTCTAGTAGTGACAATAGTTATTGTCACTCCGTTATGGAGAGCCTCTGCTAGAAATGTCTGTGAATTGCCCAATTCTATTACCTCGATCCCCCGACATCCTCAAGAATCCAGCAGGGCACGGTCACCCACTCGCCCTTCAAGGGCGACTCCAGCTTGTAGCTTGGACCGTTTCAGGGGATCCTGGAATGTCTCGGGACTTTCGGAGACAGCTCAGACTCTCCTATGGGACTCCTGGGCCCCAGGCACTAGACGTGCTTACCTCGCTGCATGGCAAACATGGGTCAGCTGGTGTTTGGAAAGGGATACCGATCCCTTTTCAGCACCTCTGACGATTATCCTAAACTTTCTGTCTACCCTATTTGATCAAGGCAAGTCCTATAGATCAATTAATGTTTTTAGATCAGCTATTTCTGCGGTCCACAACCCTATTGACAATACATCAATAGGCAAACATCCTTCAGTCTGTAGACTTTTACGAGGGATTAGGCTTGCCAGGCCCCCTCTTCCCAAATATTCCAATTTCTGGGATGTCGCTCAGGTTTTTTCCCTTTTAGAATCCTGGCCCGCTAATGAGAATTTGACGTTACGTCAACTCTCTGCCAAACTCGCCTTACTTTTATGTCTGGTGTCCTTCCGTAGGGTCTCCGACATTCGAGCATTTGATTCCCATGCTATAGCCTTCTTGCCGGAAGGCGTCAAATTTCACATCACGAGGCGAACAAAGACCAATTCTACCGCCGTTTTTTACCCTTACTTTCCGACTAGACAGTCACTCTGTGTGGTGCTCTGCTTAAGGCACTATATAGCTGCCACAGCCACTCTGCGTCCCCCTACAGGACCCCTTCTCGTGTCCTATGTCAAACCACACAAACCGGTGTCCGCTCCCACAGTCGCGCGGTGGATCAGATGGATACTAGCCCAAGCAGACATTGACTCTTCTTTTGGGGCGCATTCAGTCAGAGGAGCAGCCGCATCCTCAGCGATTCATGCGGGTAGCTCCCTCTCGGACATTCTGGCATCTGCAGATTGGTCCAGGGAGTCTACATTTCGTACATTCTACTTCAAACCTATGCCACATGCTGCATCTTCTATAATATAGAAGCGTTAAAACAGCAAATATGAAGCCTCCAGTCTTGCCATAAAATTAGGGATTATTCTAGCCCTGGTGACTGAATAATCTAAATTTTATTAACGACAGGAGGCGAATATTTTCCCTCCCTTCTTGTCTTCAGTATTATTTCTACCCACCCTAAGGTAAGTTGCTAGGTATTCGTCCCTAGTCGATCTGTTTCAGACATACTCACACATCATCTGACATGGGTTTATACCACAACACTTTAACCAGGCATTTGATATATTTAATATATCATTTCACATGAAATGTTTGGGGATTGTTAGTCCCAGTATGCTTGCCATAAACTTGCATTCAATCAGTATAAGAGCCTATACTCTCATAGTTTTTCTCTACTTCCCTTTAGTGTGAAGAACCCCAACGCTTGGGATTTATGGACCTATCAACCCGCTGCAAGTTTACATGGTTGACTGCATCAGGACTCCGGCTTAGTCCACAGTTCATTATTTTGGTTTACATGGTTGATACTCGGGTGCCGTCGGCTACAGCAAGAAAGAGGATTTGGGAGGAGCTTCATGACACCATATACTACTGTTATACACTCTGATTGGTTGAATTTGTTTTACATTACTGTTAACCATTTCTTTGCTACTGGGAGGTTCAGTAAAGAAAGATAAGCAAATATTCGCCTCCTGTCGTTAATAAAATTTAGATTATTCAGTCACCAGGGCTAGAATAATCCCTAATTAACACTGTTTTTTATTTTTTTTTTTTATTTTTTTTTTATGATTTTACAGTTGCAGGGAGACTGCCTGTCAGCACAGACAGTTCCACTGCAGGCAGACACATGGACACCTATTGTGACCATGTGATCGCTGTGTTGAGCAATCACATGACCACAGGGGTCCTAATCCAGTGTGGGGAGACTGTATGGGCTGCAGGCAGTCTCCCCACAACGGGAGCAACACCGATCGCCGCCAGGGGAACGACGGCGATCAGGTAAGTAGCTAAGACCGTTAGGACGGTTCAGGACCGTCAGCAGTCGGCAATGTGAAAATGACGATGACGGTCCTGAACCGTCATCGGTCCTTAAGGGGTTAAAGAGTGTACCGGTATGTACAGATATATTAGCAAAGTTTATATTTCAGTTACTTCACTTATGTTTGAATAAAACGGAGTTAGAGACTTGTCATGACAGCTCCATTAAAGGAACACTCCAATGGGAAGAGGTTTTTTTGTTTGTTTGTTTTTTTTATAGATCCCCCAAAGAAAACAAGCATTCATTTGATTAAAGTATGCGTTTTTTTTCTAAATAGCTCCTTTGCAACCTTTGCAAAACCTCTCCTTCTAACCCCGCCCAGACTTTGTTTCTGTCCAATCACAGACTTCCCAATGCATGTGCTCTGGATAATTGCTGCCTCTTTAAGATTAATTTAGAAAAAGTGCCAATTTCTATTAAAATTTTTACTTTTTGGAAAATAAAATAGGGGGTCACACTTCACATAGAAAGCCTTTCAACAAGATAAAGTGCTTTAGGCGTGTGGACTGTTCCTTCAACAATGGAACCACTTTAATTAAACAAGTAATGCTGCGGGGTTTGAGAATTGCTGATAATGACCAGACTTATAATTTACAGCATCCAGAAGAGATATCTCCAACACTAAACAATCTGAATCCCCTTGTAAGGACACAGGATTACAGTACAGAGTATGCTACGATACCCCCATCTGCAGCAGCATACCCTGTGCTGTGATAAATTTGGTCATTAAGCTATAATGAAGCCATTATACTGCCACCAAAAAAGTCACATGTGGAGATATTTAAAGTGAATCCAGAGACCGTGTTTCTGTTTGTGAATGAGTGAATGGTTGCTATTCAGTACGATCCATAGTGAAACTGCCTCACCCACAATGAACTCGAATTGTGAAATTAAGAACCTGTTGAAACTAGTTAACACATTCATGGCTCCAGGCAGCAGGAACAACAGGAAACCAAAACACAAACAAAAGTACGGGGAGTTTCAGAGCAGCTTATACAAGAGATCATGGAAAAAACTTTAATATTTTAAAAGGAGATATCACCCAATGAAAGGCTATAGCATTTATTCAAAATACACTAGACTGAATTGAAAAAAATTTAGGAGAAAAATTACAATTTGAAAAGGAAAGATCTCAGCTATAGTGACATATTGGCTACTTAGTCAAAATTTAGCCATTTGTTTTTTGTTTGTTTGGGGGTTTTTTTGTTTGGTTTTTGTTTTTTTTGTTTTTTAAATAGCCACAATTCAGTAGTTGGGGAATAAATTTTTAACATTTTTACGATTATTTTTGTTCTTCCAAAGAAATCATTCATATTTTTTTTTTTAAATAGTAACCAAAACCCAGCTATTCTTGACATACATTTAGTGCCAAAAAGAGAGGGAGGGAAAATTATGTGAATAATGCCAAGGTTAAGGTGAGGGTTGGGGTAGGGAGCTCTACAGATTTTCTGAATTGCAGAAGTGCCGATTTTTTCTTCTTACCCGAATCAAATTTTTGGATCATGCACATCCCTAGTGGTTATGATGCTTGGAGAAACCCTATAATGTATAAAATAACTCCCTCAAATACCCAAGGGATCAAATTAAAATCCATTAATTCTTAGATGTATAAACAATTTAGAACAAAATGTTTAGAACATTTACATAGTGGTAAGGTTGTAAATTCAGATAATGGAAAACTGCTTTTTGCTGAGATTTAAAATAATTTAAAGAATATTCAATACTGCTGTGTATGTGGAAAGTAAAAATGCACAACACACATAAGCTAAATGAGGTTAGGCATAGGGAATTCCTGAAGAAAGATCAGGACACATACCCTAAATTCAATAAAGAATTTCTATTAGATGTTGACGGCACAAACACATTGTTTATTAAAAATGTTAAATGATGGAAAAGACCACATTATTTTGCCATTTAAAAATAAATAAAAAAAACCTGTTGCTTGCAAAGAAGTCCTGTAGTGTGGCAGGTCTTTTACTGTCCTGTAGAATGCAGCCATGAAGGTAGTCTATAGATGCTGTTGTATAGTGCAGAAGGTAAGAGAAGGAGACACCATTCCTTCTTCAGTGAAGCACGGGGCGGAGGACCCAAAACACACATTTGCCGATATATCTATCATAGATCAACAGCTGGCCATTTTTTTAAAGCTTAGTTATAAACATAAAACACTCAAATACATCATAAATAAATTGTACTGTTAAATGATGAGATATCAGCCAGTACAGAGGGCTGTGGTCAGGGCATTGCTCCAGATAAGCCATTTTACAAAGGTCTGTTATGAAACCATATCGTTATAATAATAAAATGTCTACGGTAGGGTTAAATGGAAAACCAGAATTAACTTGGGCAAGGCAAGAGGAAAAAAAAAAGAAAAAAAAAAAACACACAAAGGTTGGACACATCAAACACACTCCCTGCCTAGATTTTACAATATACAGGTAAATAACAATGGAAACTTTGACCGATTACATACATCAAAAGCCTATAAAATCAAACCGTTTTAGCAGCGAACCAAACCCATAATGTTAATGAAAAATATAAACAAATGCACAGTTCCAATGATAGGCATTGAGAAAAGAGGGAAAAAAACGCTCTACAAATGTTCCAATAGACATTTATCAGACCTAGACACAACAAAAACTGTATCTGACAAAAGGAGAATATGCAATGCACATGCTTTGATATTTGAGCTGGTTCAGCTACAGTTTAGTAGTTCGTTGCAAACTGCCATTGCAAAGGCCAAGTAATTGCACTTGTAATGCCCAATATACTTGAAGCATTGAGACAGACACCAATTGCTTGGCTCACACTACAGGAAGTGTATGTCAAGTAGAAAAGAATGAGCTTAATCTAGGAGAAGCATCAGGTATCATCACCAAGCATTGCATATAAAGAAACATTTGAATGAAGGAGACAGAAAAGACTCAGATCAGAAAGTATTATCTTGCTTAGTAAACTACTAATGCTTCCATTAGAAATCCTGAATGCATGGTTGACAATGATCAATAAGGCCTTTTCTGATTTTGTATGGAGAGGGAAAAAACCTAGAGTTAAAAATGGAGTACTAGCAAGAGGAATAAAGAAGGGAGGTCTAGGATATCCAAATATAAGAAAATATTATGAAGCAGGAATTATTACGCATGTTATAGCTAGTCAAATAAAACAAAATAAAGAGGAAGTATGGTGGTGGTCAGAATTAGACTCTAGTCAATTAAGAGACACTTTAGAATTATTCTGGATTACAAATAAATGTAATTTATCTAGACCGTACATCTTAGGACAGATTACTCCAATATGGCAAAAAATAAGGAAAAAAATTGATCTGGTAAATAAGATATTTGACTTTCAAAATTTAGAAATAATAGAATTAAACATGGAGAGTATCTCCTTAAAACTATGGAAAGAAAAAGGAATAAATATTTTAAAAAGATCTGATCAAAGAAAATAAAATCAAACCTTATAAAATGTTGGTTGAGGAGTTTAGGATCTCTGATAAAGATATATATACTTATTTTAGAGTAAAACATTATTTGGAGAAAGTTGAGTTAGTAAAAGAGGGTAAGATGTACGATATTTTAAAAACAATCTTATACCAGAATAAGACAAAGCAACTGTTCTCTAGATGCGTTAGAATGTTAGATCTAACGGATGATTCCGCCCCGCCGAGTGTTATTAAAAAATGGAATACTGAATTAAAAATAAATATAGAATTATCTGAATGGCTATCTACGACACAAAAAATTAATAAATATGTCCACTCCCTTGTATTGATAGAAACACACTTTAAGTTGGCTAACCAATGGTATATGACGCCAACAAAAATAGCTAAATTTGACGTATCTAGGGACACTAAGTGTTGGAAATGTAGAGAGGAAAAAGGAAATTATATCCATATGTGGTGGTCATGTAAGCAAGTGATTGTTGTATGGCAGTGGGCTCAATTTATCATTCATATACTGTGTGATGTCAAAATGTCTTTAAAACCTGAAATAATGTTATTACATTATAAATGGCCAAAATTGAATAAAATAAATAAATTTTTAATTATCCATTGCCTAATGGCTTGTAAAATAATAATAGCAAGAAATTGGAAGGGAGATTCCCCTTTTAACATCAAATTAATAACAACTCAGTTGGTTTACCAACTTAAAATGGAGAAGGATTATTGCAAGCTTCTGAATGATGATTTGAGCCTATGGGAAAATTGGGAGAAAAAATTATTACAATTGTAAAAGTAACACCATAAGAAAAAGATAAAGTTGGAAGTCAGTAGAACTCTCGTGGGGTGGTGGATAGTTTATTTGTTCTTGTCTTTTTTGTGTTTGTTTTTATGTGGATGAATGTTTTTTAATACTTTTTTGTACAATGTATCTATGGTGAAAAATCTGATTAAAAAAAAAAAAAAAAGTAAACTACTACCACAACATGAGCCAAGTTCAGTAATAGTGAACCAAATTACTACATAGTGAAACATCCTCCTCTATAGGAAAGCCAACTGGCAGACGAACCAGAAAATGTAAAATGAGCAGGAATCAGGCTGCTTGGCACAAACCAGCAATCTGTGAAAGTATCGAGGTTGAGGAAATATTGCAAGTCAATAAAATGTGATTAATGTGGATGTTTGAGCAGTTGTAACGTTACTTAGAGGTGGGAAACCCAGGTTTGAATACCTGTCAGACCATCTTACCAGTAAGTGTGACTGGGAAGACACCTACCTCAAATCCTCAGATCATTTGAGCACAGCCTACCTCACCTCTACCTATAATTGTAAAGCGTGGCAGAATATGGTGGCACTCAGGTATGTAGAGTTTGTATTGCCCGATGCCTGGGACACGCAGTTTGGAAGCCAGGCGAGCAGTTTATCTATTCTTATAGCCCTGCCTCTGAAGGAAACATCAGTGAGGTTGAAGGACTGTCTGTTGTAGACTGGGACCTCTTGATTTTGTTTTGTGTCAGAACACGTAGATTGGGCTCAAACACTTTGGACAAATAGATTTTTATTTTTAATTTCATGCCCCTGATGCTATTCAATTACAACTACTAATAATTATAATACAATTTTTTTAAATAAGCAAGTATTAAGGAATATGGGACCACACCATTCCTACTTAAAAATAGCAAAAATGAAAAATCAACAGAGGGCAGAATGCAAATAACTAACTGCCAAAACCCTCAAGTTACAAAGTCCAACTTCACAAAGAGAAAAGCAGACAGTTATATACCTCCAGTAAAAAGGAAGTCACATTTTACAAGGACTAAATCATAAGAGCACGTAGAAAAAAAAAAATAATAAATAAGACTTTTATCCACATTTCAACGTATCAAGCCAGTCAGACTAGAACTAATAAAGTAAATATATGTCTAACAATTATAATAAAGCTCAGTGTGCGCTCTGACAATACCGAAGAAACTAGAACTTTTTCCCCACAAAGAAAAAAAAAACACATACACCACATTCTGGAGTACGGCTTAGTTATCTTTTATTAAAAAAAACAACAACAACTACAGGTGGTGCTAAAAACAGACCAAAGAAACTTATGAAGAAGCTGCACCTCTCACAGTGTACAAGCTCAATAACACTAACCAAAATATAAACAACAAATCAGGTGCGCTGTTCCTGTAAGACTTATTTTTGCATTGTGTGCAAAAAAAATATTTTATAAAAATCGTATTGAAATAATATACTAAACTGCATATATTATAAGGTGCAATAATAAATGTGTATCAGTGCAAACACAATGCTCTAAAGTGCTGCAATATTTGTGCAAAAAACTGAAAAGTGCCACACTTCACTTACATGCAAATACATAAATGCATGGATATGGGTTGGCTCCAATTAGTGGGTATTCATGTAAAAGAAAACAAAAACAACCTCATAGGGCAATATAGTAAAGTAAACTACAATAGATACAGTAGTTTCAGAAGGGAACACACAGGTGTAGAGCAGAGAATCCTGCAGTAACTGTAATGGCACAAAATGTACCACTATGTACCACAATCTTTATTGTGACTTTAAAAAGAAGCAGCAACTGTCAGCATATACTCCTTGCTTCACACCCCACCCCAAGCACCTTATTTGTTTAAATTTTAGTTATCTTTCAGGCTTAGTAACCTCAAGCACTGGGTTACGTTAATTACCATACTGAACATGCTTGTGCACGAAATTTGAATTTGAGATTGCGAGCCTAAATGTAAATGCACCAGTGTTGTCTAAATATTTTAGCTTTAAAATACAAATACACACACACACACACACACTGAATACTGCATCAAAGCAGACTTATTTAAAATTGCAATTGTTTATCGTATACTGTAGCACTTACCTTTCCTCAATCCTGTTTTTGTCCATAAGAGGTTGTTTGATCCACTGGTTCACCAGTCTTTGACCTTGAGGAGTTTTGCATTTATTTAATAGCCCGGCCAAAGACTGCGTTCCACTGGTATCTTCTACAGAACTCTTAAATAACAAAACAAAATGAACATCTCTAAATAAAATCATGTTACAACAATAAACTGTGGTGTAAGTATATATGAATGAATGCATCCTTTGCCATATGTACACAGTTAAGAACAATGAATAACAATGCCTAATTACGGTTTATGTGAACAAGTGGCAATCAGGTAAACAAGTTAAATAGCACCTGTGGCTTAAAAGACAATTAAGGTATAAACTAACACTACATTTTACCAAAAAGAAAATTTTAAAAATTTCACTAACACCAGTTGACCTGGTGAACTGATTTAGTCATAGCTTGGCCATTTTGAACTCTTTGCTGTACACAGACAATACCATCGCTATTAATTTGGGAGGAGGAGACATTTTTGAAGGGTTCACTTGTCCAAAGACACTCGGCATTATTCACTAAGAGAATTCAAAGTGAACTACAAATGCAAGGACAAATTAGTCAAAATGGGAGCATTTTCTAACTTAGCTAGGCTTCGAGTTTCGCTACTTTGGTCTTCAATGTGAAATTCACTTTGACTACTCACTTTAGTAACTAACCCTGACTGTTTCCCCCAACACTATATCATTATAATTTGTGGACAGGAAAGCCAATTTAAAATAAAAATAAAACAACCAGTTTGGAAAAAAGAAATTTGTGAGTTGGCCAAAAAAAAAAAAAAGCATTGTTATAAGGAAACTACATTTTTCATGTTTTTGCAGATTGCTTTTCAATATGTAAAGCATGATTTTCTAAATCTTGGGCAAACCAATGCCAGGTTTATATTGCCATAGTGTAAAAATACATAAGTTTTCATTTTTTCAAGATTCAGGTAATTACCGGAAAGCAAGATGACGGATATTGGTTAGGATGTGCAGTGTTAAAGAATAAATTGTCACTTTAAAAATAACTAAGTTTCATAATACTGCAATTGTATTACATTATTTTCAAAAAATTATTACCGGGAACAGGTTTAATGCACCAACAGCAGCATTGTCCAGCTTCATGTACTGGCTTAGATCAAAACTGGTCAGTTGGAACTGCCCAAAGTTGGACTCATCAGATAACAGCTCTAAATACTTTATGACTGCAGACAAGGAGGAAATGGCAACCTAGAATTAAAGCAACAACAAGTAATATTTACAAAACTAATGGGAACAAACCATCAGCAGAACAACATATTGACAATACATTCAAATATCTCAAAAAAATGTTATAATAATAATAATAATAATAATAATAATAATAATAATAATAATAATAATAATAATAATAGTAATATACACACACAAAATGGGTATAAAGGGTGCACTCAGAGGTCTTCTAAAGTGAAAAAAACGCTTTAAATGTTGCAAAAAGCAAATTTACAAAAATGTGGACAATCAACATTTCGACCCTATAGGTATTTCTCAAGATGTTGATCTTGAGAAAGACCTATATAGTTGAAACTTCGATTGTCCACATTTTTGTAAATTTCCTTTTTGCAACATTAAAAGTTTTTTCACTTTGTAAGACCTCTAAACTAAAAGCAAATGAGAAGTTATATCTGTGTGTTTGTACCTGCTTCTCCATTTCCGGTAAAGCAGCGCTGGTAACTTGCTCTCCTTTTTTTGTTTTGAGCAAACGGTTCAGATCCTGTACACTGTCTTTTGTAGTGAAGTCTGATTTTTTTCGGTCTGTAATCAAAACACCACCTCTCTGAACAATCTAAGACAAAGAGAGAGAGGAGAAATAAAAATAATTAAATGTACAATTGGAAAATTACAATTAGAGGATCCTTCTAAAGCGTTATGGGTACGTGAAAATAATTAGTTCTGTGTCATTATTCCATTTGGGGATTCTCACTAATAGTTAATAATTTACTTTACACGTACATAAAACGCTGTCCAGATTGTTAACTGTCACATATATGTACAGCTAACCAAGACTCGGTAACCCAGAAACTGGCTTTCAGCAGCAAGACAAACAATTCTGACTTACCCAGTAAGTGTGCACTTAAACTAGGATTATACAAGACACAATATTACCATTGAATACAGTTATAAAGATCTGGTAACTTGAGAATTGGTCAAAGAACGGGATGACAAAAATGTGGAGAACTTGAAGGCCAAATAAACAAATTTTTTGACAGGTTTTTTTTTTTTTTAACTCCAAGCTAGTTGTTAACCCTTGTTAATGTTGCTCTACATTGCTTAACAACTAATCGCTTCTACTGCCCTCACCCCCCACTTTTTTTTTTTTTTTAAATGAATTGAATGAGAATTTTGAACTCCATTGCCAGGACAAATTCTCCCAGAAACGTTCAATGTCCACTTTTCATCATGCCATGCCATTTTCAATACAAGGTTTAATCAAATGCTTCTCATAGAGACCTCGGAAGCATGTACGGGAAGGGATGGACAATGGGAGGTATAAAAGGCTGGATCAGAGTAACTGGAAGCAGTGCCAAAAGGGGGAAGTAGTAATGGTCAAATTTTAGAAGATATTGATGGCGAAGGGAACAAGCAGAATATTGGACTGTGAGTATGCGAGCCACATATACACAGAACTGCCTGCAAATGAAGAAGCTGAGAACTGGTATTTTTGGCACAAGAATTGCATAAGGCAGTCCGGAACAGTGTTCCAGTCTGCATAAGTCACATGTGCCGGGGAGGTAATATCACCCTGGCACAAAATCAATGATTTCTCTGTACAGGCAGCGTTTCAAGCTGAAACCCGGCAAATAGAGATTGCTTGCACCATGACGATTTCTAAAAGCGGAAGTGGACATGGTGATTGGAGTAACTAAGTCACAGACATCACATTTCTAAACAATACTGTGAGTTATGCAGTAGCTCTGTTACACATTAAATATGGAGATCCACGAGAAGAAAGATACTGAGATAGAGGACAGGGACAGAGGAGTGTGAATTGCAATTATTACAATTTACCTGTCGTACTTTCCCCATGTCTCCAGCAGTCTCTCCTCCAGGCATCACACATTCCTTGGGCCCAATTTGGACCAGCAAAGCTTCCAGATTAGAGAACTGATCGTTGTCTGGAAACTCACATACTCCAAGCTTTCTCAGGGTGGAGTCCACATACCCAACGCCAACCAGTCTTTGTCCATCAACAGTGACCAGTTTGATGCCTACAACTCCAATTGCTGTAGACATGTTATTGTTACCAAACAGAATCTCTTCAAACTGGGTAAGGTTACCTGGGGACGCCTGTTAAAACAGTTAATTCAATAATGTTATATTGGGGTAAAAGATAGTCATATCTTGTCATTTACTTTTAAATATAACCAGGAAAGCATTTCAAGTGTGCCTGTCATGGTACACACATGTTTAACTTCTATACATTGTGTTGGTAAAACAGACAGGAGATAGAGCTGGAGAACCCTTCAACATGTAGTTCTCCCTACTCTCTGTTGAAGCAGCGTGCCGACAATGAGGTTGTGTTACGATCATGTCATTACTGGAGGCAAGGTAAAGAGTGTTAATATTTTTTACAATAAAATATATTTCAATGACTAGGGGCTTCAAAGCATCTCTATAACGAAATGTCGATTGGCACAGCGTTTTGCCATGCATTTGCAATAGCCTCCCAATGCTTTCCTATAATAAAGCACCAGATTGGGTGAGATCATCAAAATTTATTATCTCAGCCATGGAGGCAAGGCCAGCCGTGGCAAGATTGGAATGACGGGGGAGAAAAGGAAAGTAAAATAACCTTTTAATTCCACAGAGAGAGGGGCGAAGACCTAAACAGCTAGTTTAACACTTTACAGTGTTAGGAATACAAACATTTATTCATAACATTATGCTCTATACCCTAAATCTGCCATAGGAATACACCATGAGTCCTGACTTTGCAGGATAATTTGTTTACAGGTGGTCTTACTAAAAGTCACAATATGTGTGATATATCAGACATTGCATTAGGAATGCTGCATGTCATTATTATTATTGCCATTTATATAGCGCCAACAGATTCCGTAGCACTTTACAATATTATGAGAGGGGGGATTTAACTATAAATAGGACAATTACAAAAAACTTACAGGAACGATAGGTTGGAGAGGACCCTGCTTAAACGAGCTAAAATTCTATAGGAGGTGGGGTGTAAAACACAATAGGACAGGAATTTGCAATCAAATAAGGTTGGAGTGAGGCAGAGCTAGAGGAGAGAGTAAAGTGCTGTCCTTTAGGAGAGCGCAAGAGACAGGTATGTGAAGCAGAGGTTAGTCTGGGAGGCAACAAACTTTCCTAAAGAGATTGGTTTTAATGCACTTCTTAAAAGATGCAAGACTAGGGGAGAGTCTGATGGCGGTAGGCAGGCTATTCCATAGGAAGGGAGCCGGCCGCGAGAAGTCCTGCAAGCGTGAATTGGCCGTACGGGTGCGAACAACAGACAGGAAGTGGTCACGGGCAGAGCGGAGAGACCGAGAAGTGACATACCTGTGGATCTGTGAAGAGATAAGAGGGGCTAGAATTGGTCAGTGCTTTATAGGTGTGAATTAGTACCTTGAATTGACTCCTATAGCATACAGGAAGCCAATGACTAGAGAGCAAAATCAGTCTGGCGGCAGTGTTCATTATGGACTGCAGCGGTGCAGTACAGCTTTTGGGAAGACCAATCAGGAGAGGGTTACAATAATCCATGCAGGAAATTACTAGAGCATGGACAAGCTCCTTGGTAACATCTTGTGTAAGAAAGGGGTGGATGTGGGATATGTTTTTAAGATGGAATCTACAGGATTTGGCGACATATTGGATGTGAGGCCAGAATCAGGTATGACGCCAAGACAGCGCGCTTGCAAGGATGGACTTATGTGGATACTACTAACTTGAAGGGAGAGCAAAAGAGGAGGATCAGTATTAGAAGGAGGAAAGGCAAGCAGCTCAGTTTTAGAGAGATTGAGTTTCAGAAAGCGGGTCATTTACAGAGAATGGTAAATAAAGCAAATTCTCTGCTTCAAATTCAAATATGAAGCCAAAGGGAGATTCCACAAGAAAAAAAAAACAAAACAACAAAAACATTGTCATTTATGAAAGACCGTGGGACAAGACTGGGAATATGCACCAATATTGATAGGCAATGTATATAAATTTGATTTTAAGTTACATTTGAGATTGATAATGGTTAAACGAACTGTTGGAATGCATTAATGTTTAGACTTTTTAACCTAATAAGTCACCTTTGGCACACCATAATTTTCAAAACTCCATTTGCAGATTTGGAAAGTCTAAACACAAACCATGTCTCTTTCAGTGAAAATGAATGTCACTTCACCTTATAAGCCAATTGCCAGTCATTGTCCTTTGACGATTTGCTTCCAGACTTATTTTTATACACTTCTACACGATACTGACGAACCAGAAGAAGATCCTTCACAACAGACTCAAAGTTCATTTTACTGAGCACAACACTTTCCAGTTTCTTGCTACCTACACAGATTATAGGAGAAAAGCACACACTCAGTGATTTTTATATGTAAGAATTAACATTTCTGAAAAATCATAGCTTTGTTAATGTGGTCCTGTCAAACACTTGTGCCCATGTCACGTCATCATATTGTATTTCAATGAGATATACAAAAGCACAGAATAGGCGCTCACTATAATAACAGAGTGAAAGGCAGCAGTTAACCAGCATGTATTCCCAAACTTTGCTTGAATATAAAAATGTGACAAAAAAAAAAAATCAGTACACCAAAAATAAACAAAAAACAGGTTTTATAAGCTATCGACATACACATTCAGTCAATTACAGATTTTATGGCGTCCTCACTTGAAATTTGATTTCTGCCGTTTAGGTGTTAAATCACTTAGTTTTAACACCTAAAAGGTTGTTTTGGGGCTTAGAGTATTCCTTTAATTAAAAAGCAAATATCTATAAAGTGAATGCCAAGCTTTATAAATCTTCCACAGAACATTTGCTTTCTATGTGATGTCTATACATCTCAATATTTGGATATATAAAAAAAAAAAATATATATATATATATATATATATATATATATATATATATATATATACACACACACACACACACACATATACACACAGTAACAAATGGAGGATTAGTTTGTTAGTTTGCATTGAGGATGTATTGGTGATAAGCATTTGTTAGGACCTTGGCATGCCAGTCATAGAGTCTTACACAAGCACAGAACATTGCTGATGACCTCTTAAATTGACAGAAAAGAGCTGCATTGATTTCTAAAAAATATTTATTTATTTATTTTTTGCAGGGGGTACTTTTCCCTGATGTCCCCAAGTGAGCGACACCAGGGGAAAGTGCAAAAACATGCAGGAGCGAAACGATTGCCAAACTGGGATTGTAAACCTCTTATTGTCTTATTAATGATTCAGTCTTATAACAAAGATTCCGAGACAAAAATATCACAGGAAATATATTCAAAGCACAGAGACAGGAAATGGACAACTGTATTACTGAACTGACAGACCATAAAACCAAAAAAATAAAATTGCAAATATATACTTATTTATGTCATAGTCCCTAGTGCCACTAAGGCCTGTTATATATGTACTTCTGATCAAAAAGAATATGATCAGAATTTATCTTATGACACTCTTTTTCTTTGTCCAACTAACAAACCAATGATGTTTTAAAAACGCAAATCTAAATTAAGAGTTCTACAACCTATTTGTGTTCTCACTTAAAAACCCAGGTGCTGTGCTCAAACATACAAAAAAAATTGGCATTCAATCAAAAATATTAAAATTTAAAAGGCATGTTAGCACATGAAGCAATTTAGCTTTAAATGAATGCTAAAACACGTTCCTGGTAGATTGACAAGAAAACTGAAATATTTTACATTGCATGATTTAAAGGATAGAGCCACTACACTTACACCAACCACTGCATTGAGATTATGTGGTCTGTGTGACTCCAATAATTCTTCCTCTATGCTCATTATGGTTTTCCAGTTACTATACACGTACGGATTTTCCTACTAGGTCTATGTAAAAAACTCTCTTTTTACATAGTTAGCAATCAAATCTAGACATGTATGCTTAGCTAATCTCTTACATAATATTAAAAAAAAAAATGTGCAAAATTTTCAAAGCCATGTTCCAGTATTTGTGTTGCAGTACTTGTTGATGCTGTTGTGGCATTGCAAAGTTGTATGTATTTACATCCATGCACTATAAAATAAAAGTTTTCCTGTCATCACATCCACTTCAGGTAGAGTGCCATGCAGTTGATTTAAAATGAGCAAGGAGTAACAACTTATACATGTGTTGTACTATTGCAAAAGGAACACTTTGTTAACCCCTTAAGGACTGAGCCAAATGTACACGTTGTGAACGAAACAAAATGTAAACAAAACCTGGCATTTGCGCTACATGTCTGTCCAACCGTAATTCACCGTATCATCTTAAATGCACCCACCCTTATTATATATCATTTTATTCAGGGGAAACAGAGCTTTCATTTAATATCAAATATTTAGCTATGGAACAATTTAATATGAAAAAATGGGAGAAAATAAGATTTTTTTTTAGTTCCACAGGACATTTTAACTGTCAACGTCATAATACTGTTTGACTTTTACTGCAATAAAATACACATTTGTATTCAGCAAAGTCTCACGTGTAAAACAGTACCCCCTATGTACAGGTTTTATGGCGTTTTGGGAAGTTACAGGGTCAAATATAGCATGTTACATTTGAAATTGAAATTTGCCAGATTGGTTACGTTGCCTTTGGGACTTTATAGAAGCCCAGGAATGAAATTTACACCCATAATGGCATACCATTTGCAATAGTAGACAACCCAAGGTATTGCAAATGGGGTATGTCCAGTCTTTTTTAGTAGCCATTTGGTCACAAACACTGGCCAAAGTTAGCGTTAGTATTTCTTTGTGTGAAAAATGCAAAAAACGCAAATTCTACATATATATTTGTGTGTGTGTGTGTATATATATATATATATATGTATGTAGATATATATATTTCGTTCTATGTGTATTTTGATATATATTAATATCACAATACAGTTAGAACGAAATAACACATCTATATAATTTTTAAAAAAAATTTAATTATTTTTATTTTTACGTATTTACATATTTAATTTTTTATAATATATATATATATATATATAACAATAATTCTATATATATTTAATCAGTATCAGTCTACGTGTAATTTGATATTAGTTAATATATATATTTTTCTTTTTAAACACTTAAATTTTATTTTTATTTTATTTCTAGCCAGCAGGGGGACCACCTGTAATTACAGGCAGCCCCCCTGCTGGCAATACAGAAGCCAGCTATCCCGGCCACTCTCACATGGCTGGGGGGCACCGGAGGAGGAGGAGGATCTGCCGGGGACTACTGGGTAAGTAAACAAAACCGGAGGGCATACAGTTACGCCGGCGGCGTTTAGAGCGCTTAAAATAGGGCGTAATTGTACGCCCTCCGGTCTGAAGCGTTAAAGGAACACTATAGTCACCTAAATTACTTTAGCTAAATAAAGCAGTTTTAGTGTATAGATCATTCCCCTGCAATTTCACTGCTCAATTCACTGTCATTTAGGAGTTAAATCACTTTGTTTCTGTTTATGCAGCCCTAGCCACACCTCCCCTGGCTATGATTGACAGAGCCTGCATGAAAACAAAAACTGGTTTCACTTTCAAACAGATGTAATTTACCTTAAATATTTGTATGTCTTTATATATAATATGCTGTGGGGTTAGTTACACAGTAGCCCAACTTATATACCAATATGCTGTGAGTTAGCAGCCCCCAGCTTTTATATAAATATGCTGTGGGGTTAGTTACCAGTAGCAGCCCCCTCCCCTTAATATATATATTTAGTGGATAGGTGAGTGCGCTGGATCTTGTGTATTGTATTATTTGGCCCCCAGCAGCACCCCCATTTAGGCATGTTAAGGTGAGTGCAGCCAACCCCCTCTTGTTTTATATATATTTGGGAGTCTAGCCAACTCCTTGGTTTTGCACCCCTCCCTGTCACAGGTGCCTCATCCCAGGGCCCTATTTGGCCTTGTACTGCAGAGAGCCCCAGATGGAATTTTTTTCCCAAGTAGGTTAATCTCATAAGAGCAGACATTAGGCTGTTAGTGTAGGACCTGCCAAAGATGGGGTACATTGACGTTGTGGCAGGCTTATGCAATGTATGATCATATAATGCAACTAAACCCCCATTATTTTTGCCTAGATTAGGTGTTTTTAAAAAAACAAATAAAATATTTCAACATTGAAGTTGCTGTTTAGTGGATAGGTGAGTGCGCTGGATCTTGTGTATTGTATTATTTGGCCACCAGCAGCACCCCCATATAGGCATGTTAAGGTGAGTGCAGCCAACCCCCTCTTGAGATATATATATATATATATATATATATATATTATATGCTGTGAAGGTTACAGACCGCCCTTTGTGTGTGTATTTATATATAATATGCTGTGGGGGTCAGTTACACTCAGTAGCAGCCCCCCCCCTTTATATATAATATGCTGTGGGGGTCAGTCAGACTCAGTAGCAGCCCCCCCCTTTATATATAATATGCTGTGGGGGTAAGTCAGACTCAGTAGCAGCCCCCCCTTTGTGTATATATATATATATAATACGCTGTGAGGGTTAGTTAGACCCAGTAGCAGCCCCCCCCTTTATATATAATACGCTGTGAGGGTCAGTCAGACTCAGTAGCAGCCCCCCCTTTATATATAATATGCTGTGGGGGTAAGTCAGACTCAGTAGCAGCCCCCCCTTTATATATAATATGCTGTGGGGGTCAGTCAGACTCAGTAGCAGCCCCCCCTTTATATATATAATATGCTGTGGGGGTCAGTCAGACTCAGTAGCAGCTCCCCCTTTATATATAATATGCTGTGGGGGTCAGTCAGACTCAGTAGCAGCCCCCTTTATATATAATATGCTGTGGGGTCAGTCTGACTCAGTAGCAGCCCAACATATATAATATGCTGTGGGGTCAGTGGACTCAGTAGCAGCCCCCCTTTATATATAATATGCTGTGGGGGTCAGTCAGACTCAGTAGCAGCCCCCCCCCTTTATATATAATATGCTGTGGGGGTCAGTCAGACTCAGTAGCAGCCCCCCCTTTATATATAATATGCTGTGGGGGTAAGTCAGACTCAGTAGCAGCCCCCCCTTTGTATATATATAATACGCTGTGAGGGTTAGTTAGACCAAGTAGCAGCCCCCCCGTTTATATACAATATGCTGTGGGGGTCAGTTACACTCAGTAGCAGCCCCCCCTTTATATATAATATGCTGTGGGGGTCAGTCAGACTCAGTAGCAGCCTCCCCTTTATATATAATATGCTGTGGGGGTCAGTCAGACTCAGTAGCAGCCCCCCCCTTTATATATAATATGCTGTGGGGGTCAGTCAGACTCAGTAGCAGCCCCCCCTTTATATATAAAATGCTGTGGGGGTCAGTTAGACCCAGTAGCAGCCCCCCCTTTATATATAATACGCTGTGGTGGTGAGTTACACTCAGTGGGTTACTAGCACTATTCACCTGATCCCAGATATTTGATGACCCCATTGGTTTTGAAAACCTCTCTGGCGGCAAACACCGCGTCCTTGCCGTGCACCGTGTAATACTCGCTCCGGTCGAACACCCGCACTGTGGTCTCCGGCTTGTCGGGCATGGAGTTGTAGAAGTGGATGAACCCGCTCTCCATCCCGCTGTCCATAGACAGCTTCTCCTTGGGCTGCACAGCCATGCTGGAATCTCCCGCCAACACACACAGGCGCTCAGAGGATGACAGCGGAGGAGCAGGACCCGCGTCACTCAGCCAACGGCGTCACCACGCAGGCAGAGCGAGGCGAGAAGCGTGGGGACGTAAGGGAGCAGGCGCCATCTTGGTAAAGGGCATGCTGCCATTCTAAGCATTCTGACCTTTCTTCTTAAAGGGACACTATAGTCACCCAGACTACTTCAGCTCATTGAAGTGGTTTGGGTGCCAGGTCCCTCAGATTTTAACCCTTCACATGCAAACATAGCAATTTCATAGCAGTTTGCTATGTTTGCATTTGGGGTTATGCCAGCCGCTAGTGGCTGTCTTCCGGACATATCATGCCTCCATCACGCAGAGCGTCCATAGGAAAGCATTGAGAAATGCTTTCCTACTGACAGCTTGAATGCGCGCGGCACTTGCCGCGCATGCACATTCGGCTCCGCTGACGTCGGCAGACAGAGCTGACGTCGGTGGGGCAGGAGAGGTCACCAGCGCCAAGGGAGCCCGGCACTGGAATAAGGTCAGCTGCTGAAGGGGTTTTAACCCCTTCAGCCCAGCGGGAGGGGGACCCTGAGGGTGGGGGTACCCTCAGGGCACTATAGTGTCAGGAAAACCGCTTAGTTTTCCTGACACTACAGTGATCCTTTAAAGGGACACTCCAGGCACCAAAACAACTTCATCTAAATGAAATTGTTATGGTGCCAGGAGACCCCCAGGCACACTCTAACCTCAAGGGAATAAACCGTTTAACCGAATGGTTTAACCCCAAAGTTTCCTCCAGCAGTGACCTCCACTGCCCCAGGCAGCATCCAGCTTCAGTAATTTTCACTTTTAGGAAGTGCTGACTGGCACCAGGGAGGGGCGCTGCTGATTGGCTAAGAGCAGTCAGCTAACGCTTCCGATCAGTGACTCCACAGTCACAAAACTGGCTTGAAAAAAGTATGTTTCTTTCCAAGCCAGTTTTGTGAATGGTGCAGTCACTAATTGGCTCTGCCCAGCGACGCGACTCGCTTCCTGAAATTAAAATATCAGAAGTCGGATTCCGCCTGGGGAGGAGTTGAGATCACCACTGGAGGAAACTTTGGGGTTAAAACATTCGAGAGCGGTTTCACTCTTTGAGATAAGAGTGCCTTTAGGGGCCTCCTGGCACCAAAACAACTTCATTTAGAGAAGTTGTTTTGGTGCCTGAAGTGTCCTTTTAATACTATACTGCTGTAATTTGTTTCTAGAAGTGTTTTTGTACATGATGCATTACTAGTAGTTTTTCAGTTATGATGGAAGTGGGAATTGGGCGTAAAGGTTTGCAGATAGTGCCAAAGATGACAAATTCAGAGCTGGTGACGGTTGCTCACATATAAGAACTATTACATTTTTCCCAAAACAAGACGGCCTCATCAATAATAGGACTGCTGGCCAGCATAGGATACCATTAACAAACCAAGGACATACCTCCTAACACTTCAGAATCTGAAGCCGCTTGTCCTGTGCTTGTTCCCTGATGTTCCTTTTTGTGAGAAACAACAGTGACAAGTCCCCAGTAAATGAAGTGTGAGCAAACTGAACAGTTTGGGCTGATCAGTGACTTACACCAGACTGACACACCACTTTTTTATTTTTTTGGATGGGCCCACTTCACCCACCTCTCATGTCCACTTGGGTCCTGCCAAACCTCAAACACTGCATTGGGATGGGAGAAAAAAAATTGCCAAATATACTACCTCAGGCATAGGCAACCTTCTGCACTCCAGATGTTTTGGATTGTAACCGTGAGTGGTTCCCTTATTTACCACTATAATGTCTTAAAGCATAGAACTTAGTAGGGCTAACCATACAGATATCTTAGCTATAATTTTATATAGTGCAAGAGATCCTCTATTTAACATATATAAATAATTGAGAATACAATATAAAATAAGGATTGTCTTGGAAGCAAGATTGTCTTTTGGATATTTATTATATAAAAATATAAAATCCATTATAGCAGAGTTTATAAGATTAAATTACATGCTTGCAAATATCATTAATAGGTTAACATACCCTTCTGAACATGTCATCACGTCAGCCTCTCTGTCATTTTAAGATGGAGCAGCGTCTGTCTCCAAGTCTCTCCTCTGAATCTTAACATTTAAAAGTACACCTATTTATACCTTAGGTGTCTCCATTTTAGGTTACTGTAGTTCAAATATGAAAGAGTAACACTTCTTTTACTTTATTCAATTTAGGACCTCCCTTAACTTGGCAAACATACAAGGCCATAACTAAAGGGTGTATAGGTCATGGAAATTTTCCTGACTTAGTTCAAGATGGCATCTTAAAGTCTGAATAGGTTATCTGTTGTTTATACTAAGTCGTAAGTGTACAGTCGCGGGAGATTCCCGGATTTGGGGAAGTTCCATTAACTTGGGGTTACCACAGTATATTGTGTACTGCAAGAGTCGTAGCATAGCCTTGAAGCTTGTTTATTCATTATTGTTATTGTAATTCGTCTGGGACAAACATATTATGCACTGAGGTTATTGCTTAAAGAAACAGTTATGAAAAACAATATGTTCCATTTCTAACACCTTGTAAATTTGCAATATCTCTTAAAGACAAAGTACACAGTTTAAGAAATACATTTCATTCTAAAACTTGTAATATTTGTGTTTTCCCATAACAGGACTACACCTCCCATGATGCTTTACCAGCATTATGGGTGTAAGACCATTATGAGGGATGTAGTCCACAACATCTGCAGTGCCAAAGGTTGCCTATCCCTGTACTACCTTATCCAGATTTTAAAGATGGCAATAAAAAGAACATGCAAAAAAAAAAAGTCTGAATCTGGCAGTTTTTATGACTTGTATGGTATGTATACATTTGTCCACACATCGGGTACCTGTATATTGTACTTCTATCTTTCTTGACTGCTTTTTATTATTATTTATTGTAATTATTATAAACTGTGGCAGCTGCCCATATTTCCTGCTCCTTACCCTCAAATGAGAAAAAAAGTGCAAAAATTCTCCAAATTATTGTTATAAAATTTTCTATTTTGATTTAATACGCTAAAAGTCAGAGTTTAGTGAACAAACATCACTGTGACACTTCTCAAATTCATCCCTACATCCATGGTGCAGTGTGTGATATTTTTTGCTGTGCAACTCTCTGATAGATCTAAATGTTGGTACCCTGCACAAAACTTCAATAGCTTGCCCGTGTACAAACCTCTGGCCACAATGTAGATATAAAGGAGGAGAGCACTCCGAGAACTTTTTTTTGCAAAAAGTATACGCTGGCATTTAATAGAGAAAATTTGACAAAGTTACTGTAATTTTCTTTTCCTGGCCATTTCTTATGGCAGCATCACTTATGGATAGCTCCTCCATTAGCAGTCACAGGACAGGGATTTATTAATTGGACTGATAGGTAGAAAGAGTCCCTCCTCCCCTTACAGAGTCCAATTATAAAGCAGAAAAAAATAAAATAATGGGCAGGAACCCCGATGCTACCTCTAGAAATAGCCAGGAAATTAAAATTATGGTAAGTGTCAAATTTTCTCTATTCCTGGCTAATCATGGCAGCATCACTTATGGGTAATACCCAAGCTCACAGAAATATATGGTGGGAATAAAGAAACAGAAAAAGACACTATACAGACACATGTGCTGCAAAGAAATTTAATATCAGTGGGATAAAGAAACCATAGACAGAACATTTCCCAAAGGAGGTGGAAGGAGAGGCCATGTCCCGTTTGAAGTCTTATGAACGTCAGTGGGGAAGACCAGTTGGCTGCTCTGCAAATATTGCACCCCATCCAAAAGAACTTGCATCTGTTGTAATGTTCCAAGGAGGTTTCTCTAACCGGAAGCCTTTTGCCAAATTCTTCTGGCCCCTCCATCAGTTCAAACCCTTTTCTTACCGGCAGGGGTAGAGTTATCCTTTGCTCCCAAATCTGTTTCTTCTCTGTTGAATTGAAGAAGAAAGTAATTCTGAAAAGGATGAGACTTCAATTGGGCCCATTTTTCCCAGCCCAATTGTTGATGTCAAAGAACCTAGGAGACTCTTGACTTTTTCCTCACTGAGGCGGTTGAGATATTGTAGTCTTCTGATTTTGTCTGATTTCTAGGGCCCTTTCTGGAGAGAGAAACACATGGGCTAGGATTGTGTCTCTCTGCTCCAAGGAATACGTTTTGAGAAGGAATGAGAGCTCTTCTCTACATTCTGAGGACAACCGTGATCTCAAAGAATGTTCGTCCTTAGAGTATGATGAGGATATCGTCCAAGTAATGGAAGATTTCAATACCTCTTATGAAGGCTATTAAAGTGACAAGAACGTTTGAGAACGTCCTTGGAGCCAAGCTGAAGCCAAACGGGAGTCCCCGGAATTGAAAGTCTTCCTAGAGCCCAGAATCTGAGAAATCTTACGGACACATTCAAAATTACTGATTAAGATATAACCTACAAGGAACATGCCTGATGCAGTGGTGAGAGTCATTCTAAATGGGATAAGTCCTTTGCAACACAGTGGACCCTTTCATCACAGAGATGATTATCTAAGTCTAGAGAGAAAAAAAAAAAAAGAAAAAAAACCCACCACACTCTTGGGCCAGAGGTGGATGGAGACAGGTCCAACTCCTTTGTCACTCATCCTAGTTTCTAAAGATACACTCCAAGTACCATAACTTCTACAGACCTGGCATCCATCCAGATTTCTCAAGCAAGCCTACTTCTGGGTTTTAAAGTGCAAACTTTTTCACTTCACAAATGGGAGTGTAGCTAGTCATTGTTTTTAGTTTTGACTTTAATGGAATCATGAAACTCTAGCCATTTTAAAGTTTGAGCAGCTATTAGAATTTTATACACCCTGTTTGGATCACTGGAAGCAGGTCTGATGTAGACCATTTTGAGGTACATAAAAAAAAAAATATATATATATATAAAGTATATACATATATTTTACTCTAGTAGTAACCTCTAAACAGGTTAATCATTTCACAAAGTCTTTTAGAGAGCTGAAGAAATTTGAAGGCTTCTGGAAGCGTAGATCAAAGGTGTTTCATATCTCAATGCAATTCACATATATGGCTCACTCTAGAATTGTGAGTTTGTCACTTAACTATTCTAAAATTGGAGTGGCATTATACATACACAAAATCCACACAACTAAATTTTACACTTTTATTGAATTCGTAGTTTGACATTAAAAAACCCACAACATTTCAGAATATATACAAAAAGTTAAAAACCCCATCTGTTAAGATTTGTTGATGCAAAAAAGAAAAAAAAAAAAATCCCAACATAAAAGTGTCTCTTTGCAATGAAGTGGTTTACAGAAATATATACACAACTCTATAAAAAAAACACAATGAATACAAACTATGAAAATTGTACACAGGATTGTTTAAACTTGATTGAGGAGAAAGCTTTTGAGTTGCAACAATCCCAACAATGTATCATTTACAGTAATTTTGGAGTATTCTACGATGTCAGTTGCTTTTGCATTTCATTCATTTCTTTCACCTACCAAAAGAAGAAAAACAGGTTTAGACACATTACAAATCAGACTGGCTGTTTCATATGAACTGTACTTTCAGATTGTAACAGATGTTCTACCATTTATAGACAGTTGTCCCAGAGATCTAAAATACACTTAAAGAAACCCACAGTAAGATTAACTAAAGCATGTACCTCAGCTTTCTCATATCTTCCTTTCTTTCTTCTTGTAAGAACCTATGGAGAGAAAAAAAATAAAAGTTAACGACAAGACATAGCCACTTGGGACAGCAATGCATTAAGAGCCAGTCAGTTTTCCCCAAGTCAGTCCAGGATTTAAGGATTAACCAGTTCTCCAAGGTGTCTTCTCCACTTTTCTTAAGACACCTTAGAAAAAAACTGGTTAATCCTTTGGGAAAAAAAAAAAAAAAAAAAAAAAAAAAAAAAAAAAAAAAAAAAAAAAAATTAAGACAGGAGCTATATCCCCACAGGCACACATGTATTGTGAGTCCAAATATCTCTGCACAGACCCCTACCACAATGATCACTTAGAAAAACAGAAGTGGTCATGGTTGTTGGAGTAACCCTTGAAACCCATTTTGGTTTGAAAATCCCAGCAAGTGCTCATTAGTTGTATTATGAGCAATGGCACAAGAATTGTGTGCATGTTCTAGCATATGTAATGCTATACCAAAGCAGTCATAACCTCTTTGGAAATCTAGACTGGCACAAAATATGTACATTAAGTGCTACACACTGTGCCAAATATTCATTAACATTTATTCTGAAAGGCATTTGCCATTTACATTTGATTACTTACAGAAATTAAGAACTGGGATTATACAGTAAGTAATAACCCTGCATTTATAACATGCAGTTTGCATATTCACATAACAAAATCCCGGGTACAACTGGACTGTTTCCTCATCAGTAGACACTTACCAGTACAACAATACCAGCAACAATCGCCACTACAACCACCACAATGACTGCAATAACGCCAGCAGTTAAACGCTTCATAGAAATTTCATGTGGTTTCTCATCGATGTAGTATATTAAGGGTTCTTTAACAGGAACATTTTTGCCATTGACAAGAATTTGGAATGGGTTATCCAGAGGAATGATAGGGTCGCCTTTTACCTGAAAAATAAAATAAAAGAGACAGTGAAAAATAAGTTACTAGACAAGCTTCTTCAGCTTTAGTTTATTCACATCAGGCTTGCAAGCACACATTGCGTGTTAAATTGACTACTTACATCTTTTTCCATGTAATAACCAACGTCAGCTATGTCAACATCATTTGGTGTCTTCTCTGTGGTATTTTGTTTCAAGTCTATGTAGATCAACGGTCCTTCAAACTAAAAGAAGAAAATTGTTCTAGAACTGAGTCTTGCAACATACCCAGTCCCCTCTTTTGTATCATGTCATTTTTAAACATGAAATAAGCAACTATATTTTGGTCAGTCTGATGTGGTGGAAAGTGAATTCTCAAGAAACCCACTTTGAGCATTAGATCATTTTGCAGATGACATCTCATTAAACATTAAAATTCAATTTCTTGGTGTTTTCTGGCAATTTTTTATTTTTTTTTAATTCAGTTACCAAGTTGGTTAGAGCAATAGAATTTTGTTTTAAAGTGTTGAGTTTATATAAAAGAAAAATAAAAAAAATCCACACAAGTCAGTTCCATCAACTACTTTTAAGCCACACTTCTCTGTGTTTCTATATGACATAACCTACCTCAATATTAGTGATGAATTTTGCGGGCAGCTTATATCTGTTTGTTATGGTGTCTGCTATAGCTCTGTAAACAAAAAAAAAAAAAAAAATGTAAGGTTATAGAGAAGAAAAAAAAAAAATTATGAACATGTATACACACCACAGGATACTTACTTTTTCAAGTCTGCCTCTGGTATGCTATCTGTATTATTGCGTGTTAATTGAACAATCACCCAGCTGTAATGAGAGAGTTACAGGTATTAGTCACAGAAATATATATACAGTTTCTAGTTGAAATTCAATCACAACTATCAGTTTGAATACTTACAAAGTCCTGACCAGCTCTGTGCATTTCCAGTTTTTATCTCCCTTGTCAGTTCTTCTGACACCGGCAGAATTAACACACCAGCAGGTTTCGGTATTGTTGCACTGCCTGGCCTTGAAGATTCCATTTCCTTCACAATCAGGGTTGTACAAACCATCATTGTCTACTAGTGCATTCTCTGGCTTTGGTCTTCTACCACCCTTTCCAGGATTACTTTCTCTCTTCATTAGGAAGCATTTTGGAATTGCTAGAAAAAGGAAAATAAAAAAAATATAGATCCAAAATAAAGTTTATTCCATTTATTATTGCTGTTCTAATGAAGTTATGCTTTAAGGTGCGGTGGTATAAACTTACGTTTGGTGCAGTCTATGGGCGTCAAATCAGGACCAATAGGAAGTTTGCACACGCAAGCATTACCATTTGCTTGACAGTCCCCTTTAACATGGAAATTACACGAGCAATCTGAGAAAAGAGAAAAATAGTAAAGTAAACTTGCATGATGATATTTTGTTTTTCATCATAAGACTAAGAACACAATTGGAACTCATTCTAGGAAGACAAAGTTTAAAGATTTCCTACACTCAAGGCATTACATATTTGAGACTACTCCAACAAAAAAGCACTTTATTGTAATTTATTTGCAGATTCCACCACTCCTGAGATCAGGTAACGTTTATCCAGCCACTCCACACAACACATACCCAACATGCACTAGGACTGTCCAGTGTCGATCTCAAAAAAAAAAGGAAATTTTTCTCTTTTAATTGTGACAGCACAGACATGGTGGGGTGATGGAACACTAAAAGTAAAAATTTTGCAGGTTTTTTTAAATTAAATTTTTGTTAGTTTATAATGGCAATAGTCTTACATAGTTTCTAGATCATTTAATTATGATCACCCTAAAAGGGCACTGCATATTTTCATATTAAATCCAATAGAAAAATGTAGATAGATGCCACCAGGGGTGTTTGCACCAAACGTTCTCAGACTACATTGCATGATTATATAAAATGCTAGAGGGATGTTCTAATACTTTAATTTCCTCCCTGATGTTCCTATTTCAGAGATAGTCCCAGTTCCTATTTTAGGTCCATATACCTCTTGTAGGAGCTCCATATTGTTTGTGTGAGTGTATAACAGAGCTCTATAACACCACTCACAATAATGTGTCTTAAAAACTACAATACACATGTTTAGAAACCAGTCTGTAAATAAGATGCATGGGCCGTGTTCTAAGTGTCCTTTTAGGTGCACAAAAAAAAAAAAAAAAAAAAAAAAAAAGCGCTAGACCATAAAGTACTATAGCCACTTAGGTCTTCAATACAACTACTTCTACTAAAGCGCACATACTTTCGTAAATAACAACCGATTTACTTTTTTTAAAGACACTTCCAAATACTTTAACGAATATAGTAGTTTCCAAACAAGCATAGAGGGATATGAACTGAAGGAATTGAAGTAATTTTCCTTTCTCAGTTGCCCATGTGGTAACATTTACTAGATCACTCCAGATTGATAGGCAGCACTGAAAACCCTCTGCCTTGTATTATGTATAATTCATATTCTGATATCTATATTAATTAGACCACCATGTCAGGGCTGCACTATAGATCCACCAGTGATTACATAATGGATCTGAGGACCCCATCTGATAAATATACTTATACCCAAATTAGCTTTTGGTTCTCAAGTCCCATGTAGTTTACATTTACTTGTTTTTTTATAAAAGTTGTGAATAGATTCCAGAGCTTTGAAGCCAGGAAGCTCCCACAATAGAGTCTCCCCCCACTTGCTTTCAGAGAGCTCCCACGCACAGACAGGCCATAGCTCGCCTGCAGGTGAAGGTAAACATGGCGGCCATGCCCACCCAGGGAACCGCCCGGCGCCATTTTAAAAAGGGAGCCACACCTCACCCAGCCAGCCTGAGCATTCCTGGCTCAAAACTAGCTCCAGAAAGGCTCCAGCCAGGGCTGGATTTAACCCTTTCTATAACCCTGGTCTATACAGTATTAGGAGGACACAGCTAGCAGAGTTTATATGGGAGGCTCCCAGTGAGCAGAGATAAGGGTGAGATTACAGTCTCTGGTATCAGGGTGTGACCTTATAATCACAGAGCAGGGAAGATAAAATGCCCCGGTGTGCTATTAAGGATTGATAAAACAGCCTAGGTTATCAGATAGCCACCGTTTGAGATAGGGAGTCAGCGGTTTAGATTATACAAATAAAAAAAGTTATATACTGCTACTCTCATTAGTCTAAGCCAGCCTAGTCCATGAGCTGTTTCAGGTCCCCTGACCAGGACTGGCAATAAAGGATAAAGCTGCTCCCTGTGGGTTATTACAGAGATACATTATAACTGGTTACCACCTGTGGCAGAGTTTGCTGGGTAACTAGAACAATGGGTGGTCGAAACGTAGTGACCCCCCCTACTCACTCCAGTAGGAACACTGGGTTTTGCCAGCTCATTATATACACCAGTAGAGAATGAAGTTTGCTTGTACAAGTAAAGGCAGACATGAATTTTTTTATACTGAGATATTTAAAGACACCATATCCAAGCACATTGAATTTCTAACTTGGATCTGGGGGTAGCCACTCTACATCATTACTTGGTGAGATATAGGAGCGATTTAGTCAGTTTGTTTTACTTTTTATCCGTACTGGATGGAGACTTACAACTGACCTTGTCAATTTAAAAAGAAGAAAAAAAAAAAAAAAGAAAAAAACCCACACAAAAGTCAGCACATCTAGCCTCAGGGGACACTGAAAGGGGGTAAGCAAGCAAACAATACTTTTTCCATATATTCAAGCTACTAAAATCCTGGGAAATGTACAAATATTTTGTCTCATGATAAAAACTATTCAACCCCCCCTCTCCCCTCGTTAAAACAAGCTAAAACCCATGCACTCACCTTGGCCCAGGGCTTGTGAAATAAGGATACAGCACAGCAGGGCTGCCCCCAGCCTAAACAGAGGAGAGATCGTCATCTTGAAGCTGTAGAGTCTTGGAACTCCTTGCGTGATCTGTTCTTTTTTACCTTCCACAGAACTCAGGAGGGCTCACCTTAATCACTTCTTACCCCTCCTTCCCTCACCAGGTCAGACCGGTCCGACAGGTACCTCCCTCAATCACAAACAAGGACAAAACCTGCTAGCAGCCTTCTCTGGTTACACCTGAATACAATGTATCAACCCCCACTACTCAGAAACCAATGCAATGGGACAAGATCCAGGTGGGCAGAATCCAGCAGTGAAGGTTCTACAGCAGAACTTTAGGTTGAAGGTTTCCTCAAAGGTAAAGGCAAAAAGCAATCCAGCTCTATAGTCCCTCAGCAGAGTGCACAATGAAACTCTCACTGTTCCCTATTGAGTTATGTATATATTCATTTGGGGGGAATGACGTCACTGATTACCTAGGCGAAACTCAGGTTGAGTCAGGAGCTAGAGGCGGTCTTATTCTAGTCTCACCTGGACATCCCCATACATACAGGTACTGTGTGATCTCACTGTGACCCAACCCACCGATAGGGAAACCGGCTAGTCTCACCGTGTCTAGTATAGTAGAAACCATTACTCACAAACACAGAGTTAAGGACAAATACAAACAGAGAGTGGGGGAAAGGAGAGTTTACACATTGCTTTCTCATCGATCACTGTATTGTAATACATTATCAATAAAGATCACTGCTTTCTCATTGATCACTGTATTGTGATACAAATTATCAATAAAGATCATTGCTTTCTCATTGATCACTGTATTGTGATAAAATTCAAATTATTAATAAAGATCATTAACAGCTTCACACAATAGTGAGAAGGACACAGTTTATATAAATTGTGTTTTCTTTGTCTTTAGTACTTTATTTAACTGGCATGTGTTACGTTTGTAGGAAAAGACACAACTTCGTTTTGTTTTCTGTTCATTTATATATCCTTACAATTCTTATTGAATTACATATTAATTCACCCTTTGGTAAATGAATAACCCTGAATATTTTGTTTTAATTAAAACTTGACATGGGATTCTCTATGGTTTGTTACTAAACACTGGATTGTAGTGTATTGAAAAATTAATTGCGAAATTAAGGAAGCAATAGATAATTTGGGAAAAATATCTACAATTCACTATGGTCACAGGGTGGCTATTCTAGTCTAAATGTTACAATTCACCACAATTTGGTGTTCAGTAAAAAATAGTGTTTTCGGGGTTTTACACGGATTTTTATCGAATTAACACTTCAAAAACCTTAACCACTAAATGGGGAGTGCAAGGGAGCTCCTGTGGCACCACAAAAATACAGTGTGCTTTTGTGTATATGGAGCTTGAAATATTCCTTAAAACATGAATATATGAGACACTACTCCTAGCAGCACAGGAATAGGCACCAGCTTAATAGAAGTTGGGGTCTACCACACCAAACAATACTAAGGTGCAGACAAGGCCGAGGTGACTACTAGGCAGATTCGGCAGCTGCCTAGGGCGCAGAAGTCCTTCTTACTGGCTGGAGTGGAGTGCACAGCCTAGCACTCTCCTGAAGTCGAGGGGCACAAGTGGAGGGGGGAGGAGAAGCACACATGACTAAGAGGGAGAGTGGCACACAGAGGGCTGAGGGGGGAGAGAAGCACACATACAACTGGGGTGGGGGAGAAGCACACAGAGGGCTGAGAGGGGAAGGAGAGGGACACACAGAGGGCTGAAGGGGAGGAGAAGCACACCAAACTAAGAGGGAGAGTGGCACACAGAGGGCTGAGGGGGGAGAGAAGCACACATAGAACTGGGATGTGGGAGAAGCACACAGAGGGTGGAGAGGGAAAGGAGAGGCACATAGAGCTAAGGGTGAAGGAAGAGGCAAACATGGGGCTAAGTTGGAGAGGCACACAGAAGGCTGAGAGAGGGAAGAGAGGCACACCGAGGACTGATGGGAGTGAAAAGGCACGCACAGAGGGCTGAGGGGGGAGGAGAGGCACACAGAGGGCTGAAGTGGGAACAGGCACATAGAGGGAGGAGGAGGAGGGAGGCACACAGAAAACTGGGGGGGGAGAGGCATGCAAAGGGCAGAGGGGGGATAGAGGCACGCAGAGGACTGGGGTGGGGGAGAAGCACACATAGGGCTGAGGTGGGGAGGAGAGGCACACAGAGGACTGAGGAGGGGGGAGAAGGCACACAGAGAGCTAAGGGGGGTGAGAGGTGCACAGAGGGCTGAGGAGGAAGAGGCACACAGAGGGATGAGGGGAGGCAAAGAGGCACACAGAAGGGCTAGAGGGGACAACGAGACAATCTGAGGGACTGGAGGGACAAAGAGAAACACAGAGGGGCTAGGGGTACAAAGAGACACACAGAGAACTGTAAGTAAGAGTGTGTGTGTGACTGTCTGCCTGCCTGTAACGGTGTCAGTGTGTGTGACTCTCTGCCTGCCTGTAACTGTGTGTGTGTGTGACTGTCTGCTTGCCTGTAACTGTGTGTGTGTTTGTTACTGTCTGCCTGTTACTGTGTGTGTGTGTGTGTGTCTGTGTGTGTATGACTGCCTGTGGCTATATGTGTGTGTGTGAGACTGTCTGCCTGCCTGTAACTGTATTTGTGTGTGTGTGTGAGAGAGAGAGACTGTCTGCCTGCCTGTAACTGTGTGTGTGTGTAACTGTCTGCCTGTAACTGTGTGTGTGTGTGTGTGTGTGTGTGCGTGTGACTGCCTGTAAACGTGTGTGTGTGTGACTACCTTTGACTGTGTGTGTGTGTGTGTGTGTGTGTGTGTGACGGTGTGTGTGTGTGTGTGACTGTCTGCCTGCCTGTAACAGTGTGTGTGACTGTCTGCCTGCCTGTAACTGTCTGTGTGTGTTACTGTCTGCTTGCCTGTAACTGTGTGTGTCTTACTATCTGCCTGTAACTGTGTGTGTGTCTGTGTGTGTATGACTGCCTGTGGTTATGTGTGTGTGTGTGTGACTGTCTGTCTGCCTGTAACTGTGTGTGTGTGTGTGTGTGAGAGAGCGAGAGACTGCCTGCCTGCCTGTAACTGTGTGTGTGTAACTGTCTGCCTGTAACCGTATGTGTGTGTGTGAGACTGTCTGCCTGCCTGTAACTGTGTGTGTGTGAGAGTCTACCTGTGACTGTGTGTGTGACTGTCTGCCTGTGACTATGTGTGACTGGCTACAGCTGTGTATGACTGCTTGTAACTGACTCTGTGTGTAACTGTCTGCCTGTAACTGTGTGTGTGACTATCTGCCTGTGACTGTGTGTGACTGTCTGCCTGTGACTGTGTGATGCTGCCTGTAACTGTGTGTGTTTGACTGTCTGCCTGTAACTGTGTATGTGACTGTCTCACTACAACTGTGTGTGACTGCTTGTAACTGACTGTGCGTGTAACTCTCTGTGTGTGACTATCTGCCTGCCTGTAACTGTGTGTGTGTGACTGTCTGCTTGCCTGTAATTGTGTGCGTGTGTTACTGTCTGCCTGTAACTGTGTGTGTGTGTAACTGTCTGCCAGTAACTGTGTGTGTGTGTGAGAGAGAGAGAGAGAGAGACTGCCTGCCTGTAATTGTGTGTGTGTGTGTGTGAGACTGTCTGCCTGTAACCATGTGTGTGTGTGACTACCTGTGACTGTGTGTGTGTGTGACTGTCTGCCTGCCTGTAACAGTGTGTGTGTGTGTGTGTGTGGCTGTCTGCCTGCCTGTAACGGTGTGTGTGTGTGACTATCTGCCTGTAACTGTCTGTGTTTGTTACTGTCTGCTTGCCTGTAACTGTGTGTGTGTGTCTGTGTGTGTGTGTATGACTGCCTGTGGCTATGTTTGTGTGTGTGTGTGTGTGAGAGAGAGAGAGACTGTCTGCCTGCCTGTAACTGTGTGTGTGTAACTGTCTGCCTGTAACTGTATGTGTGTGTGTGTGTGTGAGACTGTCTGCCTGCCTGTAACTGTGTGTGTGTGTGAGTCTACCTGTGACTGTGTGTGTGTGTGTGACTGTCTGCCTGTGACTGTGTGTGACAGTCTGGCTACAACTGTGTATGACTGCTTGTAACTGACTGTGTGTGTAACTTTCTGCCTGTAACTGTGTGTGTAACTATCTGTCTGTGACTGTTTGTGTGTGTGACTGTATATGTGACTGTCTGCCTGTAACTGTGTACGTGACTGTCTGGCTACAACTGTGTGTGTCTGCTTGTAACTGACTGTGTGTGTAACTGTCTGCCTGTAACTGTGTGCGTGACTATCTGCCTGTAACTAGGTGTGTGGGGTGCAGGGGTTTGTAGAAGAGGGGCAGGACAGGGGTTTTGTAGAAGGAACTGACAGGGGTTTTACAAATTTGTGCAATACATAAAAAAAAAAAAATGTAAAAAAAAATTCAGGTGACTTTTTTTTTTTGTGGGGGAGAGAGGAGGGCTTGCCAAACACAGGACCTGCCCCGGGTGCCAAAATGAGGGCAGGGCAAATCAAAGAAGACTGCAGGCGTAGTGGAGAATAACACCCACAAAGCAGCACTGGAACGGAGAATAAGGTGAGTAAATCAATCATTTTAAATTTAATAAACCATGTTTCTTTAGGATAATGTAACAATTTCAGGTAAGTGAAATTTTTTTCTTACAGGTTCACGTTAATTAAAGGGATACTTCACTGTCCAAAAAAAAAATCATTGTACAGTAAATATACGTCAAAGGAAAACAGGCATGCATTTAATTAAGCACTTTTTTTTATTTGAGTTATATCTAAAAGCCACTTGCAATTGCAGCAAATCTCTTGTCTCTGCAAGCCCCTTCCAACCCCACCCACACTTTCTGTGGTTGTCCAATCAAAGACTTCCCAATGCAGCTCAATAAGAAGTCTTTGCAAGAAGTTGCTTTGGGCAGTTGCTGCCTCTTGAGTTTAGCTCCACTGAGCTAAAAAAAACAGGAAGTAACAGGACCAGTTGTCTGCTTAAAAGCGAGTGGAGGGGGGAGGTTATGGCGTTAAACAAGGTTAATTTATAAAAATGCCAATGTCTATTGAAATCTACACTTTTTGTAAAATTTAAAAAAAGAGGACAATCTCTTTACACATAAAGCACTTCAGCAAGGTAAAGTGCTTTAGGGGTCTGGAGTGTCCTTTAACAAAAGAATAGTTGGCCTGCCTAAAAAGGGGATGTACGCGAACACACGTTAGACTGACCAGCCACCATGCTAGCCAGAAACAGAGGGCTGCACTTGCGCAGAACATTTTAAAGCGCTGTGACCCTGGGCTAAATGGCCTCAGTGTGGTTTGCCTACTGTTAGCATGTCAAATGATGCGCCAGCATGGTACTTTATGGGGACTTGTCCCTGCTCTGTTTTAATCATGCAGCATAAAACATTGCTGTTCTTCAGAAGGCAATGTCACGGGTAGGGTGGTCCCCAGAGGCTTGTTTATCCCCCCCAATTGGAACTAGGGATCGCCAGGACCCATGCACACAGCAAGTGCCTGAAAGGGAGATACCCTCAATCTCTATGGAACTATTCACCGGATCAGAATGGGGCCGCAATTTGGTTAATCTTTGATGAGATGTCAATCAGTCCCCCGACCACTAATCACAGTGCTCTTTGGAGAGGATGTCGGGGAGTTGAGCTGGTCCTGGGGAATACCATGAAATGAGACTGGCAGATCATTTAAGTATTCACTGGGCTTTTATATCTAGATTATATATCTGGGAGTTTTTTTTCTCATGCTTCCTTCAGAGTTCTTTAGAAACTTCCAATACCCAATGTACGTCACTACAATCTCATTAAAATGATTCTGCCCTCAAGGATACTATACCCCATGCAAATGTTGCCCATGGTTCCAGAGAATAGATACTTAGAGCTCTTAATAAAATCTTACAGTCCTTTATTTGGTTCCACAAAAAGGATAAGAATCTCAATACTCATCTTGAAGATCCCCCATGAAGCCTTAGACTGGCTTTGTTGCTGAAAAACTATTATGCAAACTCCTTATTCGTGGTCAGCCATAATACAATAATAATGTTTAACCCCTTAAGGACCAAACTTCTGGAATACAAGGGAATCATGACATGTCACACATGTCATGTGCCCTTAAGGGGTTAAAGGGACACTATAAAACCCAAAACAATATTAGCTTAATGAAGCAATTTTGATGCATAGATAATGCCACTGTAGTCTCACTGCTCAATTCTCCTCCATTTAGGGGTTAAATCACTTTGTTTATGCAGCCTGTAACAGATCCCTCTGTTTTGTGTTGGATCTGTAATATATGTTGTACCAGCCTCCTACCATGTTGCCTGGGAACCTCTACCTTTTGTTTTCCTGCCATCGTCCACATTGCCCTGTACCTAAGAACAAAAACTGTTTCTGGCCCTTTAACTGTGTTGTGCAAAGAATGGGTACGTTTGATATGGCACTTCGGATACAGCCGAAGTGCCGAAGTAGTCGAAGTGGCCGCCATTAGACAATTGAACACGTGGCGGCAGCCATTTTAATGCAGTCGAATGCGGTCAGTGGTGTGTGCCGTCAAATCCCTGGAACGGAAATCAGCCACACATTTGAACGAACACCGCTGACCCGTACCTTCCCCTACCCTTTGACACTGCGTCTGGAGCCTAAGTTCCATTCGAAGATTTGAACACACGTTCGAATGGGACTTTGTCATCTTTTTCGTGTAAAATAGACTGCCACTCAACTAACGACCACCGCGGAAATTTAACCCCGTTTTACTTCGACAGAAGTCGAAGTGCGTTTGACTATTCGAACGCCGCCTTCGGATGAGACTTTGTTATTTTTCAAGGCAGAAATAGACCGACCGCACAGCCTGAATCTGTGGAACTGTTTTGGGCATGCAAACAGGCGTGCGGTCGGTCCAAAGAGACTTTTCAATATCTCTGGAACCACTGAACGCATTTGTATGAATTTTGAATATGTGTTGTCCCCAAGTTGTGTTGTGTTGTCCCCAAGTTGTGAAAATATAAGTTTTATTCATGTAGGATGAAAAATCAAAGTTATAAAAATGCATAAAAAAGTTTTAGCTTGGAGATAATTGAGTAGATACAGTAAGAAACTCAATTATCTCCCAAGCAGAGGGGAGGGAATATGTGGGATGTAACCATTGTTTGATTGGTTAATGTCTAATTGCCTGTGGGCATCTCCCTTGCAGGGGAGCACCGCATAAAAGGAGAGTACCTGTCATTAAACCTCAGTTCTACTTCACCCTCAATCTCGAGTCCTGTCTCTTATTGGGGGTAACCGCTACACAGCTATTCGCACTTGCTCTTGTAAGAGCTTCTTCACTTGGAAAACGACTGGATGCTGAGAATCCTCCTCACTGATCGGGAAAAGGACACCCTCCAGCGGTTGAAACCCCTCTGCTACACGGGGTAACCGCTACACAGCCTAGCCACACCTCCCTGAAAGTAATGTACACAGCCCTTCCTAAACACTTCCTGTAAAGTGAGATCTAATGTATACCTTTATTGCACAGTTTGTTTAATTTAGAATTAAAAATATCTCCTGCACTGTATTAGCTTGCTAAACCTTGCAAGAGCCTCTTGTATTTGATTAAAGTAAGAGCGGGAGACAAAAACATCTAAAGTAAGTTAACATCTGATTGAAAATGAAACCATTATTCATACAGGCTGTGAGTTACAGCCAGGGGAGTTGTAGCTAGGGCTGCATAAACAGAATCAAAAGCAATTTATCTCCTAAATGGCAGAGAATTTAAGAGTGAGACTTCAGAAACATGATCAATACAAAAAACTACTTTATAAAGCTTAAAGGAGCACTATTGGTTCAGGAACACAAACAATATTCCTGACCCTATAGGGTTAAAACCACCATCTAGCCCCCCTGTCCCTCTCATGCCTCCCTAAATATAGTAACATTTTACATGTATTCAAGCCTGAAGCTGAAGGCTTTGTCCCTGTTTCCTTTTGACCTGCCCACTGCCTGCTGACATCAGCAGAAGTGGTTGCCTGATTCAATCACAATGCTTCCCCATAGGATTGGCTGAGACTGACAAAGAGGCAGATCAGGGGTAGAGAGAGCCAGTACCATTCAGACACAGCCCTGAATCAATGATTCTCTACGAGGAAAGTTCAGTGTCTGCATGCAGAGGGAGGAGAAACTGAATGTTTGGATGCATTTTAGGCAGCCATGACCCAGGAAGGATCTCTAACAGCCATCTAAGGAGTGGCCAGTGAAGTTTTCACTAGGCTGTAATGTAAACACTGCATTTTCTCTGAAAAGACAGTGTTTACAGCAAAAAGCCTAAAGGGAATGATTCTACTCACCAGAACACATTCAATAAGCTGTAGTTGTTCTGGTGACTACAGTGTCCTTTTAAGTTGTTTTGGTGACTATAGTGTCCTTTTAAGAATTTATACGGATCTAGGCAAACAGAGTCTCTTAGTACGTGTACGTTAATAGAATTTATTGCATCGTGTTTTTGCTCCCTACATTCCCTTGATTCTAACACAGCAAAGATCCAAGATATGTAGAAAAAAAAGTATTTAATCTGTTACTACATGTAACAATTGCACAGTAACATTTCATGTATGGCACTACCTTTTTGGTCGAGGAGGGTGGTGGAGACTTAATTTTTTCAGCAGAAAATGGGTTGTGCCTATTTTATATTCATACCATGTATGACAACACATCCAAAATCTATTGTTTACTTTATGTGGACAGATGAAGTATATTGTAATAAACATAAACGTCAAGCCCACAAGTGCTAAGTATATAATTAAGAAGACTTCATCAAGAAGCCATTTATGACAGATGTATTTTAAACTGTCAATCTTTCTAGGTTCTATTAATTATGACTTTTCCAATCTATTAATTATGAGATATGTCCTACAGGACAACAGTAGATGTATTACATCACATATTTTGCGTTTCCCACATGCTAATGTTATATACCCCATATATATTTTCCAAATATGTTGCGTAACCAGTATGCATTTCATGAAAATGCTACGTTTGGGCTTGGCAATAGGTATCGGGGTTAATTGGAGGTAATTGCACTGATGTTTGCAAAGAGAAACCACAAGAGCAAATGTTTGACCAATGATAATCATCCACATTGGCTGACAGTTCCTGACAAGATCTCCTAAGTCAAGTACCAGCACTCGTGTTACTAGCACCAAGGTGACCACCATTCCTATGATTGATACAAATCAGGATTCTGCCAGTTTTGCAATGGTGGTTAGTCATCTTCCCCCTCCCCGTGCATGGTAAACTGGGATTATGGCCTGAAATTCCCCATAATGCTTGTGAAACAGAGGTTACCTTCATCTTCCCAAATTGGTCTGAATGAACTCATGAACACCAACTTTGAGGCCTTGTTTTATTTGTTGCCAATATTGAAGTTTGAGGTGTGTTCCTCAAGTCTGGGACTCATCTATGGGCATTCTATTCTCAGTTCTCCTAATTCAAAAACATGTTAAATAATAGTAGATGCATATAAATATAGAGACTGCTTAAAGGACCACTATAGTGCCAGGAAAACATACTCGTTTTCCTGGCACTATAGTGCCCTGAGGGTGCCCCCACCCTCAGGGACCCCCTCCCACCCGGCTCTGGAAGGGGGAAAGGGGTAAAAACTTACCTTTTTCCAGCACTGCGGGAGCTCTCCTCCTTCTCTCCTCCTCCGTTCCTCCTCCTGGGCTGAATGCGACGCTGCAGCTGCGCCATTCACCGCCGCATAGGAAAGCATTTACAATGCTTTCTATGGATTTATGCTCTCACTGTGAAAATCACAGTGAGAAGCACGCAAGCGCCTCTAGTGGCTGTCAATGAGACAGCCACTAGAGGATTAGGGGGAAGGCTTAACCCATTCATAAACATAGCAGTTTCTCTGAAACGGTTCAGACTTTTGCAGCAATAAGGTTTTAAAATAGTAATGCATAAATAATGAGAATCTTGTTTCAGTATTGCTTCACAAGAGTACAGCATTTAGAAATAATTGAAAATAAGGAATGCTTAATTAGCAATAAGTAGAATTGACTGTTAGACTTCAATATAGTTTTAAAAGAGCAGGTGATTCCTGTTGTTGGAAATGACACAGTCCTTTAACTCGAACCAGTAATTAATGTAAATGATATGAATCCTGGTATGATAAGTAGTTATAGTCTTTTAGACTCCAATAACTAATTAACATAAATGAGAAATGTAGCAAATGAGAATCTCTATAGAGATAGAGAGTGGAATCCCAGAGAACAGACTTTTTTTCCTGCCAAATTAACTTTAGGTAAGAACCAATTAGTAATCCCAATATCTGGAGAATTTATTTTGCCTTTCTTCATATTTCTTGTTTGTTACATATTTCTGAATTATTCTTTGTTAGTCCTTTGCACTATACTGATTTTTCTGAATGATAGCAAGACAAAACATTTCTATATTCATGACTAACCATGAAAAATGTTATTTCCTAGTATAAACTACTTTTTAACTACTTAAACAATAAAATAAACACATTTGGTATAAAACTGCTTACGTCAATACCGTACTACACTATTATGTGTAGTAACATACAAATACTAAATGTCAACATTTTATTCTTTACATAGAAGTTTAAATTATCTATCCATATAAACAATGGACGGCAGCACAACAGCCCAAAGTACATTTGCTTCAAGCAGCTGAATTTTGTTTCATAGAGAAACAAAGGAAGTCCATAGACAGCTTTCATTTTACCATATTTCATACAATTAAGTAAATTCAGGGATATCGTTTTACATAGAGTGTTACATATTAATCTGTAATTCCGTGCAAGTGATGGTCTCTGCCTCAGAATGGAGAGGAAAGGAGAAACAAAACCCCTGGCCTGTTTAACTCCTCTACGAGAATTGTAAGTCAATGCCCAAAGTTAAAATGGAGAACAACTGCATACAAATGGTGGTAGTCAATGATCAGTTTCAATATGTTTTGTTGCATATTGTTGCTTGCGATATAATTACAAGTAGCAAAATGACAGTTGGAAGTTGAACAGATGGTTACATTTCTTTTTGAGCAACATGAAAAGTGGAGTGTAAAGTCAAGTTCGTACAGTCTTTTACTAAACTTTATTTATGTCTACTGCCTCTTCGCTTCATAGCAGCAGTACACTGAGGGCAGTACCATTTGCCTTTTGGAGCTTCTGACAGTCCAACACATCCATAATGAAACCACTCAATTGGGCAATCTTGGTTGTCACAGCCTACCATTTCACCATATGATACCTGATTGCAAATACAATAACGAGGTTAATTTGGATCATATGTCCAATCTACTTGACTATTTGAATCTGATTCTGGGACAGCAGCTGTTTGTTGATGAGACAGTTCATGTGCTAAGGCAGATGATGACGAACAGGATGATAAAGATGACGAAGATGATGAAGAAGATGACTGCTGACTTGAAGATTTGTTGTTGTTCTTGCTTTTTCTCCCACTTCTTGAATCCGTGGTCGCTGAAGAAGTCAATGTCTGTGTTAATGTAGAAGCCAATGCTGAAGATGAGTAATTTGCTGAATCTTTAGTCAAAAACTCCCTCCCAAGTTGGAAATAATTGTTTTTAAAAGCTTCGTTGCTGGCTTTTAGACTAGATGTTCGCCTCCCTTTCTTCATCTGTGCTGTTGCCTGAACTGCTTGTGCAGCTGCCATTGTAATAGCCCCAGCACCAGCCCCAGATGACAGAGTACTCAAATTATACGATGTCAGTGGCTGGGCGGAATTTACATTGTAGACATTATTTGTGGAGGATGAGGATATATTATTTCTGCAGCCGGGTGTATTTTCTTTGGAAGCATCGGAGGTAAGAGTTGACAGCAAAGCTTCAGATTTGAATTTCTTCTCAGGTACATGGCTCTCCCCAGAGGAATGTGAATGTGCATGGTGATTATTGACTGGCTGAGATGGAGTATCCATCTCCAGGGATCTTCTTTCTAAGACTTCAGTAATCCCTGCATTATCCGCTTCTAGTTCCATTTTGAACTTTGCCAACTCTTGGTCCAGTTTCCTTAGATGACGATCTACCAAGTCATAAATCTGATTGGCTAGCTGAACTCTTTCATCTGCATCTTCTAGTGCTTTAAAGTAATCTTTCTTAATAGATGCCATTTGTTCATCCCTCCATTCAGGTTTATTTTTCTTTGCATTCACAAAAAACTCTCCAACCCTTTGTTCCAATTGATCCATTGCATTCTGAACCTGCAGGTCCATCTCCCGCATTTCGGTGAACCTGTCGCGGAGATCCATGGGAAGCTGCTCGATCATCTCCAGGTAGTCCTCCAGGTACAGCATGGTGGGTGTCTGGGCCGCCGGCTCCCACTGATTGTAAGTTAGACATCTTGTCCTGCATGTCACTAGCCCCGTCCACCAGATCTGCGGTGAATACCCCCAAGGCTTGAATTTCTGCTTTCACTTCTGCATAGTTCTGTTGTATTTCTTGAACTATATATGCTCTGTCAGTTCTCATTTGTGAGAGAATTTGAGTGGTGTTACTGGAGCATGAGATTTAAGAATCAGACACTGCATCCTTATGGTCATCAGGAGGACCGCTAGGGCTTAAGCAGGTGCCATCTTGGGATCACATCTGTGTTTGGTGGATTGCTGGAGGATAGTGAAGCCTCCGAGGTTTCTTTCCTGTGATGGTTCTTTTGTGAAACCTTCAAATTTGGAAGCAGTAGAGAATTCACTTAAGTATGGCACAACTGCAAAAAGCTATTGCAGTAGGCTTTTTGTGAGGCGTGGTGGCAGGAGCTCACAGCTCTGCCGTCCATACAGCTCAACGTCCAAACCACCCCTCTTTTATCAATATTTCTTCCTGAGAAAGCGTGCAAATTAGGTGTGCCAGCGTCAAATATAAGTAAAGGGGTCTATGGAGGGCTCTAAGGAATTGCACTTTGAGAAAGACTCAAGATGGTTCGAAATGTTTACATATTCTCTGTGTCAGGATTACTAGTTGATCTAGCATGTAGAATTGTGCCACACAGATGACTAATAGGTAATGTATTACCGGGCCTTAGAATAGCTGGACTTAACGTACCAAAGAATAGTTAGGATACTTGCCGAGGTCAGGGGATACAGAAAGAGACACAATGATAAGGGAAAGCCAGAAGTCAGTGATACCAGAATACAGGGAAGTCAAAATCAAAGCCAAAGTCAAAAACCAGAAGAAACTTGAATCAGGAGCGCGCTCTCGCACAACCACAAGGGAAACCACGACAGGGCACTGAGCAGGATGAGAACTGGGCCTCAATACCCCTCCTCTAGATCTGATAGGCTCTAACCGGTCTTTGACCCCAAAGGCAGTTACCAGGTTCTAATTTGCACAATTACTGATCAGCATTAAACCTTCTGTGGATTTGGTTGCTGCTCGGCACAACTTTTCCTGTGTGGACAGTAAATGTCATTAACCACATTTTTATAAGCGGGTGAATACATGACACTCCGGTACTGTAACCAAGTGCACTTTTATCCCACGTGTTTTTATTTCACCTTATTTGTTTTTGCAAGCTGGAATAAAGTTTGAAGAGTTTTTATGGGAAGCTGTGTTTAGTGCTTAGACCCTACCAAGGTGACATTACAAGCTGTGGAAGGTCCTGGAAGTTAAGGGGATTCCTGTTTCTGCTATAACTTTGAGTGACTCAGCAGTATGTGCATTACATTCATTTGTGTATGGTTTCTTACTCTGGTAAACTGCACTGCAAGTTGTGATTTTGTGTTTTATTGTAGATCAAGTTGTTATGTTGCCAGAGTAGGTAATGTTGCCTTGGATTTAATGATTGTAGGATTTATTGTGTGTACACACACACCTGCACTGGTTTCCTGTTTTCTGTATCTTTGTTTGTTGTGTGGAGTGACACAGCAGCAGGTGTTTGCACTGCACTTTTATTAAGCACCATTAGCTTTTTACCTCTGCACACATTGTCTTATAAAAATTTAGATTCTGCCAACTGAACTAAATGAAAAAATACTGGGAGGGAGAAAGGAGGATGTCAGCCCATACTCAAGCAAAGAAAGATCAGGTGATGAAAGAATTTGCCTGCCTGCTGGAGACCATTCAACCAGGCCCATATGCCTCCCCAGGCCCTGTGTCCCCAACCCTGAGCAAATAACGGAGCCATCACTCTTTGTCCAACCTCCCCACCACATTGGGTGTGTGGGTTAAAGTCCTGAGGCAGCCCCTTGTACAGAGCCATCCCTGATTGCAGACCGCATTTAGGATTTGCTCCCCTTTTGGCTTCCTGTGCAGGAAAGGAAAGCTGGTGACCCTTAGCTCCGCTGGATGTCGATTTGGTGCCAGACAGGACATGCAGAAATTTCTGTCCGGCACTCATTGATTCCATCAGTAGTTAGTAGAAAGGTCTCTCTTTGCCCTAGTCACTTCTCCCTCTCAGAGTGTAGGAAAGCGGTGGGGATGGTCGTCATCTTGCGGCATTCAGCTTGGTTTGTGTCTTTTTTGCTGTCTCCCAAGAGCCTGCCAGTGGATGATTAATATCGCTCAAGTATTGGTGAGCCCCTCTGTCTTTCTGTTGCGAGACCAAAAAGCTGAGAAGATTTCATCCAGTTTGTAAGAAGTTGACCTCGGCAGCGTCACAACAGAGGGCCTGGTCACCTTCTCTGCCATTTGAGGTGTAGGGTCAGGGCCGGATTAACATAGGGGCTGATGGAGCTGCAGCTCCAGGCCCTGGCCCATGGAATAGGCCCATTTAAAAAATAATAAAAAAAAATTGTACTTTTTTTTTTTTTTACACACTACTCTTAGGTTTGCCACCTGACTATTATTATACCGGAACAGATGTTATTTGAGGCTGCCTGGCTGTGCCAGTACTGCAGAAATACAGTTAATACAAACGGAGATATTTTTCTCAGTATAAACAGACATAACTCTGTAATACCAACACCAGCCAGTAGGGGTTACTGTGTGTGGAGAGAAGCAAGGATAGGAAGTTACAGCATATCCCTCCCTGCCTCTCCCTACTCACTAATCCGCGGGGGAGCAGCTACACAGCACAGAGAGTTCAGACAGCAGCTCCCAGCCTCAGGGCCAGATTAAGAGCCCAGTGGGCCTGGTGCTGACAATTATGACGGGCCTAATTACAGAATCATATCAACCAAAAACAATAAAACACTCCCAAGCATCATGTATTTGATGGAGATGGTGCTGGAGAGAAAGAAAACAGCAGCTATAAGAAAACACATACCCTAGGTTGATCTCGCCCTAATTTATGTTTTCATCTTTCAAGTAAATCCATAACCCCTAACAGCAGTGTCCAGTCAAGCAGGAAGTCAATGGGCACGGTAAAAGAGTGTGCCACTGACACAAATTACGTGACCTGCCAAAAGGGCGAACATGCCCAAAAAGAGGACATGTCTGCTCAAAGAATTAGAAGGCCAGCCTGACATGAATGCATGTCAGACTGCCTGCCAATCATGCAGCTGACCAACTAAGGGCATACTATGCAGACAGCACCCTGAGCTTGGCATAAATGCATCTAATTATGCGCTCACTCAACGCTTTCTAAGGACTGTTCCCTAGCACTCGCTGGTCCACTTGTCTTCTTACCTTCTTACTAGCAGGCAGAAGCTCCTGGTATATAGTCTGGGACAGAGAAAAGCTATATGTAGTGAGTGTAGAAGAAATGGAACATGCCACAGTGTTAGAGAGACCAAAGTCAGCATTACCTTAAAGGATCACTATAGGGTCAGGAACACAAACATGAATTCATGACCCTATAGTGTTAACACCACCATCTAGCCCCCCTGGGCCCCTCATGCCTCCATAAATATAGCAAAATCTTACTATATTCAAGCCTGAAGCTGTAACTCTGCATGCTGTTAGACTCATAAAACAAGCAGTCTGCTGACATCATTAGAAGTGGTGGCCTGATCCAATCACAGTGCTTCCCCATAGGATTGGCTGAGACTGACAAAGAGGCAGATCAGGGTCAGAGCCAGCATGATTCAAACACAGCCCTGGCCAGTCAGCATCTCCTTATAGAGATGAATTGAATTAATGAATCTCTATGAGATAAGTTCAGTGTCTGCATGCAGAGGGAGTAGACACTGAATGTTTGGATGCATGTTAGGCAGCCATGACCCAGGAAGGATCTCTAACAGCCATCTAAGGAGTGGCCAGTGAAGTTATCACTAGGCTGTAATGTAAAGACTGCATTTTCTCTGAAAAGACAGTGTTTACAGCAAAAAGCCTGACGGTAATGATTCTGCTCACCACATACACATACATTCTACTCACCAGAACAAATTCAATAAGCTGTAGTTGTTCTGGTGACTATAGTGTCCCTTTAACTATATTCATTGTCAGCCAGTCCACACAAGTTTTGTTCCCATACATCCCTCTTAAGTTTCCATACTTAAGTAAGAGTATGTGAAAAGTAGTTAGGGTTGCCACCTTTCTTGGAAAAACATACCGGCCTTACTAATTTGCATAATTAAATATGTATGGGTGACATCACATGATGTAAATCAGAAGGACTGACATAAGAGAAAATTCTGTAAAATCACCAAAAAACTACTTAGTTTGATTCTGCTGTATAGAAGGATTCCTCCCAGTGCCCCCATGTCTCCCAGTGCCCTCATGACTCAGTGCCCCCATGTGTCGATTACTCCAGGGCTCAGTGTTCCTATGTATCACAGTGTCTCAATGCCCCATGTGTCCCAGTGCCCTCATGACTCAGTGCCCCCATGTGTCGATTACTCCAGGGCTCAGTGTTCCTATGTATCACAGTGTCTCAATGCCCCATGTGTCCCAGTGCCCTTATGACTCAGTGCCCCCATGTGTCGATTACTCCAGGTCTCAGTGTTCCTATGTATCACAGTGTCTCAATGCCCCATGTCTCCCTGTGTCCCCATGTATCCCAGGGTCCCCATGTCACTAGGACACTAGGAAGATGGGGAGACCTGGGGACACAGGGAGACCTAGGGACACAGAGACACCAGTGAGACTAGGGGACTCTGGCTGGGACACATGGGGACAATGGGGTAATAGGGGACACTTGTAGACATGGGGACACAGACACCAGGGCCACAGACACAAGGGACACTAGCTTGGAGACATAGGGAAATTGTGACACTTGAGGCACTGAGAGACACGGAGGCACTAGGAGACATGGGGACAGTGAGACACTGGCAGACTGGGGGCACTGGGAGACTAGGGGTCACTGGGAGACTAGGGGGCACTGAGACACTGGCTGGGAGACATGGGGACACTTAGTGTCTCAGTGTATGTCTCCTTGCAGCCTTTCTCCCCATCCCTTACTTCCCTGAGCTGTAGGCTGTCTCTGCAGGGTGGGAGTTGCTGT